TTCTTCTGCTGAATTGATTGTAAATTGTAAACTGAATTTGAAAGATAGTGAATTGGGAGTCACTCTTGTGTTAAGAGTTAACTGGGAACTGGATGTAGGGTTGACTATATCCGAACCAATATAAATCTCTGTGTGCTCTTCTCTTTCCCTTATCTCTTTCTCTTTTCCTGATTATATTATCGTTTCCGCTTTATCTGTGTTCAAACAAATTATTGACTCACAAATAAATTTTTAATTTGACATCTATTTTAATTTGTGCATCTATTCACCCCTCTAGATGTCATTTGTCTAACACATACATTTTTTTTATATAAAATTAGTCAATTTTTATTTCCTTAGAATTATTAAAAAAAGTAAATTAACTTTTCATATCACTTTTTAAATAAATTATAAAAAAATTTCAAATAATTCACAATAATATCTATGTACATTTTAGATTGTATAATTAAATATTAAAACCACTCTAAATAATACAATTAATAAAAAAATGTTATTTATTAATTTAAACTAAAATTATTTTAAAATATTTCAAATATGTGCTTTTAACAATTTATATAATATTTTTTATTAATTATATTTTTTAGAGTTTTTTAATATTCAATTACACCCTACACCTAATCATCCATCTTTATTATTTTCTTCAACTAAAATAAACTCTTAGTTAAGAGTATTAATTGTTTATTCTCATTATCAAAATTATTTCAGTAAAAAGAAAATAAATAATTGTTATATTTTTGACTTAATAAAATAAACCTTTAATTACCATGGTAGCAGAAGCTAAGTAATATTTGAAATCTTGTAACTTGATGTGATAACTAATAATATTTTTATTATTAATTTATAAAAGAGATTAAGGTTGATATTCGATGATTTGATATAATTTTATTGATTGTAATTAAAATTTTAAATATTTTAAAAAAATTGGACAATCAGACTAAATTATTATACATGCCTCGGTCAGTTTCTATATCTTATTTATTAATTTATTTATTTATTTTCAAAAAAAATATTTTTAAATTTTTGAAAATTTCTTCTTAAAATATTTTTTAATTTATTTATTTTTTAAATAATATTTTTAAATTATTGAAAAAAATTTGTAAAAATATTTTTTAAACAGTTTATTCAAACTTTTAGTGCTAATTTATATTTTTATTTTCATAGCATATCATTCAAAATCATAGATAATATATTTAAAAAATTATAATTTATTTATTAAATTAGACATATTTATTATTATTAATATGTAGTTTTTTATTTTTTTCTCTTTTTTATCTCACATTTTTATTCTTTTCTCTCCTTTCTCACTTATTTGTTTCAATTAAAATAATATATTAAAATTTCATAAAAATATATTAAAATGATTTTTTAAAATTAACGTTGAAAAAAATATCAATTAATTATTTTAAATTATGATAACAAAACTTTTTTATAATGATTGTAAATAATTAATTTAAAATTATTTTATTGATAAATCAATTACTCCTCTCATTAAAAAATATAAAATATTTATGAGTTATAATTTAATCTAGTTATAATTAGGTTCAGTTATAATCATTAGTCAAATTAAATAATTTTAAAAATAATATTTATTAGAAAAATTATTTTAAAATAAATATTATATATTTTTTAATAATTATAATATAATACTAATATTTGTAATAACTCAATTTATTTTGTAATATAATTTTTTAAAATATAATTTATTAGATTGTAGTATTTTTTATTATTTAAATATTTTTACCTTTTAAAAATAATAAATGACTCGTATTATTAAATTTTAATTTAGTATTTTTAATTTAAAGAGTTAGATGAAGTGAGAGAAAAGAAAAAAAATGGAATTTTTTTTTAAAACAAACACTCGAGCAAGGAGAACAAATAAAATAAGAAATAGGTTAAATATGTAATTTAATCCCTTTATTTATTAAAATATTTTAATGTGGTCCTAAAATTTTTAAAATTTTCAATTTAGACATGAATATTAAAATTGATGTTAATTTTGGACTACTATGTTTTGACTTCGTTATATTAAATGTTTAGTTGGAGTATCGGTTCTAATGTGATTATGTCGGTTATAGTTACGTGATAGATTTGTCACGTCATATTAAATTTGCAGGAATAAATGAATAGAGTGGCGGATGTGTTTAGGGTTTGAACAATTGAGAATTTGGTTCCTTCTTTGTCTCTGTCTTCTCGTCGACGATGATCGCTTATCACTGCTTCTCTCTTGTCACCGCCGTTTCTTCATCATTGCAATGGGTCGCAGGTAGTCTCTCTTACGTGTTCGACTTCGCCGTTGTCGCATGTCCCCTTTCCCTCGTCGTCGAAAACAACTCGTTCCCTCGATATCGTCGTCGCAAACCCTAAATGGAATCAGCCTCCTCCTTCGTCACAGTCAATCTCACACCCGACGACGATTGGAACCCTAAACCCCAATGTCATCACAAATGGAACTCCTACCTCTATTGTCGTTGTAGATCCTCTCACTTTCCCTCACTCATTTATACAAACTCTCAATTGTTCAAACCCTAAACACATCCACGATCCTATTTTTTTCTTCTTACAATTTTAATGTGACGTGACAAATCTGCCACGTAATTATAATCAATCACCTAACCACATTAAAGCTGATACTCCAACTAAGCATCTAATATAACTGAGTCAAAACATAAATAATTGTAATAAAAAATTGACATCAATTTTAATATTAATGTCTAAATTAAAAATTTTAAAAATTTTAGGACCACATTGAAATATTTAAAAAAATAAAGGGACTAAATTACCTATTTAACCTAAAAAATATTTATGGAAGTAGTTAGAATTGAATTACAAATAGAACATTCGTAAATATAAAATAATAAATTACAAAAAATTAACGTAAATAGTTATTAAATAATCAATGTAGATAGTTGAATATTTTTATTAATTAGTACACCATGAGCTATCATCTTAAATTTTATTACCTTTAATACTGTTCTTACTCTTTCATTCAATCATTTAGTTTAATATTATATTTTTCTTAAAAAAATTACTTAAACTCTTTTGGTTTATTTTTCATGTTCATTTTGACATCTTTTTCGCATTTAATTATCAATTTTGAAATTTTAATATAATTTTTTGAATATATCACAAGTAATGATTTTCTTTAAAAGATAAAAAATAGTACATCAAATATTAAATATATAGATTTAAGAAATTATAGTTAAAAAATAAAAAATAAACAATATCTATTCATAATATATTAGAAATAATTTATAATTTTTAAATATAATTGAATTATTTGTATAAAATAATAACCATTGAAATAAATATAAATAAAAAATGACCTAATTTTCCACTAATTAAAAATCTTAGTGAAATTTTGTCCATCATATTTATTAAAGATGATGTTCGTGTTTAAGTAGTTTTAAAACAGTTAAATTTTGAGTTTATATTTAATTCATCTAATGATGACACTTTTTATCTTATATTTAAGTTTAGAGAGAATGTCATTTAATCAAATTACATGTCTAAAAAAAGAAGATTATCTTGATAATATATATTTTATAATTTTATACTAAACTAACTAACATTAATAATAAAGAGTAAAATGAAAAATAAGCAAGTGCCCAAATTTAATAGATAAGATGTTTTTATTTAAAACTATCATATTAATATAAATATAAATAATAGTCAAGTATAAAATATTACTTAATAATTTATTAGATAAGTAGTTTTTTTTTTTTATATTTGTCTTTAATTATTATACTTTTAAATTAATTTATAATTATTTGGCTCACGTGCATGGCAAGTATCGAATGGACGCATTGGGCACGGAAGATTATATAAGGAAGAGCCTCAGAGAGACTCACTCTACTTACTACTCCTCAACGCTTTCTCATCGCTGATCAGACTTCAAACCCTAGGATTTGAAGGTATCTCGCACGCTTCTCGATTATCTCCACGTTTTTTTTATCTCCGTTCTTTCTCTATGCAACGCTTTCTCTGCGCGTTTGCTCTGCTTGATCGTGTTATCGCGCTGGCGGAGTTTGATTTTGGGATTTTTAGGGTTGATGTCACTTTTTTCTTTTTATTTTCATGATTTTCTCTCTTGCTTGCTTTTTAACGGCGGGACTGGTAGTTTTTTGTTCTTTGCTTTTTGCTTCTTCTTTTTTCTTCTTTGACTCGTTTGTGTGCTTAGAGATTGTGTTCTTTGGTGCTGTGCACTCATGGGTTTTACTTATTTTTGTTATTGTTATTATTAATTAGGGGTACTTTTATTATTTTGGTGACATATACTGGCTGGTTGTGATCTAACTTGTGCTTTTTCTTTTACTCGTCACATTTTGGTTGGAAATTGACTTCATGAGTTTTTGTTGCAAAATATTTTTTATGGAGTTAACTTAGTTTGATAGAATCTGATGAAAATAATTGTGTTTAAATGCTGGTTTCTGTAATATTCCCACGAGGATGAAATATGCTTTTTTTATTTTAAATTTAATAGTGGTCTCTTGGTTAGGGTATACTGATTTTGAACTTAGCTTCTCTGCATGTGAGGTTCCCCAGACCACCTCCTAATGCTATAAGCAGCCTATTTCTGTTTTCTTCTTATTGTTGTCTCATGGTATTTCAGTATTTCGCTGGATAGTTCACATTAATGCAGTAAAATGGTAGCTAACGTAGTTATGTTTCCTGAATCCTGACAACTAAAGTTAGTTATGTTTCCTTACAATTGACGTTTTTGTTTTTTAAACCTGTCAAACTTTTATCAATTATTTTGCATGCAGTTTACTTGATTTTAGAAAACTGCAATAAAACATTTTATTTATTGTTTGTTTGCCTTACCTTCATAAACTGTAAATTAAATTTAGTTTTTATTCTCAGTGCTCGTTGTTTTATTCATTCTGTTTTTGAAGCCGAGGAATGTGTAATATTAAATACGTTTATATTTATATTGGTTAACAAATCGCTCCAAAAAGTAAAAGTAGGCTGAATTTTGTCTTACACATAGGTGCACACTTGTGATGGCTTCGAAACGCATTACTAAGGAGTTGAAGGATCTGCAGAAGGACCCTCCCGTTTCCTGCAGTGCTGGTTTGTTTGCTTGAGATATTCTCTCTACTGTTTACTTTCCCCTGTCTCCATCGCTTTATCATGGTTATGTGTCTTATTGTTATTGTTTAATCCTGTTGTTCAATAATTCAGAATGATTAGTGCCTATATATCATTTGCAAATCTGTTTTTCTTTCAAGTTATTTGTCATTTCTTTATATAACTTGTGGTTTTCAAACTTGCCTTATTGCTCTTTAATGATTTCAAGTGGTTGCTTATACTTTTTCTACTTCACATGTTAATTTTTTCCTAATTTATTTTTTATTTTGTAATATAAACTTATTTGAAGCTGTTAATTTATTGGGAAAAAGCAGTTATGGTACCACCATATGCAATGATGTTGTGTTTTTTATGCCCGCTGTCATTTGCTGATAGCTGCCAAATTATGTTTTATGATGCCATCCACCATTTCTGCCTCGTGTGGGCTTCTTTTATTTCTCTCTATTTTAGGGCTATTTCAGTGTTGAATTCCATTTCTTCATTTCACTGCATTTCTCCTCATGCTAGCAACTTGAATCATAGCTTGCACCCAGGGCACTGGCAAATGTTTTCATGTGACCACCTCTTTCTTTTTCTCTGCATGTTATTTCTGTGTCGGTCTGTTTTCATCTGTTACCTCTTTTTTTTAGTTTGTCCGTTCTTGTTCTCAGTGCCTGTTCTGTTTCTCTTTTCTGTTTCAGTGTTTCTGCAATATTTAATTATTGGGTCACTCCAACATCTTGCTCTCGCTGTGATTGTTCTGTTCTGTTCTTTTACTTGCTTCATTTTCTGTTTCTGTTATTCTAATACCATTTGTTATCGGTTTCAGTTTGATTTAAAAATTTCAGTCCATCTTCTCTTGGTTTCTAACTTTCTCTATTAAATCTATCAAGTTTCGAATCTTTCTTACTTCTAGGGCAATGTCACAAAAATCAAAGTCAAGCATATTCTGTTTTTATATGTATTGTCCGTTGTGTGTGTGTACGTGTATATATTGTCTCTTGTGTGTGTGTGTGTATACGTATATATGTGTGTGTGTACGTATATATGTTGTCCCTTGTGTGTGTGTGTACGTATATATGTTGTCCCTTGTGTGTGTGTATGTATATATGTTTTCCCTTGTGTGTGTGTGTACGTATATATATATTGTCCCTTGTGTGTGGGTGTGTACGTATATTGCCCCTCGTGGCTTCTGTTGTAGATCATCATCGACAAGATGAAACAAAATGTTATTTTGAGGGAATTGATATTTTTTGAATTGAAGAGATATGGTGCAATGGTGGAAAGTGCCTTGACATACGGGTTTGACTTGTACACCATTTTCCATGTGTAGAATGGAAATGAATGAGCACTGTGGAGAAAATTATTTTGAAATTATTATTATAAGACAGTAACTTAATCAGATGACTTGTCACAAAACTTGGTCATTTTAATTGCCAATAATAAAAATAGTTATATTATTCATTGTTGAATTCTTAAGAGTTATTTTAATGATTAGTTTATTCCATCTTTTTACAATTCATGACTAAGTTAATATTCTTAAAATTTGTCAGTTTAGAATTAATTAATTTATTTGTAATGTTTAACAAATAGAATGAGTTTGTATCTAGGGTAGGAGTAGACCATAGCGATGTCAAAGTAGTGGACCAGAGCAGCCAGTGGCTGCTATTTGGACATCGTAGTGTTGCTGTTTAGTGTTGTGACCACTATAGCAGAGTGGATTTGTGGCCTGTCATGTATAGTAATGTCTTCTGTGTGCATCTCAGGCTTCTTTCCATAGTTATTTTTGGGTAGGACCTGCCGTGATTGACATCAATTAGAAAATAGCTTTGCCAACACCCAAACCTTGAATGAGCTAACATCACAATCGAAATTGAAGCAACAATATATTAACAAAGGCCGGGTCAAAGAGAATACTAAGAAAGGAGAAATAAATTTGGGAGAGATATGAAGAATTTCAAATACCATTTTTAGCTGAATTTGAAATTCTTTAATTTTAATTAATCAAATTACTCTAAAATTTCAAGAATTTTAAATTCATTTAAAATTTCCTATTCAACAACATATTTTGTCATAAAAGCATTTTAAAATTTCTATATAAATGAATTACTCTCTAAAAATGCCTAATCCAAACACATGGTAAGGATTAAATAAGAATACTAGTATAATATGAATAAGGATTAGAAGGTTAGTTGAGAGTAGTAGAAGCTATATGAAGATTTGAATGGGTTATGATGTTTTTTGGTCAAAGCCTTGTTTGTATGTGTAAAATGTAAAATAATATGTAATATTATTAAAATATAAATAAGATTATATGTAGTTATTTATCTTTATCAAATGCACCTGAAGCTATAATCTTGTATATTCCATTCTTGCGTAGGCCCTGTTGGTGATGACATGTTTCATTGGCAAGCTACTATCATGGGTCCAGCAGACAGCCCTTATGCCGGTGGTGTATTCCTGGTCACCATTCACTTCCCACCGGATTATCCATTTAAACCACCAAAGGTAGCTAACTAGGCCTAAATCATCACTATTGATTCTAGTATTTACTTACTGTTAGAAGTCTCACATCGTCTATCTTATGTTATGTGGTATAGTTTAAATATTTGTTAGGCTACTTCACATGTGGCCAATTAGTTTTATATTGGAATCTTAACATGGTATCAGAGTCAAAGCCTAACTTTATTCCACTTATTGTCTTGGGCCAAAAAGTTGTCCTTAAATAACTTTTGTCTGGTCCGGCAGACTTCGTTGGAGGGGGCGTGTTAGAAGTTATACATCGCCTACATCATGTCATGTAGTATGATTTAAATATTTGTTAGGTTACTTCACATATTATCAATTAATTAATTTTATGTTAGAATCTTCACACTTGTTGTGTATCACTTGTCTTCTTTCTTTGAAATTGAATTGGTTTGTTAGTTGTCTTTTTGCTAATTATTCTTGTGTTGTAGTTGGCATGGCATGACGATGATTTGAACCATTTTATGTTGTCAGAATAATATTGAGACATGACCGCCGATTAATAATGTTTTCATTGCTATACCATGAAAACCATATCCTTCATGTCGTTGGCACATACATACCCCTTTACATTGTTAGTTTTGTATAGCATCATGGTCCACTGTGATATTTATTTTTTGTAATGTTCTGCTTTTAACCTTTTCTCCAATTTCACTGAATTGTACTTTCGTCTGTTTTCCTTTATATCAATGCCCGCCTGAAGTTATATCTTGTGCATGTTTCTTTGATGTTGTGAGTATTTAGGTTGGGAAATGTATTTGCAATGTGGCTTTTGTAGGTTTCCTTCCGAACCAAGGTATTTCACCCTAACATAAACAGCAATGGAAGTATCTGTTTGGACATTCTGAAAGAGCAGTGGAGTCCTGCCCTTACAGTTTCTAAGGTATATGAAACTTCATAATCATCAGTCGCCTTGCCTTGGGTGTGTGTGTGTGTGTTAAGACGAATGTGCAAGTAAAGTTGATAGTGAATATTAATGCAATTTGTTGCAGGTGCTACTGTCAATTTGCTCCCTATTGACAGATCCCAACCCAGATGATCCTTTGGTGCCTGATATTGCACATATGTACAAGACAGACAGGGCAAAGTACGAGAGTACCGCCCGTTCTTGGACTCAGAAATACGCCATGAGCTAGACGCAGATATGTTTATGCTTCTGGTGACTGCTTTTGTGCAAAATATGTTGTTTGGGGATGTCGGTACATATATGCATATATAGTGCCTTCTGCTTTCATTTTATAATAATTAAAACCCGGCATATATTTTAGACTTGAACGTTTATACCCTATTAATATTGTTCTATATTGCCTTCCACCTTTCCATTCGCATCTTTGTTTCTCATCATCTCATCATGCTTTTCAAACTTTCAATTAAAAACTTTCAAGTTGATCGTTGAATTTTGCTAAATACCTTTTTCCTGGACTTAACCCATTATCCCTTCATCTATTTTTTGTTTTAGGGTATTATCTGTCTCATCACTGAAGGTATCATTGTAATCCCTTTGCATTATTTCACCCTTTTAGTGAATCATAACAAATATTATAGTAACATAAGACTTAGTTTGTTACATGTCAATTTGTTTGTGTACATAACAAATTTCTTACCTTACTAAAGAAGCGAATTGGTGCATTGAACTGTATACCAAAAGAGTCATCTAACCCTCAATAGAAAGAAAATTCAAGATAACACTATAATGTTATCAAATAATATTTTAATACTTTTATATCAGTTAATATTCCCAAAATTATGCCCCCACCCCCACCACGTGTTTCATCCAACCCCACCCTGCTTCTCACAACAACAACCACCGTTTCACTCACCACTGTTAACATCTGATGAACTATTTTTAGATCATTTCAAGGAAGAAGGGTAAACTACAAATCAATTCTATAAAAACAAAAGACACCTCTTTTCATTTAAAATCTCTATAATTTTTATTTTATTTAAATATTTAACATGAATTTGAATTTTGTGTATGCTTTCGATTTCCGGTTGGAGAACTTTGCGATTAAGAAAAATGATGAATACTGTTTTGGTTAACTTTTTGAATAATGTAAATATTTTTTACATCATTTCTAATGTGATCAATTTATTAATAAGTTCAATTTTTTATACATATCCATATATTGAATTATGTAAATTCTTAATCAAGTTATTGTATCTATCTTATCTGATATTCAAAAATATATTCGTGTTTAATATTCGATTACGATGACACCCTGGGATCTGAAAATACTGGAAGCTTCTTACCTAAATTTGTAGTTGTAAGGGAGGCAGGTCGCTTCCATGGATTTTTCCTAACAACTTGTTCCATTCGAATTACTTGTTAAAATTCAAGTTGTAATTCAAAAATTGAATAACAAATCTATTATCTTAATATTTTAAATTTAAGATAGTGTCTCATTTATCAATATTTAATCTCCATATCTTAAACCCAGCAATATTAACCACTCTTGTCAAATTCAAACAACTTCTACAATTTTTTTAACTCTTTTGTCTACTTTTGTTCTCAGTCTCTTCCTCCATAGCACAAGATCTTTTAATCAAATAATCTACTTGTCCAAGTTAGATTTCTTAATATTTAATGCACAATGCAATTTTTTTTTCTAATCCATATGGTTAACATAAAATATTTGACAATATTGTAAAGATCACGGGCTAATCATGAAAATCGTTTTGCCATTTTTTTTCTCCCTGCTTGTTTGATGGTATTGCTGTAAATTTAGATGAGAAATATGGATAGTTTTTAAATTGAAATCCGTGGAAATGCACGTGACATTGCACCAAACTAATAAAATAAAAATAAAACTTAGGATATTATTCCATGCTATTATTTTCATTGAAAGGTATTGATGGAAATTTCATAATATTTAAATATATGAAAAAAATATATAAATAAATACAAATCTTAGCTTAAATTAAATTTAAACTCACTTTCTAACATAATATTTATTAAATCTAAATCTTAAGAAATTTAGTTGGTATTTCTGAATCTTAACACATTAATCTTAAAGTTGAAGCTATTCATGTTTTTTTTATGGTTACCTTTTGTTATTGAGAACAAGGATAATAGATAAAGTTTTGATGACAACTAGAGAGGGGACCAATCTCCGTGAGTTTTTTCTCGTGATTCTTGATATGCAGAAAAGCATAAGCAATAAAACGAAAAGTGAAGGAAGCTTCCAAAATAGCGTGAAAACAAGCTCAGCACCATTTTAGAGTACTCATCGTCATCTTAATCCTGTGAATTTGCTTTTATCTATTGCTTGTAATGTCTTTTAAGAGATATATAAAGGGTAGAATTAACTACAAAATCTGTATATAAATTCACCTCTTCTTCACTTCATTAACCTACCACAACATGGAGTTCAGAGTCTTTATTCTTGCCATTTTTCTACTACTTCAGGTACACTGAATTTGGTATTCAAAATGCCAGATATCGTCATTTCTCTGCAAAAGCAAAATGGGAAAGTTAAATTCTGACAAAAATGTTTGTGCTTTGGTGTTTGAAATTTCCCATTTTTAGGGTTTCGCAGAAGTTTCATCCATCAGTACCGGAGTAGCCAATTCTCTTGAAAGTGTGAGTTATCCTGAATTTTCTACTTACATGCATGCCATTGGTAATGCATGCAGGAGTAGTGTGCACCTAAATTAGTTGGTATAGTAGATTACATTTGCTTTTCTTTATTTTGTAAATTATGTATACTATTTACCAGAAAAAAGTAAACATTGTAAACAAAAGCAAGAACATTTGTGTTTTGATTGCAGACAAATAAAGGATATCAGACTGTGGCTCTGAATAACAAAGATTTCCAGCTGCACAGAATCAGTAAGTAGAACATCTTTAAGGATGAGCAAAATGTTTTCGTTTTTTTTTTCTTTTTAATATTTTGTCCAGTTTGTAGTTTTTTTTGGAGAAATGCAAATTTTGGAAAGGTTTTGTCATGGTTTCAACATAAAACTAACATTTATTTGACATGAGTCAAAATGTGGCACTTCCAACAGGTTTCAGGTCCAATTGTTTGCATCTGACCATGTTTTATCTTCAATCAGAACTTTCATAGAAATCATATATAGATCCATGAAAAGTTGATGATGGGGATACAAGAAATGAATCTAAATATTTGTTTTGAACCATTAACAATTCTTAGATTGCAACCATGAATGTTCAAGAAGATGCAGCAAAGCATATAAAAGGAAGAGATGCAAGAGAGCATGCAAGTCATGTTGCAACAGATGCCACTGTGTGCCCCCTGGAACCTACGGCCATAAGGAGGTTTGTCCTTGTTATGCACGCCTCAAGACTCATGGGAATAAGCCTAAGTGCCCTTGAAATTATTCAATACCCACATTCAAATCTATATATCATTTCAATGTATGAGGAATAAATTTCACTACTTTACTTTCTCGTATGGAGCCAATGGACTATATATGCTGTAATTTCATTCTATTTTGATGAATGCTTCCTGTTTATTTTTTATATTTATTATATTATATTATATTATATATATATATATATATATATATATATATATATATGTATGTATATATAGAGAGAGAGAGAGAGAGAGATAGATAGATAGATAGATAGATAGATTAATAGATAGATAGATAGAGTATTTAGATTGGTCCCTTAACATTTGGAACAAATTTCTATGCATGTCCAAGTTTCACATATAATTGAATAAAATTGTTTATGGCTTTACACGTATTTGAATGATGTTTGAAAAGTTCTACGGTATATATTATTATGTATATAATTAATAAAATACATAACTTGGAAGATAAGAGTTCTGTTATTTCTTACTCTCACCATTAAAAAAAAAAGCTACATAATCTATTTGAATTTGGAGTTTTTTTAATTATTTTAAAACGGAATACATAGATTCTTCTTCTCTCACCCTTTATAGTGTTTTCCTTCAAGCTGAAAAAAAAAACGTTCTTATAGCATTTTAATTAAATTATTTATCTTTTTATGTAAATTTCATTTATGTTTTAAAATGGTTATACATAAAAAGGATCTTATTTAAGGTTTCATCCTAATTCCATAAAATAGCAACATGGGTCTTTATATGTTTGTTTTATGTGAAGGAAGAAATTATTTTAGAAGGAAGGGTGGTGAAAATGAGAAGATAATATGAAATGTGTGGTATGTGCACGTGATTGTCTTTGTTCGGTTATTTAATGGTGTTATCATAGAGGATCTATCATAACTAGAAATTCGTTATCATAGAGGATCGAATGAAAATATTCGTCTAATGTGGTGAATGATTTATTTGTCATTTTGTTATCATTTAGCTCAAAAGAATAATAAAACTTTGTAGTGAAAAAGGATGGCACGTGTAAAAAGGTGGAAGCTTCAGCTCAAAAACATTTGGTAAAGAAGGATAAGGTTGTAATGTTTCATCACATGAATTGAACCTTCATATAATGTTAGGAACATTAGTTGTTAAGAACCATCGTGGAATAACTTTGGTATAAAAGTTGAAACATCCCCCTTGACAAATCACAATATGAAAATTTGTAAAGAAGTGAGTCTCAACACAATAGATAATCAAATTTGATATGGAGGAGATGATCATAGGGTAGACTAAACGACTAGGATATATCACATAACTGAATTTCATATCCTCGAAAAATTAAAAATATTATAAATTGATGAGAACCAACTTTTGTACTAAGATTTTTTACTTTAAATAATTATCTAATTTAAGTTGTATAAGACTACTGAGTTTGGAAATTTTAGTTATTGATTGATTTGTTAAAAATGGCTAAAAATAATAATGAAAAGGCTAAAAAATGGCTAAAGATAGCTGCATTAGAAACGTTACAGACCGATTTTTTTTTTCTTAAACCGTGTGAAGAAAATATTATAAGTAAATGAATTGACACGAAGAATACTACAAAAATCAACACTTATCATACAATTATAATTGACGGTTAGATAATAATATAAAACTATAGAATATTTCAAATAACTTTTAAAAGTAATTTTCATATTTCATAATTAGTAATCTAAAGTGAAATACCTCTCTTTCATATTCATTGATGTTTAAAGTTAAAAACACCAAAAAAAAAGTACTTAAAACATATCATTCTAGACTAAAATACTCTGATTCTTTAAAATAAAATATTATAGCAATTATTAAATAGGGTATAAGTGAAGAAAATATCAATGATTGTTCGAAATTGTATAATATAGAGCTGCAAAGTCAATGATGAAGTATTAACAAATTATATAATATAAAACTGACTGGAGTACCTACAATTTACAAATGCCCTTTCAAATTAGCAACATTTCAGCTAGTTTAAAAGGTCATGTTAGCTTAGCTGCAGTGCATCCCGAACCAGTTCAACTAGGAATTGCTATATGTGATCAGAACTTTCATCAAACAAATCCCCTAACCCAAAAAATAAAAAATAAAAAAGAATATCATCCCCCTCCACAAAGAACAAAAACGAATCATGGTAAAATGTGCAGGGCCCTAAAAATATAAGAAAGCAAAGCAGCAGATACGATATTTCTGGCCTGGCCAAAAAGAAGCTATTTGGCACAAAACTCAGACTTGAATCGGGTGAGGTTCTGAGTGAATTTATCCCTGTTCTTTCCATCCAAGCTAAGCGACACATCTGTCATAAGCTTGTCAAAGCACAAAGAAAGCCGCTGGTGTTGGTCTGGTGGCTGCAAAATGATTCAAGGAAAATTTAGATTTTGAAGCTTGAAATTATAGCTACTTATATTGCGAATAGAATACCTATAAATGCTGCCTGTGCAGATACAAGACTGGTTAACAGCCTAACTTTGGCCACGCTTGAACGTTTATTTGATTTTGTTTTCTAAATATTTAACATACAAAATATTCCAGATTGTTTTGATCGGGAAACAAGCATAATTTCATCACTTATTAGAAAAAATTACAAATATGAATATATTTATTGGTTCCTCTACCTACTTGGACTCAACAAGGTTTGCTTCTGAATAAAAATTGTAAGGGTTTCGCTAAAACAAACCATGTGGACCAACTAAAACCAGTGGAAATAGTTGCAAATTACGCTGAGAAGCATCCATTTTATTGAGGGCTAGAACCTAGAAGCGGCTAGAGCCTAGAAAACATGGTTATCAAATTCTTTAGATATTTTGTTCTTATCTGCGGAGAGGTAGGCTCTTTGTTCTCTTCCCTCGTTTTTTATGCCATATAACGATGCTGAGACTTGATTTGGTTGTTGTTTGGAATTTTATTTGTTTTTAAAATGTCTGGAACTAGAAACTTATTTGTACAGTGTATTTATTTTTAACTTATATGATAGTCATGTACTACTAGACTTAGTTATTTAGTATTGTGGATAATTGTTTACTACTTTGTTTAATTATGTTGTTGACTAAGTACAGTCAAAGGGACATCAAAATCCCACATCGAAGGTATGGGATACTTTACTTTAGGGAGTATTGAACTAAGCTTCCTCACTCATTTTTCTTGGCACCCACAGTTTTTGCTCATTTGGATCTATACTAGTGTGTCAAGAACTTTTTCAAAAAAGCAATCAATACTTCCCAATTAACACCAATTGAAAAGCACCCAAGCCTTTGGGGAATCGATACCTAATCATTAAGGGAAGACAACAATATACTTACACCAAAGTACCAATTTTGGTCTGCATGGCCTGCCGAATTCAACTCATTTTGTCATCTTTATGGATTAAAATCATTTATACACCCAATACGTGAACTACGTATGTCCAATTCCTGATCACTGAAGTATGAATTTAGAATTTGAGGTATGTCCATTTCCTCTTAACAGGCCATAAAGAGACTCTTATCCAACTATTCTTCTCCATGGTTGTCATTTGTCATTGGCCTCTTTTCCAACTTCTTATCAAGAATGTTTTCCTACATATGATCTTGAAGAATTCTACATGAACCAACCACATAGTTTTGCTACTAAGGGGAAGTGCTCTACCATGGTTAATCAACTTCATAGATATTAATATGGACTTATACAATCCCCAGAGCCCAGTTTGGTTGTTTTCGTACTGTTATGCAATAATTCGGTATGAATTGGAATAAAGCCTACTATTCTATCTTCTATCGTCAATTACCCAAGAGATGCATGTATCGCATTGTCTATGTGAATGATACTATCATTGGATGACAAAAGTTTGATATATGCATAAATTGGCTAATTAAACTCACTGCATAGGCAATATATGGCCTGGTATGCGACAAATATATAAGTCTGCCCCACTAAACGCTGGTACATATCTTTTTCAACAGCAACATCTTCTTCGCATTTCCAAGCTTTAGGTTTGGTTCTAATGAGGTACTAGCAGGTTTGCAAGCTGTCTTGCCAGTTTTCTTGAGCAAATCAGTGATGTATTTCTGCTGGGATATAAATATCCCTTTCTTGGAGTGGGTAACTTCAATTCCTAAAAAATATTTTAGTTTTCCTAAGGTCTTGATATCAAATTCCTTGTCTAAGCATTGACTCAACAATTGCTGCTCTTCTTTATTATATCCAGTTAATATTATTTCATCCACATACACCAATAATATCATTACTCCCCCTGACTTGGAATGTTTAAAGAACAAAGTATGATCCCCTTGGCTTTGTTTGTAACCCAGACCTGTCATAACTTTAGTAAACCTGCCAAACCATGCACGGGGGGATTGTTTTAGCCCATATAATGTCTTTTTCAACTTGCAAACAGTGTTGGCAACAACATCTCTACCATATCCCGGAGGTATCTCCATATAAATTTCTTCTTCAAGGTCTCCATGTAGGAAAGCATTCTTAACATCAAATTGTTCCAAGTTCAACCATAATTGGCAGCAAGGGACAATATCACCCTAACTGTGTTCATTTTGGCAACCGGAGCAAAGGTCTCCAAATAATCAACTCCATAGGTTTGGGTGAACCCTTTGGCAACTAGTCTTGCCTTATATCTCTCAATTGATCCATCAACCTTGTATTTCACTGTATAGACCCACTTACATCCAACTGGCCTCTTTCCTATTGGTAAGGTGACTAACTCCCAAGTGTTGTTCTTCTCCAATGCCTCCATCTCTACATCCATGGCTTGCCTCCATTTTCTATCAGACAATGCCTCAGATAAGGTATTAGGTAGAAGTACAGTGTTTAGGTTTACTAGGAAGGTTTTATGGGTAGGAGAGAAATTTTTAAAGAACAGGTAATTTGAGAGAGGGTAGAGTGGTTGTTTGGTGCATTTTCTTGTCCCTTTTCTAATGGCAATTGGGAGGTTAGGATCATTTTGGGTTTCAATTTCAACCTGCACAGCTGGAGAAAAAATTGTTACCTCTTTTTGTGGAGTCGAGTTGGATTCTTGAACATGGCTTGATCCTGGAATGACCTTAGTCTTCCTTGAGTACACCAGCTTCTTACCAAATTTTCCAGCTTCAACATCTTCTTGATCAACTTCACAATTAATTTCACTTTGTTGACCAACTTCCTTTTCTTGACCAATTCCTTGACTTGTTTCATTTGTTGCAGCTTCAATTTGATCTCGTTTAGATTCAAATATCAAGTTTGGAATAATGGGAAAACCAGAATTACTACTTTCAATATGATCTCGTTTAGGTTCAAATATCAAGTCTGGAAGAATGGGAAAACCAGAATTACTACTTTCCTTATCTTCCCTGAAACTCTCCCCCTGAAGATAAGATTGATGGAAATAACCCTCTTGTTCATCGAAGTTAACATCCCTAGACACAAAGAATTTTTTGGATGGGGGGATGGTAGCATTTATACCCTTTCTGAGTGGGTGAGTAACAAACAAAGACACACTTTAAGGCTCTAGGATCAAGTTTCCATAGGGCTTTTTGATCCTAAGACTCTAGAGGATAGTCTATTGATAAGGTATGTTGTTGTAAGGACAACTTCCCCCCATAAATTTTTTGGGACACTTTTTTGGAACAACAATTCCCGAGTCTGATTTAATAGATGTCCATTTTTCCTCTCTGCGACCCCATTTTGCTGTGGTGTTTTGACACAAGAGGACTCTTGAATTATACTTTCTTTATGACAAAAAGAATTAAGAACATGATTGAAGTAATCTTTGGCATTATCTGACCTAAGCCTCTTAATATTAACACCAAACTGATTTTTTATCATGGAGTGGAAGTTTAGGAAGGCAGAACTGACTTCTGATTTTTGTTTAAGTAGGAAAACCCAAGTGACCCTTGTATAGTCATCTATAAAGGTGACAAACCATCGAGCACCAGACACATTTGGAACATTAGAAGGTCCTCATACATCAGTATGAACAAGATAAAAAGGGAAATTGCTAATTCTATTACTTATTGGAAAAGATACACGTTTGTGCTTAGCAAGTTCACACACCTCACAATGAAGACTCTCAACATCTAACTTGGTAAACAGAGAGGGAAACATAATTTTGATCACTCCAAAAGAGGGATGTCCCAACCGACAATGATAAAGCATGATTTTTTCTTTGTTGGTCATCAAGGATTCATATATGAAGGAGTGAGAGATTCTGTTCTTGCTGGACAAACTTGGATCTTCGAGATAATAAAGGTCATTCCATTCTCTAGCATGTCCAATCATCCTCCTTGAATCCTTATCCTGAAATACACAATGATCGTTGAAAAAAACAACTTTACATGACAAATCCTTTATAAGTTTTTGTATAGACACTAGGTTGGTGGACAACTTTGGGACATGAAAAACATCTTTTAAGGTTATTAAATGATTGATTTGGATATTTCCTTGACCAGCTACAATTATAAGGGTTCCATCTGCAGTGGCAATTTTCTTGTTGCTGGGACATGGGGAATATGTGGAGAAGTGTTTGGCTAATGGTGTCACGTGGTCTGTGGCTCCAGAGTCCAATATCTAATAATGGTTAAAAGGTGTATCTGAGACATTTAATCCAAAAGAAAGTGGAAACTTACCTGAGTATGCCAAAGAACACATACCTGTAGGTTTTTCCAGCTTACTAAGAAAGGTTCTCATCCTTTCTATCTCCTCTTGGTTAAGATGGGCAACAGCTTTTGGATTATTTCCTTCATTTGTTTCAGCAGCAACATACACTTGTCCTCCTTTCCTTAAGGAGCCTCCTCTGTGTCCCCCTTCTCGATCTCGATTTAAAGGCTTCCCATGTAACTTCCAACACTTCTCTCGGGTATGACGAGGCTTATTGCAGTAGGTACACCAGAGTCCATCACCTTTCTTCTCCACATTTGTTGATCCTGCTTTCTTCTGTTCGGCTACCCCTTTTCTATTCAACATTGCACAAACAAGTTGGGCCCACTTCAAATAATTTCTTCCATTTAGTCCATATGCAAAATGAATATTCTACAGGTCTCCAGATAGCTGGGATTGGATATTCCCCGTTTATGGGTTGGGTTCACAACTTCCTCTTCTCTTGACATTATAGCAAAAAGGTGTGATGCAACAGCAATGCAGGCTGTCGTTTTAGGGTTAAGAAAAATGTAGCAGCAATACAGGCTACCGTCTTAGGGTTAAGAAAAATGTAACAACAATATAGGCTGTCGTCTTAGGGTTTATAGTGCGCAGACAAAACTTCCTAGATCGGAAAATCTGATACCATCTGGAAAATTAGATTAAATGAAATCTTCTTTTATTATTTTAATACAAAGAGATCATACAAGATATATACAGGAGATCTAAGCTATTTTAGGAAATATAATAACTCTATTTTATTCTAGGATCTCTTGATTTATGGGATTGTTCCTAATTGTTCAAATCTGTACAGATTACAAATTTCCTAATTTATTCTTTCCTAAAATACTATTTGATTTCCCACATAAACAAAAGTTCTTGCACAAAAAGAAACTCAGTTATATATATTTACAGCTCCATAATCCATATACAACAAATGAGACTATTGAAAGTTACGTGTGAGTTGAAGTCTCACACAAGATATAGAAATGGGAAAGTTGAGTAACAAGTAAGAAAAATCCACAAACCTAATGCCTTAAAGGTTGAGTTAAAGGTGGTATTATATTTTCTTATATGGTTCCCTTGGTCTCATTTGTGAATACTTGTCAATGCCCCCCACTTTTGGTGATCAATCTTAGAAACATAACTAGCCTTGGTGCGGGATTGTTAGAACAATCCTGTCCCTTAAGCCAAGTATCATCACCAGAGATATCAACTCATGAGTAGACCACAGAACACAAACATGATAAAAGTAGCAGCAGGCCAAGCGTTAGGAAAGACACCATAGGAGGTAGATTCAACCATGCCCAAGAATCACTAGCAATAGTACACATTAAACAAAGACTAAAAGAACACAAATCAAGAGCCAACCAAATGAGTGATGACAGAATTTGAAAAGGGAGATAGATAAGGATAATGCTAGAATTGGTAGTGAGAATGACAGGTAGATGCACCACCACCTGCTACAGCAGGAACTGGTGGTGTGGGCAAAGCGAAAACCACTCCTAGAGAAGGTGACATGGACAAGTTCAAAAGGTAGTGGGATAGCAGCATGGCAAAACATATGGGCCAAAAGAACACAACAGCAGAGAAGGAAACCCAATAAGGGTTGCAGGAGGGCAATGAGTCCAGCAAAAAATCGCTGCTGCCAGTTAACTTTCACCAATATTTGTGAGAGGAAAAAGGAAGCCGTCGAGTGAATTAATCCATGTGTCTTGCTTACTAAGAGGAGACTCGTACTGTACTGATACAATATAAATACAATGGATAACAGTTACATAATTATGCTATTCATAATATCCATAGTATTTCACTATTTACACAACATTATATGATTACAATATTCCTAAGGGGACCTAGAATACATTTCTAATATTTTTGGCAATAGATGATTAGTTTCTTTCATTGATGACTTAACTCAATGTAAGTGTATCAACTGTGTTGCTCAATTTATTATATGGTCCAGACATAATGTTTAGACGATATAAATGTATCTACATTTGTAGCACAGATTTAGCCTTATTTCACGAAAGTAATTATTCTGTTTAGACTATATAACATAATGTTGTAAACAGTATGGTAATGATGATAATAACTATACATATAACCGATGGATTTATTTAATACTATATGGTCATAATAACAGTACAAGAAAACTACAATTTATATTTATGCCCATATTAACCAATGCAAACCAATATACTGCTAAATTACATAACAAGATGTGCCCGGCAAAAATAAAGATGGCAGACAGATTTGGACTTACATAGGAAGACAAAATTTGAGCCTTGACATTTGTGAACATCTGCAACAAAAATTATCATGTCAATATTCTTGTTTATATTGAAGAAATTACAAGAGTTAGATAAGGTGGAAAGAAGTATAGGAAGAATGCTCCTGGTAATATTAGATGGATATGTGTTATAGATGTGTACTAGTGTCATACAAGAAATACAAACAAAGGAAGTATCACTGATGCTAACTTCAACCTAATAATAAAATCTTTTGATCACTAAACATATGCTTAGTGGTAATTCTTCCAATACCATTATTAAAGTAAATAGTTCAGAGATATTGAATAAAATCTGTGTATGTAATAAGAAAACAGAGGAACATAAACTTGTTGAAGAGATAAAATAGAATCAAGATATATCTTTTTAATCAGAGGTTGAATCAATCATCAGAAGAAGAATTAGGCCAAAAATTAGGATACATTATGGGAAAATAAAACTTCCATCGAAGAGAAGCAAATGAAAGGCTTTCATAAAAATTCTTGTAGAATCGAGAATGAAGTTTTCATTCTATACATGTCAGATCATAAATTAGTAACTGCATCCAATCTCCAAAAAATCCCAATTGTTTCGAATTTTTTTATTTTTTTGAAATGGAATAGTTACAGAATCCCCATGAATAGGATCGGAAGTATCACTGATGCTAACTTCAACCTAATAATAAAATCTTTTGATCACTAAACCTATGCTTTCTAGTGGTAATTCTTCCAATACCATTATTAAAGTAAATAGTTCAGAGATATTGAATAAAATCTGTGTATGTAATAAGAAAACAGAGGAACATATATATATATATATATATATGGTACAAAGAGATAGGCATGGACCCATATAGTTAGTTATTTCTAACAACCATCCAAAACCTTATTTGAAAATTTCCAAATTATTTTTGTTGGTCCAAGTGTTTGTGCTACTGTGCTGAGCAGTATTAGAGCATAGAGTTTTACTCCAAGTCAATGGTAGTCAGTTAGAATTCTGGTACGAGTTAGTTTTCCTTCTCAGCCACATATAGCTGCATCACAATACTCAATGTGTGTTGTAATCATCACATTATCTCGTCTGTCAACTGCTAGGACCAGTGATCAAAGGACATAGGTTGCATCTTTATCTTGTCAATCCGTAAATTCTATTCAAATAATGCAGATAATGTTTTTGATTCTTATACACATCATCAGTTGCAAATTGTTGCGGCAACTTTGAGACAAGTCACATATATATTCATTTGCACAACAATGTGAAGGTTCATTAACTTTGAACAGAGCTTCGAAACACTTGGCTTGTGAATCATTGTTTCGGAATATCCACTTCACATTTAAGACTTATAAACATCGTGATGAAATTTTCGGAGGACTTCTAAAGATTTGAATCCACAATCTTATTGTAGCAAGCTTGAACCTGACTCTCATTGTTCATGAGGTTGGGACACTAACTCGCTCACGAGGCACATCTTATGAAATTCAATTAGAAAGTTCTTGCTTAAGCTAATGTTGAAGTCTCCAATCCTATTTCATCTTTGCTAAATCTCAATCACCAAATGCTGATCCTAATTTTGAATCACAAACTGGAAAAGCTTAACAATTATCGTCACAATGGTAATCTTGGTAGATGATTTGATAGTGTAAGGTATGTCAGAAGTATGGTCATGAACCCACCGTGCTGCGCAATCATAGTTCTAAAGAGAATTTTGTACATGTTGTGCATTTGGATTTTCTCACTTTTCAACAATCCTTCTCCTCACGGTGGCCTACTTTCACGGAATGTTTATCAGTACCTGCCTCAAGGCATAGTTTGGTTCATGTCTTTGTTTCAATATACACAACCCTGCTTTGGCATACCAAGTCCATCCATGCCTCTCACTCCAGCTCCTTATGCCACGCTCGCAATTGTTCATCCTTCTATACAACGTGACCAATGTATCTCAAAACATATAATAGTCCTTTCTCACTAATTTATTATTTGTTCTGTCAATTACAAAAAATCAGAGGACAACAATGATATCTTGCTTCAATACATTATTGGTCTAGTTCCCTTCTCTTATATAACACTCTAACAACATCAACTCTATCTCAATTCAATCCTAATCAATCTAATTATTTTGTTGCAACTAATCTCCTTGCTAATAGATCTAGTATTTCGTCTATTACCTTGGCAACTTGGCACTTCAGTTCGGACACCCTAGTGCTAATATACAAAAAATTGTATTAAATTATTGTAACTTCCCTTCAATAAATAAGCTTGTTACAAATTTTTGCTCCTCATGTTGTCTTGCTTATCAGAAACTATGTATCATAAACCTCTTGAATTAATCTTCAGTAAGTTGTCAATACCCCTATATACGTTAAACATGGCTTTACGTTAAAATAATTTGATACACTGCAAGTATTAAAATTATTTCACCTTGGACTGAGGAATATGGTCCCCTCCACCAATTATCTTAATCAGTTTGGGATCATTCACATTATTATTTTCTTGCTCAAGCTTCCTACCCTTTCCACATTTCGCAATCATGCCTTCACAACACTCATCACAAAAAAGCTTCCTCATTTTTCTCTTAACTTTTCCATCCATTAACAAAATTTATTTAATAAATTACCTGATTAAAACTTCTTTATAGTTTTCAGTTGCGTCTATTTTCCCCAATTATGTCCTACAATTTCAATCTGATGAGTGTGTTATGAGAGGTTATTCCACCTCTCATTAGTGTCTCTCGATATGTAAAAAGATGTCATCTTAAATGAGTTTCGATTTACCGATAAAGAGCTTTTCCTAATATGCCTCCATCCTCATCACCATGTCACTATCCCTTATTTAGTCACAAAATATACACCCTATCCCATATCCCTCAGTACAATGTTCTCGCCAAGGCTTTTTCTCCTTTCCCAGTTTCTAAACTTTGCACATCTAGCTCATAGTGGTGGACTCTTCTGTTTCCCACACCTGCTGAGCTTGCAGGGGTATTAGAGTAAAGAGATTTACTCTTGTAGTTTTCTCTATTATGCTCTATTTTCAGCTTTAGGTGTCACTTAACTAACTTGATAGCTGTCAATGACAATTAATTATTATTCTGTTCGGAGGTAGTTTTCCTTCTTTGCTATATGTAGCTACATGTGTTGTAATCATTCTTCTCTTCTAGTAATAAAATCAAGTTTATATTCTCTGCAACTCTTCTAACTTTAACAGGCAACCCATAAAATACTCATACTATGAATTTATATGGATATTCAACATGAAATGGACAACAATATGAAAATCATGGAATCCTGAAAATTCCACATTTCCAGATTAAAACAGAATGTCATGATATAAAATGTGCATTGTCATGTCGTGTTCAAACATCCAAGAAAACTGACTATCCTGCATACCAATGTTCAAATAACAGGCCAAATGCTCTAAATATCCATTTAAGCACCTAGTTTTTGAAACAATCATGTCAAAAAAATTTACTGACACATTATGTGTTCTGTTTAGCATGAACAACCATTCGAATTTATAACTTCTGAAACAGTATGAAAAATTAATATTAAAGTGAATGATAATGGTAATCGACTAGTCAAATAATCACCTCTTCACTGATTAGCATCATGCTCAGAATTGCACGGCTAAGAGTCCACTGATTCCCACGGTCCTCGAATATAACAACTTCAAATAGAGTTTTCAATATCTAGAGAAAATATAAATATCAAGGCATGCTTATATCAGACAAAACACCAATACAGTAAGCACATTGGTTCAGCTTTAATAAAAAGAAAAATAAACCTTAAGCAAGCTAAATACAAACATACTCTAGAGAAAAGTTCAGCACAATCAGAAGTGAGTCCAGCTACATTATGAGCAGCAAGTGAGTTAACTGACTCTCCAACAGTAACATGGGTGAAATAAAATGTAGCCAAGTTGTCAATAGCATAGGCAGACTACATACACATAGGGAAAATTCGAGTTAGCAACTATACAAATACCATCTAATAATAAGAAATTGCCCCTAGTTCTCAAATCATGAGCATGTAAAAATTGATATCTGGTTTATAAACCAAATTTTCATTGAATACCAGTAAATATCATTAATTGAATTATTTTGGGTAATCATTATTCATAGGGGTGTCAGAGAGCCAACTCAGCTCATATGGGCAGGTTGACTCATTACGGGCTGAGCTGAAAATAGGTGAACTAAGACTTTATGACAAGCTAGATATTTCACAACCCGGCTCAACACACTACGGGGTTAGTGGGTTAGCTCATCACGGGTTGAGTTGAAAATAAGCGAGTTCAACCTAACTGACTTTATGGTGAGCCAAAAATTTCATAACCCAGCTCAACCCACTACGGGTTGGTGGGTTAGGTGGGTTGGCTAACTAACCCATTCTTATTTTTTTGTTCTTCAATTTTTTTTCTAATAAGCACGACTAAATTTTGAAACTAAAACACAGTGGCACAGTAGTACAGCAAACGCTGTGACGCGACTAAAACACGATGGTGCGGTGGCACGTTGAATGCAGTGTCGCAGCAAACGCTAAGGCACAATTGAAACGCGATGGCACGGTGACGTAGCAAACGCAACAAACATTGTGGCACATGGTGTAGCAGACAGATGGCAACCGGTCCAGGTGCAACGGCGAACACAGTAATACAGTGAACAACTGATGACAAGCTTGAGCAAGAGGTTGGCTTGTAGTAGTAATGTAGAATAGAGGTGGAAAGACAAAATAATATCAATTAGGATTAATAAATTATTATAATTATTTTTAAAATTTAAAATGAATAGTGAGTTGCGGGCAAACTCACCCTAACCTGACTCGAACCCGTTTGGGTTAAGTGAGTCAGGTTCGTTTTTAGCCCATTATCGACAGAAATGAACCCAACTCGACTCAAACCTGTGATAAGCCGAGTTAGTTCATGGGTTACAACCCATATTGACACCCCTAATTGTTCACAACATTTACCTTTGGTAGGTATGCAAAACAAGAAAAAAAGGAACATGTAGGAGATGTCTCACAAGGGAGTCTGGTTAGAGTTTAGTTATATGCCACTGTAATCCATATAAATATATTTTAGCTGAATATTCATCTTTTATTTACTTTTTGGTAAAGTTGTCAAAACAAGTGACCCAGCCTTACTTGGCATTGGGCCAAGTAAAAAAATTTGATAGTCTAGCTTGACCTATATTTTTAAACGGACCAAATTTTTTAGCTTAGTTTGACCTTATGTTAGGCCAATGGGCTAACAAACTTATTTTGGCTTGATTGAATTTTTTTTTTAAAATGTAACATATCTTATACCAAATCAATTAATTAAAAAAATATTTAAATAAAAAATAAAAATATATTTTTAAAATTTAAATTTTATTAATAAAAACAATTTTTATTTAAGATATAATGATTTAATATATAAATTATAAGAGAATGAATTCATTCAATCTCAAAATAAGGATTAAAAACTTAATCTTCATTATCATTATTTATTTTTTAGTAATTTATTAATTTAAAATAGTAATTAATTTTAATCGTTAGATCTTAGAATAAATGGTTGCTAGATATTTATTTTAATATTTACTCTTAGAACAAGTGAATCTCTTATTAAATTAATTTATAATACATATATGTTTTTTAATAAAATAATATTAATTTTATTTTTATTTAAAAAATCATTATTATTCTATAAAATGGACCAGTTCATAAGTATTCGGACTAGCTTAGCCTAAAGCTCATGTAAGTCATGGCCTAAATAAATCCGGCCAAAATAGGTTTGATTCAATTTAGACCATAAATTTTTTGACTAAGCCTGGGTTATTTCTTGAACCTTTCGATCAGTATCAAGCTAAGCCTATTTTGATACCCCTATAGTGATATGTATCTAACACCCTTAGGTACCTCTATTACCATTCTTATTATATATAGTATCTTTCTTTCCTGAGCTAAATAAACATAATTGAATTACCATAACAAAAAATGTGCGAAGCTTTTACAAACCTGTGATGATATTTTCTCACTTGAATCTTTAAGGCCTGATTCAAGAGTTCCAACAACATGCATAAAGGTAGTTTTATCCAAACTCAAAACAAATGATAAATGATTACTGAAGAGAGAATCCAAGAATGCAAAGTAAGCTGCTGCGACCTGGAAAAATGACAAAACAATAAGCTTGTAACGATATTTTCAACTCACTCGACACTGTAGATTCAATATGCTGTGATCAGAACACAACATATGACAATCATTGTTTCCTTCTCAATTCAAACTCAGCCATCATTAAATTTTAGTTCTTTGAACTATTTTCCATAAACAATACTAGATATCAGGACTGACCCAACCTGTGTTGTTAACAAGGGAAAAGGCACAAAACCAAACAAAATATACATGAAAAAATAATGATCAAACACTTGGCTGAAAATGAAATGATATCAATTTAAGAAAACAAGTAAACCAAATAGTAATACAAATTTTCTTGCATAATCATTACCAAATAATTAAATTTAAACAGTTAAGTAGACAAATGCAAATATTACATGCAAGGTTTACCTACTATGTGTGCGTATTTACAGATATATTACAATTTACAACGGACAACATGGATAAACCAGAGGAAAGCACTTATATTGTTAACGAGCATATTGGAGAACATACAGAGTAAATGTAGAGTTGTACCTTCCGAAATGCAAATATATCGGCCAAAGGAATTGATAATATCATCTTAACAGTGATATCAAGAGCATCAACAAGCGCTCTATCACCATAAAGTTCAAAAATTCCAAAGTTGACAAAGCTCCCAGACATTGCTGCCAGAAAAAAGAAAACAACTAAAATAAACCCATTGGCAATGAAAATTATATGATACTATAACATAATATGTTCACTCGATTATTTTTTGCTTTATAAACCCGAAAAGGGAAAACAGATAATACACAGTGCTGTAAATAACTGGAAGTGTTAGTGAAGAGACAAATTACGGTGAAAACAACCTCTAAAATAAATAAAAATGGTCCGACAATTTATGATTTCACTTCTATTACCTTTAACAATTCAGACATACTTACAAATAAATTTCATACTGCTGATATAAAATTGCACATAAAATGTGACAAAATTACTAAGAGGGGTAAATAAAAAACCATTTAACCAAGTGAAACTTGAGAAAATATTATATTCAGAATATAATAGGATAGTAGTGAAAATCGGATTGGAAGGTGGTGGCACCAAAATGTATTTTTTAACATGTGGGGTTTAAATCTACTGACTAAGTGTTATATAGATCAAAACCTCAATAACTTGAATGCTCCCAACAGAGCAGTCCCTTCCACTACATTTTACATGTCAAAAGAATAGCATTGACAGTGAGCTATGGCAATGTTCCACAAAATATGCGTACCTCGAGTAAGAATTAGCAAACAAATTGATATCCCCTTGTATTTGGACGTGTACATGTCCGCTTTGTTAGGAAGAGTTAAAATTCTTGATCCATAAGCAACAATCAATTTACTAACTTCTCGGAAAAGAAGTATCCCATTTGGCGAAGAATATTCAAAATTCAATCGCTGGGTCTTATTCAGTACTAGTTCAGCCATGAATTTCAATAATGGAGTTGTTACCTGCATCATGCTTCTGAAATCAAATGTGTGACAAACAATGATAACTATCTCTATTATGCAATGGAGGGGAATATGCAACAGTTACACAAGATGTACAAGATAAGCTCTTTAGACATTAATTTTATAATACCTACTTTTCACAGGGGTAAAATTAGCCGAACATTTGTTATTGAGAGGGAATGAGGTACATAAAGAAAGTTATTGTAACAAAAGTTGAGGGACTTATTCCCTTCAGAACCAGGTAGTTGGATCTCTATGTAACAGGTTTAACGTGAAATTGGATGCTCTCTTCAAAAGTTAACACATGAAACAGGATTTGTTAATTATTTAATATGTACTTCTAATCGTTTCAGGAATGTCAAATTTTCCAGCGCAATATTTTTATTTTATCAGTAAAGAAATTTCCTCCGTCATTAAGAAATTCACCACAAATAAAATTAAAACCATAACCAACCCTTATCCCAATATGTGGACTCAGATGCAAAGATTGAAGGTCACCCCATTTGACTCTCTTCTATAGTTCCTAATCCTGCATAGTGTCATAGCAGTGGCTGATCCCTGTTGGAAGTCCCACATCACCTGCCTCATGTCATTTGGTATGGTTTAAATACATATTAGGTTACTCCACATATTGTCAATTGGTTTTATGTTGGAACTTTAACATGGTATTAAAGCCAAAACCTAACATCTTTCCGGTTATTATCTTGGGCTAAGAGTTACCCTTTTATTGTGGGTCAAAGTAACATTTGCCTGGTCCGATAGGCTTTGTTGGAGGGAGCGTGTTGGAAGTCCCACATCGTCTGCCTTATGTCATTTGGTATGGTTTAAATACATGTTAGGCTACTCCACATATTGTCAATTGATTTTATGTTGGAACCTTAACAATCCCCAACAACCGTGTAGCCATACAACACACAGCAAGACAACCATATTATCAAATTTTGTGACAGTTTGGCATGTTCAGAATTAACAATAAAAAGTACAATACAATATCTTAGCTCTAAAGCAAACTAACAATATCAATATCCAAAATTAAAATACAATACAATATTCAAAATTATGATAGGCAAAACTAATTTAAAAAGGTAAAAAATTATCTTAGCTCAAAGTAAAAAGCATCAATTTAAAAAATTAAAAAGAATAACTTCTCTAGCCACGCTTCCATCTCAATATTGTCATTAAGATTCACAATCAGAACAGAGTATTGTTAGTTGTATAGCATAGTAAAAAAAAAATATTGCTTCAATTTCAAAGTAAATCAAGAAAAAAAATTAAGCTTTAAAAGGAAAGAAAAAAGCAGACCTCTGGAATATCAGCATAATGTGTAATGCCTTTCAGAAGAAGAGGCATGTGGGCAGGATAAAGCCAATAAAAAAGGAACCCATATGTTCTACGGCTGATAACAAGGGATTAAGAACAATCAAAATAAACTAACATTAGTAGCAAAGAACAAGGCCTTTGTAAATAAACAAAGCTATGATGTCTTAGTTACCAACCTATTAGTAGCCATTGCTATTCCTCGAAGGTCCCGCATCAACCCAATGAATGCATATTTTACCGCATCTGATTGGAACAATGCATCAGGTGTCGATTCCAATCTAGCCAAAACCTTACAATTTAAAAAACAAAATAAATAATCAATTTGAATATAAAATAATCAGTAGGAAATAACAATAATCATAAATAAATTGTCATACTTTGTTGTACAATGCATAACTTGTTAGGCCCAATTTAATGGGGGTACGACAAGCTTCATATGTCGCAAAATAATCTCATCAAGATATGGCCTTAACTAGTTCATGAACTATGGTTAAAAGGACTAACTAGACAATATTGAGTTGAAAGATTAAATTTATTAGAAATGAAGAAGGGTCTAACTCAACCTTATAAAACTGGCTTGTAAAGTGAGGTTTGCATCTCAATTATATATTATAAGTTGGTGATATCTCTAGTCGATGTAGGATTTCCAACATACCACTCACATCGAGGAATAAAACATTTGAAGAGCGTTGAACAGAATATTAAGGATGATTTGATAGCAGGTAGAGTAATAGGCCAACAAGTCTCGTTAGGATAAACTCTAATATCATACAAAAATGGAGAGGTGTCCAACTCAATCCTACAAAATCAGCTTGTAAGGTAAGATTTACACCTCAATTATATGTTATAAGTTAGTAATACCTTCAATCCATGTGGGTTTTCTAAAATAATTGAATTAGATGTAGTTGTGAAAAAAAAAACTTATGCTTATAAGGGTAGCCCAATATATTTTTTATCTTTGTTTTCCAAAGATGTCAACAATGTCTTCTCTAGGATAAAAGGAATATTAAAAATTATAACACTAGTATTGAACATCCCACATTGACTAAAGATGTAGTCAAGTTATAGTATATAAATGAGGTGCAAACCTCACCTTAAAAACCAGTTTTGTAACAAACACACACAATTGTATGATCCTTGGACAAAAGCAGCTTCTCTCTCACAAGTTGGTTATTTGAGCTGAAAGATATCCTTGGACAACAACTTCTTGCTCACAAAAACGCAATTGATTATGTGTTTAGTTCTCTTATAAAACATTCGGTTAGAGACAATGTAGAGAATTTCAAAATCATTTCTTTAATATGTCCCATCCTTTTACAATATGAACGTTGAGAGCAGCCACTTCTACCATGACATCTCCAAGGATTCCATAACCTCCTCTTCTTCGAGTAGATACTGTGGGAAATCAAATAGTATTTTAGGAAAGAATAAATCAGGAAATTTGTATATTTCCTTGTAATCTGTACAGATTTGAATAATTAGAAACAATCCCATAAATCAAGGGATCCTAGCATAAAATAGAGTTATTATATTTCCTAAAATAGCTTAGGTCTCCTGTATATATCTTATATCATCTTTTTGTATTGATATAATAAAAAATCATATTTCAGTTAATCTATTTTTCCAAATGGTATCAGAGCTTCCGATCTAGGAAGCTATGTCTGCGCACGATAAACCCTAAGATGACAGCCTACATTGCTGCTGCATATTTCTTAACCCTAAGATGGCAGCCTACATTGCTGCTGCATATTTCTTACCCCTAAGATGGCAACCTGCATTGCTGCTGCATTTTTCTTAACCCTAAGACGGTAGCCTGCATTGCTGCTGCATATTTCTTAACCCTAAGACGGCAGCCTGCATTGTTGCTACATTTTTCTTAACCCTAAGACGGCAGCCTACATTGCTGCTGCATTTTTCTTAATCCTAAGACGGCAGCCTGCATTGCTGCTGCATTTTTCTTAACCCTAAGACGGCAGCCTGCATTGCTGCTGCATTTTTCTTAACCCTAAGACGACAGCCTGCATTACTGCTGCATTTTTCTTAATCCTAAGACGACAGCCTGCATTGCTGTTGCATCACACCTCCTTGCTATGATGTCAAGGGAAGAGGAAGTTGTGAATCCAAACCCAGAAACAGGGAATACCCAATCCCAGCAATCTGGAGTACTGCAGAATATTCATTCTGCATATAGACTAAATGGAAGAACTTATTTGAAGTGGGCCCAACTTGTTCGTACAGTGTTGAAGGGAAAGGGGATGTTGAGTCACACGATGGAGTCCGGACCTAAGCGGGAGGATCCCAAGTTTACTACATGGGATGAAGAAGATTCAATGATCATGGCATGGTCGTGGAATTCAATGATTCCGAAATCGGCGACACCTGCATGTTCCTTAATTCGGCAAAAGATATTTGGAATCTTTGTAGAGCAAATCTACTCTAAAGCCAAAGATGCTTGCTCAAGTATATGAAGTAAAGGTGAAAACTTTGGCAACAAAACAAGGGAACAAGACTGTTACTGAGAATATGCCAATCAGTTGAAATCATTGTGGATGGAGCTAGACCATTATAGAGTCATAAAAGCCAAATGTCTCGAAGATTCGACACTTCTCAAGGAGTATATCGAACAAGACAAAGTTTATGATTTCCTTGTTGGTTTGAATCCTGAATTTGATCAAGTTAGGATTCAAATATTGGGGAAGAAAAAGGTACCACGCCTCAATGAAGTGGTGGCTATTGGGAGAAGTGAAGAAAGTAGAAGGGGTCTCATGTTAGAGAGTCCAGCAGTAGAGAACTCAGCACTGGACCATAAAGGAGATCAGACTTTGGCCATGGTAACCGAACGGAAGAAAGGATCAGCAAATGTGGAGAATAAAGGTGATGGTCTCCGGTGTACCTACTGCAATAAACCTCGTCATACCCGAGAGAAGTGTTGGAAGTTACATGGGAAGCCTTTAAACCGAGATCGAGAAGGGGGACACAAAGGAGGCTCCTCAAGGAAAGGAGGACAAGTTTATGTTATGTGAGTTGCTATGGCTTAAAATCATCTTAGAAGACTTGAAGATAAATTGGGAAGAACCTATGAAGCTCTATTGTGATAATAAGTCAGCAATCAGTATAGCCCACAACCCAGTGCAGCATGATAGAACAAAGCATATTGAAGTAGACAGACACTTCATCAAAGAAAAGCTTGATAGTGGCTTGATATGCACTCCATATGTGTCCTCTCAAGACCAAATTGCGAGACATTCTTACCAAGGGACTGGGCTGCCATAATTTTGAGAAGATTGTATCCAAGTCGGGAATGGAAAACATCTATTCACCGACTTGAGGGGGAGTGTGGGAAATCAAATAGTATTTTAGGAAAGAATAAATCGGGAAATTTGTATATTTCCTTGTAATCTGTACAGATTTGAATAATTAGAAACAATCCCATAAATCAAGGGATCCTAGCATAAAATAGAGTTATTATATTTCCTAAAATAGCTTTGGTCTCCTGTATATATCTTATATCATCTTTTTGTATTGATATAATAAAAAATCATATTTCAGTTAATCTATTTTTCCAGAGATACCATTATCAAAAGATTCATTAATCCTTTTCCACCGCTCTTGACTATCTGATCGCGCTTCAGTTAAATCTTTCTCTAAATGGTTCCTGACCAAGGAACCATGATTCCCCAAAATCTGTCCAAGATAGGTAGTTTTTGCCATGAAGTTTCTTTGAAGTTATTGTGAGCAGATTTATGCATAAGAGGTGAGCAGATTTAGTTGTGTCACAAGGCATAATATGTTTGTTGGATTATTCATGGGATGTAATACCTTCTTTTCTCAATTTATATCTTCTTAGGGACAGTATCATTTACCCTTTTTAGGTCTTATTAGTTTCTTGTTGATGGTTTTAGTTTGGCCTCCCGTCTTGTTAATTTTTTTTCTTTAAAATAAAATCTAAGGAATGTTGCATATAAGATAAATCTACTTTCCAAGTTCAAGTTTGCTTCAAATACTGTGCAAGACCACAATTTCATAAGATCAATGAGTCAATAATTGTTGCCAATAAGGATAAGGGGCAATTTCAAGCTACCAACCTGCAAGAAAGGTTCCATTGTAGATTTAAATTTGAGTGGGCTATCCTCCAAGAATATCAACATCCCAATAGTATAGTACAGGGTTGTTCTGCTGCGGAAACATTCCCAATTTTCTATGAAGGGGAATAAGTCCCTCTGAAAAAGAGAAGAAAAATTTTCCCTTGAAAATCTGCTGATTCAGACAAGTATGCACATTTACAGAAAGCAAAAAATCATGTCAATTACACCTACATTAGGCTGGTTCCTTTCTGCCCTTGCATTTTTAAAATAATACAGATTAGATATCTTGTTCTAAAAAATTGTGCAATTCAAACGCATACTAAACTCATACACTGAATACCTAACTAGGCATGCATATGTATTTTCAAGCTAGTTTCCACGTAAGATATACAGAGGAGTTGCACAATTATATTGTACAAATGAGCACATTTGATTTTCACCATTTCACCTTTCTATATATAATTTACACAGACACATAAAAGGTGGGTTCTAAAGTAAAATTCAGGTAAAATGTGTCCCAAACAATAATAGTGTCTAATCAAATTACAAGTGAATAATTTCTTCATGGATGATTACTATAAATAGTAAATGGTTAGTTTACAGATTATGCAGTTATATCACCACCTCCACATACTCGCTCATAGGGTATGTTAGATGATCTCTTAGTAGTGAGTTCTACTTTTTTATTATATTTCATGCTTTGTTTGCATAGTTAAATAGCAAGAGGATTTTGAGTATTAGTATAAATAGAAATTAGTACTATTTTAATAATGTATTTTGTAATACATTAATATATACAAAATCATGTTATTCAAAGTCTTCATTCTATCCTTTTCTTCTTCCTAACATAACTACATGATTTCAAACAATATATAGGACAAAAGCAAAAGAGCAACGAGGAGATCAAAAGTTCATCTCATTCTCATTGGTTAAAGACAGCTCACATTCTTGTTCGAAATCATGAGTTTAACAGTATCCAGTTTAAGAAGCAGCTTTCCCGACATGTAACTGCAAAACAAGGTCCTCACCCAATAAATATACAACAATCAAAATATAAAAATATATACTATAATGAAGACTTCAAGGTTGAGACAGAACAAAACTAACCCAGAAGTCATTTCCAGAAAGAGATTTAAGGTATGATCAATAACCTCTTTGCACTGCACATAGAAAGTCTCAATGTTGTGAGCTCAATAATAACAGCAATGCAAAAGATCATGTCTAAAACTCAGAATTACCTTTGTGTAGCATTTAAGGTTAGTAATCATCTTTCCCACAATAACATGTAGTAGTAGTAGATTATCATGGAGCCCAAGCAGTTCCGAAAGGCGGGTATATAACTGCTGCAATTACAGTCAATAAAATTAAACAGAATTAAAAATTCAAAAGGAAAATAGCTTCCAACTTTCTTTCTACCTTAGATGAAAAAACAGTCCCGTCACCAATATAACACCTTCTAAGATGTTGAAAGAAAGTTAGTATAGCACGATCAAGTCTTTGCTTGCTCACATCTTCATACCTCTGCATTTGATAGGAAGTAATCTTAAGTGTGAAAGAAATACCGATACATTGATTTTATTATGTAAAGAGTAAAGATACAAAAAGATACTAAGACCCTGTTTAAAGAAACTATCTATACAGAGCTCAGTTACAATAGTTAGTTATAACTGTCTAACAAAAACAGTTACACTAACTAGATAAGAAACAAACTATAGTAAAACAGAACAGAAAACATTTTTGACAAAACAACGAACACAATAACAATGTCTAACAGAAGTATGTATTACACTTTCATAGTGAATTCAATAAGGATGGAAATTTAAAATAAAATACAACCACAAGCTAATGTTAATGACTAAGAAGCAGGTAAATGTTCTATAAATCATATTCTTAACCTAAAGACCTTGGTAAGTAATTCAAGAAGGGCAAAAATATTAAATAGAAGTCCTCAATGAATCAGATTGACAGATTTCACAAATAGCTCTCCCTTGACATTTATGGTATTCTTTTCAAACTATACAGGCAGAGGAAGACATCAGAAAAATTTAGAAGAAATCATCAAAAAGCATTGTAATAGCATGGGCAAGAGTACGGCAATAGAATCTAAATGAATGGTAAAGATGGGGAGGCATAATTTTATATCAAGTTATCCCACCAAAATTCTCCTTGGTAAATCGAAATGCAAGCAGAACCAAAAGAATCTTAAATAACAAATCAGAACCAGCCGAATGAATGCAAAGATGATGTCAAATTTTAATCATAAATACTCAAAAACATTGAACAGAAAATAAGAATAAAAACCTTATCCATAGCACAGACCATGTCAACTTCTTAATAATATATATACTAATATTATCCCCAAATAGATACAAAAGGACATACCTTACTGTGAAACCCACTATCAGAAATATTAATCAACTGCAGAACACATGCTGAAATCTCTGCATCAAGTACTTCATGTGATTCTCCACTGCTGTATAGATATAAAGACAACTTAACACTTTACTGTGCAGAAGTTCTTATTTGCCTTCAAAGGTTAAAGCAACTACCTAGAATCAGAAATCTGCTTTGTTCTCAGAATTGCAGCAACTATGTGTGTGAACCAAGCCAGTTTGGTTTCTGTTACAGAGAGTTCAAAACTATCCACATGGCTTTGGAGATTTGCTTCCTTCTACACAAAGTGTATAAAATCAAATCGGAATATTTTATTGAAACAAGTTAACAAAGTTAAATCACTTCATGAAGAACTATTAAAGATACCATATAGTTTTGCATGATAGGCTCCACTATCTTCATTAGATACGAACTGCAACTTTCATACTGAAATTTAATGAATCAATATAGATGCTAAAAGTGTAGATAATTAATAACAATTAAAAGCATTCACTCCAAGATAACAAGTAACTCTTCATATACTTTGAGAAGCATGAAAAGGCATGAACCTGGAATCTACAGAGGAAAGGAAAAAATTCAAGCTGATCTTGAAGAACTTCAACATTGTCTAGAGGATTTTCACCAAGTTCATCTGATAGTTCAGACTGGAATAAATGGATGATTGGAAGTTAAAATGTGGAATAAATATTGAATTCGCTTCTGGTTTTATGAGGGTCAATGTGGAGTCTTAAAGTAGCTGACCTGCAATGAATCAAATCTTGATGATACAAACCCTTCTATAACTTTAGGTACATATTCATCTAACAGGTTAGGTTTGTCACCCTTGAGATACCGCACAGATGTCACTGATCTAGACCACAAATTTAGAAGATAGTAAACACTGCTGCCAGCCCACTGAAAGAAACATGTATATATTAATAGAAGTTTCTTTATGTATTTACTAAAATACACACATTTCGTAAGGTATTTTAGGAAGATTATGAAAACACAACACAAGAACAAGAATCCTACTAAAGCTGAAAAAAGCAGGAAGAATGACGAAAAATACTTCACACACAAACATAAATGTAATTTCCTGGGATAATGATAAGCTATTATACATGAATACTTCAATTTAGCTATCCTAAACAAGACTTCCCTAGAAATACAAACCGTTTCCAACACTCCCCCCTCAAGCTATCAATAGTAATCTATAATGTTCTGCAAAGAGGATCTCTGTCACCTGTAGGGAGAAGATAGGTACCAATAAAATGTGTTTAAGGTTGTTTTATGCTGTGAAATGATATGAACAATTTTACCCTTATACAACAGTAGCCCTAATTGGAGTTCAATCTGATTGGGATTGATTTCTATCGTTGTACATGACACACAACTAACATCCAAATTCCTTTTCTTTCAAATCACAATAAAAAATTTCAATGGTTCACAATCCTCATCGCCCAAATCAAGAAGCCAAAGTTTCATACAAGAAAACTGATACAGTGACAGGTGTGTGGCTCATGACACTCATGCCTGACAAGGCCAGTACTTCATGACAGCTCCTATAGAGGAATTTGCCTCCAAAATTTCACAGATGTGCCTCACACAACAAAGCATTAATTGCAGTCATGACAGGAAGGGAGAGAGCATAGCAGGCTCGAACCCACTCTAATACCACCAATTTAAAACTAGGATATTTTGATGGAATTGCTTGAGTAAGCATTTAGCAGTATCTCTATGATCATTCATATTGAATTAACTTTCAGAGAAATATAAGAAAATGTAACTCCCAAGGCTCATGACAAGCCACAATAAATAAATTTGTCTATTTAAATATTCTAGCCATTAATCCCCTACGAATAGAAATTGTGTCCAACATGATAGTTCCTGACATTTTCTGAACAAAATGTATCATCCAACTCCTTCATGTTACAAATTAAATAGTCATAAATGCATACCTTCCATGAATGCAAAGATTTTAATGTAAACTCTGCTACTGAGCGTATCCATTCACTATAGCCTTCAGCATTTACAAGTTCTGATAACTGCAACATAAATCAAAGTGGGAACATGATAAGAGAAAGGCTAACATTAACAAAGAAATACTGCTACAAGTTCAATACCAAGAGGTTCAAGATTGGACAAATGCAAATGAACAAAATCAAACAAGAGAGCCTAGGATGTTGGCAGTCAAGAAAAACCGGGTAGCAATAGTTCCTCAATACCTATTTATGTTGATCAAGAAAGAAAGGAAATAGAGATATTCAAAGAAAAAGCAACATGGAAAATAATAAGACAACCTATAAAAAACAGGGAATAAAAGATACAAAAAGAAACATAATAAAAATTTGGAAATGAGGGAAACGTGTTGACTATAGCTCTTAAACCATAAACATAAGTTATCCACAACAAGAAATGGGAGGGAGGGAGGGAATAGAAAAATGGCTCAATTATAAAAGCACTCTAGGTACATACATGGTTTAATTGAGAGGTACAAGGAAAGATTGGTTGCTAAGGGTTTCACTCAAAGATATGGTGGGATAGATTACCCAGAGATTTTAGATGAATACAGTTTGGATAATATTATCTCAAGCTGCAAATTATGACTGGGAACTACAACAGTTTGATTTGAAGAATGATATCTTGCATGGGGGTCTAGAGGATGATATGTATGGAGGATCCTCCAGTATATGAAGTTGCTATCAAATGTATTGGTAGGTAAAAAGAACTTGACATGGATTGAAACAATGCCCACCAGCATGATTTGGGAGATTCAATAGGGTCATGACAACCTTAGGAAACAAAGATCAGACTTTATTTATCAAACACTCAACTTCAGGGAGGAGTGACTGTATTCTTAGTGATGATTGGTAGGAAGAACAAGTCTTGAGTAAACATTTAGCAAAGGAGTTTGAGATAAAAACAACTGGAAGGTTGAAATAATTTTTGGGAATTGAATGGTCCCCATATAAGATAGGTATTTTCATATTTCAACATAAATGTCACAGATTTGCTTAGTTGACAGATATAACAACTTGTAAGTACTCCCATGGATTCCAATCATAAATTGGATAATGCAGATGGATGGCTAGTCAGGAAATTGATTTATTTGTTTCATACAAGGCCAGCCAATTTATGGATTGTCCAAGAGAAGCAATTATCATTAAAAGGGATACCACGTAAAGAAATTTTATACTAAAGAAATGAGAATAAAATACTTGAAGCTTACACTAACGCTGACTATGAAGTCAGTCAATAACTGACCAGAGATCCACTTTTCGGTATTGTACCTTTCTTGGAGGAAGTTTGGTAATTTGGTGAAATAAAAAACAAAATTTTGTATCTCGATCTAGTACTGAAGCTCAACTTTAAGCTATTTCAAAATGTATTTGCGAATTGCTTTGGTTGAAATAAGTTAGAAGACTTGAAGATTAATGGGATGGACATAAGAAACCCTAATGTGATAATAAATCAACAATTACCATAGCCCATAATCCTATTCAGCAAGATCGAACAAATCACATTGAAGTAGATAGACATTCTTGTGAAACAAAAGCACACCTGCACACTCAACAAGAATTGTTGGAAATAAAACTAATAACTACATTCACAAGTCATCCACATATGGTGGTGGTCCTTGGAAACAAACATCACATCTGCAATTGAATGAACATGTATATGGATAGTGCAAAATACAAAAACAACATTGCTCACCTGATAGTTTAGTTTAAAGCGGCCAAGAAGACGACAAAAGGCATGATAATTATCATGATCAGCAAGACCTGTTTTACAAAGAAATTCATCAACAAAGATCTAAAAAAAAAATATAGAAAAGCCTTATCTCACTAAGTGAGATTGGCTACATGGATCACACAACATCACTCAGCTCTAATATTTAAACACAATGAATATAAATTTTATCAGTAGTCTACATCAATAGATTGGCAAGAAGTACAATAATTAGGAATGTCCAAGTCAGGTATTTGGACAGTGATGCTTAAATGAAATCAGAATTAATAATTTAATATTAATGGTGCGTAGCAAGTTTGTAGGTTACATGTGGCACAATTCCTCTCATATGTGGGAATGAGTAATTCTCATTTAAAATCAATTTAACATTTTTTTATCTGATATGGTGCTTTCTCTTTGTGGAATTTCTTGTTCAGCATCTTAGTGCAAATTAGGTTTATCCTAGGCTACACTATACCATTTTTTCTCCATTAGGTTTCACAGATACAGATAATGAGCAGAAAAATCTGTCAAAATGCAACCTGTGCTATTTTCCTATATTGTATCACACCTATCTGATATTTTTAAGGTTTCCATGATATAACACTCGATTTGGATCAACATTGATGGCTTATTTGCCTGATATATAGCATGTTTTATTTCTCTAATTAATTAAATATATATGTAAATACATATCTGCCATATGCTGCAATAGTCCGCTATCAAAATATTTACAAGGAAAATTTTTGGCTGGCCACAGTAGTCCGCTATCAATAACACTGATAAAAACTAAAAAAAACTTACTAGAGTGAATTTAATAATGATATTAATAACAAAATTTCTAAATAATATAACAATAAAAAGGTGAAGAAGAAATATATATAAATATAATAAGTAAAACAGATTATAAAATATAATTATAAATACACATTGTTATATACTCAAAATATTAAAATAGTTACATAATGTCCAATAAAGGTACTTTACTGCTGCTATCTTATAGTTTGAAGGTGACTGCTATACACCGCCATTTTACTATTGATTACTATTGTTTGAGGAAGGACATTTCTTTCACTTGAGAAAACTTATGTAGGGTTTGATACACTGACCAAAGATACTGTTATATAATTTATATAGAAAAGGAGATATAATAGACACGATATGGATCTCAGTCCAAACCATCCTAGTCTAAGGAACATACAAAAAGATAGATAGATGAACAACAAATCTCAACACTCCCCCTCAAGCTAGAGCATATAAATTGTATGTGCTATGCTTGGAACAAATAATTGAATCCTAGATCCTCTCAAGGATATAGTTAAAATATCCAGTTGCTTATTGGAGCTTACAAATTTAGTTACAAGTTCCTTAGACAACAACTTTTCTCTAACAAACAATCTCAATATGTTTTATTCTTTCATGAAAGACTGGATTGGAGACAATATGGAGAGTTGCCTGATTATCACAAAACAACTTCATCTGTCCACTATCACAGAAATTTAAATCTTGAAGGAGTTATTTGATCCACACAAGTTCACATATAGCAAGTGTCATAGATCTATACTCAGCTTTTATACTAGATCGAGCAACAACACTTTGCTTTTTACTCTTCCAAAAAATCAAATTTCCTCTAAGAAAGATACAATATCCCGTAGTAGATCTTCTATCAATGGGACAACCAGTCCAGTTTGCATCACAATAACCTAAAATTTGAGTATTACCTTTATCGTCATATAACAATCCTTGTCCTGGGACCTCTTTAACATATCTCAGAATGCGAATCAAGCATCTCAATGATCAACACAAGGATTTTCCATGAATTGGCTAACTACTCCAACTGCATAAGAAAGATTCGGTTTGATAATAGTAAGATAAATGAGTTTACCAACTAATCTCTTATATCTTTCTAGATCTAACAAATTTTCTCATTTATCCTTCATCAATTTCTCGTTAGGGTCCATTAGGGTATCAATGGGCTTACAATTTGTCAGACCATTCTCCTTCAGAATATCAAGAGCATATTTTCTTTGAGAAGTGATCACACCTTCCTTTGACTGGGCCACTTCAATACCATGAAAATACTTCAATTGATCAAGATCTTTAGTTTGGAAGTGAGCAACAGATGATTCTTCAGTTGGCTGATCTTAGTATAATCATTGTTTATAATAACAATATCATCAACATAAACCATAAGATACACATACTTGCAGGAAGAAGAATGATAATAAAACACTGAGTGATCTACTACTTCACTCCTTTTCAAGTCAAACAACTGCATAACATGACTGAACTTCACAAACCCAGCTCGGGGTGACTGCTTCAAGCCATAAAGAGACCGGTGTAGCTTACACACTAAACCAGACTCCCCCTAAGCAACAAAGTTAGGAGGTTACTCCATATAAATCTCTTTCTCAAGATCACCATGAAGAAATGCACTTTTCATGTCCAGTTGGGGTCAATGACGAATGGCAACTATAACAAGGAAAAGACAAATAATGGAAATCTTAGCTATTGGAGAGAAGGTATCACACTAGTCAAGGTCATAAATTTGAGTAAGTCTTTAGCTACTAAACGAACTTTGAGACAATTCACTTTACTATTATTATCAACTTTAACTATATAGACCCATCTACAACAATCATTTTGCCACGAGGAAGAGGGACAAGCTCCCAAGTGTCATTGTGCTAAAAAATTCTGCATTTCATCAATCATGGCTTGTCACCATCCATGGTAATTAAGTGTCTCATGGACATTATTAGAAATAGAAATATCAGCCAAAGAGACAACAAAAGAAGAATATGAAGGAGACAGATGATGGAAACTTAAAAAATTATAAATAGGAAAGGGATTCTGAGTGGAACTAAGTACCTTTTGTAAGTACAATATGCCAGCCAGAATCAGAGGTGGGAGATAAGGTTGAAGGATTCATGGTATGAGAAGTTGATGGAGACGAATTTGAATCACGATTATCTATAAGAACGGGTAAAGGTATAGGAGGGATCCTACAGTGATATATGAGAAGAGGAGAAAAATCATTATGACATGTAGGTTAAATTGAGGAAGGATCAGGTATTATAAGTGGATCACATGAAGGTATAGGCAGAACTTATTGAATGGATTAACCATCTTTCATGGGGGGAAAAAAGATGTTTCCTCAAAGAAAGTTACATCAGCAGACATATAACACCTTTTGGAGGATGGAGAATAACATTTATACCCTTCTGAAGGCGAGAGTATCCCAAGAAAACACATTTAATGGCCTTAGCACTTAGTTTATCAAGACCTAGAGACACATTAAAAACAAAACAGGTACAACCAAATATACGAGGAGATACATGATAAAGAGAATCATCTAAGAAGATAATAGTATGTGGGATTTGATTTTTAAGAGAGGAAGGTGGCACCCGAGTAATAAAAAAACAAGTAGTGAGAACTGCATCTCCCCAATGATGAACAGGGACATTAGCATTCAACATTAGAGAGTGTGCAGTCTCAATAAGATGTCCATTTTTTCTTTCTACAATGTCATTTTTCTGTGAGGTGTGAAAACAAGTTGATTGATGTAAAATTCTTTAGAAAAAAAAAAAAAAAAAAAGATAAGGTGTCCATTTTTTCTTTCTACAATGTCATTTTTCAGTGAGGTGTGAAAACAAGTTGATTGATGTAAAATTCTTTAGGAAAATAAAAAAGAAGAAGGCAGAGAAATATTTTTTAACATTATCACTTCTAAGAACTTTAATTATCTTCCCAATTTGATTTTTAATTTCATTGAAAAATGACACAAAATAGATAAAAGTCCATATCTATCTTTTATTAAATAAACCCAAGTACATCTAAAAAATTCACCAATAAATGTCACAACATACCGAGAGCCAAAGGAGGAAACACAACTCAGTCGAGTTTCAGACTGTTTAGGAAAAGACTTTACATATTTTCCTAATTAACAAGATTCACACTTTAAAACCTGATGATGTTGAAGATTAGGAGTCATCACTTTCAACTTAGATAAAATTGGGTGGCCCAGATGATCATGCAAAAAGTTTAGGAGTAGGAGCAACCAGACAAGATACTGAAGGACTTGGATTCAGATAATACCGACCACGTGATTCATGTCCCTCTCTGACGACCTGTACCATGTTCCTAAATAACAAAATAATTGAAAGTAAAGATTACAGAACAATTCAAAGAACAAGTCAGTTGACTTAGAGAGATCAAATTATAAGGATAATTACAAATGAGAAAAACAGAATTTAAATTTAGAGATGGGGTTAAAGGAAGTTGGCCAACTCCTTAAGATTTCACTTTGGATCCATTAGCTAAAATGATTAAATGAGGAATTTTAGGATAGGACATAGAGAAAAACAAGGAACTATTACCAGATATATGATCACAGACACCTAAAACAAGAATTCATGGGTTCTGACCTTCCAATGATTGAGAAATGCATGTTGTTGAAACACTTGGCATTGAAGAAGATTGACCCTAACTGCTAAACTTTCTAGATTTGAACTTTAAAAATTCTTAATACTCCTCATAAAAAATCTTCATATCTAAATTTTCAAATTTAGATGCATGGGCAATGATATTCTTGACATGAAAACCGTGCAAGGAATAACAATTTCTTACTTGTGCCCCATCCTCTTATAATAGGAGCATTGAGAACGAACTTTCGTACTACCACGTCCTACTCAACTGTTACGTCCCCTCCCCCCTTGACCACGAGGAACAACCATAGTAGAAGGAAATCAGAATGCAAAATCCTCAAAATTAGAACCATATACAACTTATCGAGTTTGAAGTTTAACTCCTCTAAAGTATTTGTTACAAGAAACATTTTTAATTCTTCCACAGTAGCCCTAACTTTTCCAATGTGAGTCATCATGTCATAATTGGTATGCTTGAGTGACATCACTGTTTGAGTTGCATCAAAGAGATGTTGAATATCATTAGCAAAAATGTCTTGAGTTTTTTTCCAAAAAGAAAAACAGGTTTTGAATGACCTAAAAAACTCAAGAACTTGTTCCACAGACTACCATAAGATTTCATAAAATTGGAAGTTTATTTTCTCCCACTAAGACCTTTCTGCAGCAGAAATAGAGTTTACATCCTTCTTCAGATGGTCATGATGTCCCTGACCAAAAAACCATAGCTCAATTGATGCAGACCAGGATAAGTAATTTTTCCAGTTAAGCCAGGCAATGGTTATGGTGGGAGTAGCAAAGAAGGTGAAGGCAGTGGATTTAGCCATCTGAACCAAAGAAGACAAATAAAACCAAAGAATAGGAGTACTCATGGGACCTTTCACACATAGTTCTCAAAACAGAAAACTTAGCGCACCACTGAACTTGAAGGACGCTGACGAGTCGAACAGAGGTGGTCGGCCTTGATTTCGGCCAATGGAAGGCAGTGCATGGGACACACACGCCTGAGAAGACACTCCGAGATGGCCGCACGTGATGACGCATGGGGCAGATGACAGAAAAGCGACTTGCAGGGGTGGGTTACACTCCTCGAGACGCACAAAATCCCTCCTTCGCCAATCCAAACAAAGAAGGTGGCCAGCGGTGATCTTACCCGCTCTGATACAAACTTGAGACAACTTATTTAGGGTTTGATACAAAAACCAAAGACATTGTTACATTGTATTTATAGAAAAGGAGATACAATAGAGAGGATATGGGCCTCAACCCAAACCCTTAACCCTAGTCTAAGGAATATAAAAAAAGAATACAAAAAGATAAATGAACAACAGATCTCAACACTTTCAATAACTTATTAGCAAAGAACAACACCAATTCGTAAAGACAATTACAAAACTAACTTTTCAAGGGGTATTATCCAAGGTCATTAAAATAGTCCTTCACGTAATACAAACATCAAACCAAAGCCACCGAACTATTAATCCAATTTACCTATTCCAGTTTGCAGAATTTCCTTGGTGCCCTGCATCAAGTGCGACAAGAACTTCATTCGAGCAGCATCATTGGGGAACAATGAACGTCTAGTAGAAGCAAGACGTAACAAGCACTCCAAAGCCTACAATTAACAAAACAAATAATGAGAATATACCATAATATATTGAAGTGAAGTGAGGTACCTATATTTGATCAAGAAATTGAAGTTGGGGAATAGACAATGAGAATATACTTTGCAAACAGAATTGTGCCATCATAATTGAACTCTAGAAACAATGGATCAATGCAAATAAACCTTCCAGAAGGTCACACGCAGTTATGTTTTAGACATAAAATAAAATGACAACAGTCAAACTGTATGCTAATCAATTTATCTATCATGAGTATTAAAACACATATAATAGGATAAATTGTATTTAACAATCAAATGATGCAATGCCTCATATGTCAGATAAATTGAACAATAAAAAGGCAGATAAGTTAACAAGATTTTAACAATAAGCAAGACCTCAAATCAAACATATACCAGTTATAGGTTAAGAGATTAACAAACCATGACATAATATTGAAAGCAGTTACAATTTCAGGTAATCACCATCAGAAGCAAACTGAAAGAAATTAGCGTGGCAACAAACTCCAATACTATATGTACACCACTCTCCATAGATCTGTGTTATTTTAGAAATTTGGGAAGATAAAATTAACCCTACCAACAAGAAAGTTAAAGCAAAAGCATCTGTAATGAAGCTAAGGGCTGATAGATTAATTACTTGGGTGGAGGGAATAAAGGAAAAGACATATGGTGAAACAATACACTTTACCACAACTTAGATACTTGTTGTGAAAGAAATGTTTACTGCAGTCAAAAAGAAAAAATAATATAGATTGGTGAAGTCAAATCAAGCAGAAAATAAAGTCTCATGCAGCATATATTAAAAGTAAGGGGCAAAATTGTCTAACAAGATTAGGAAGTTTTATTTTATTTTATTGTTCTTCCACCAAATACATTATCTATGCACGTATTTAACATTTATCACAAGAAGAAAATTAACATATGGCAAAAAGACAGCAAAAGAAAGGGAAACACCAACCTTTTGCTCCACTAAAACCTGTGTTAGAAAGGCTAGGGAATGAACAATAGATTCCTGATCTATTTTCCACACTTAAATATAAACAGAATGTAAGGTCGGTTTTGCATTGTACATACTCCATACTTTAATCCCAAACAACCCTTTCATGACAAGGGGAAATAAGTATATAAGAGTATAAAACCATTCACAGATATACACATAAAAGCTAAAGCACTTTGGAGATCTGGTCCATGACCATAGGTTTACAATAATTTGAATCTAGAAGATCGCAATTACACAATACCACAATAATCAATGCGGAAAAACCATACTTATGCCAGCTGACATGACCACCCAGAATACATTCCCCTAAGAATATTGTCCCAAATACCCCATTTAATTATATTGAAGATGTAGAATCCTAGTGGTATAATTGTTAGGATCGAGCGCTTACCACTAGGCCAAAAGCTGAGGGGGAGATTGTTGCAGGTAGCATCAATTGTCCTGTGACGAAGGTCAGGTGGGCCGAGTCACAATTGAATCGTGGCGCTTGGGCTGTTAAAGTAAAAAGAGTTGCACTCTGACTAATGGCTATAGCTTTTGGCCTAGTGGTAAGCGCTCGATCCTAACAATAACTGTATTATCGGGACTGTGCATTGAAGTAGTGGGCCTTCATATGGCCCAGCCTCAATACACATATGCACGCACACAAATATACATATGATGGTTTAGAGAGTTGCCAGCTGGTAGTTCAGTCAGAAGCCAGCTGGCTGGTTTCAGATAGAAGTTAGTTAGGTGTAACATCAGCTGCAAATTGAAACTTCCTATAACAATATAAATACTGTAACATCCACTACCCCGAATCATAATAAGAAATACAGAATTTCCTCAGATTTTCTCTCTAATAAATCATATCATGAATTCAAACAAATTACATATTCAGTAAACATATACACCAAAGAAAGGTCCTAAGATGTCAAATAATATTCTTTGACAAAACAAAGGAAAGCAAAAACCGAAATTAATAACAGTGAGGATAATCATTAATTCCTTGAAAAGTCAAACCAAATAAAGCATTGAAACAAAATAGTTTATAATGACAAGTTCTGAAAGCACTGACTCAATAGTTTATAATGACAAGTTCTGAAAGCACTGACTCCCTGGTCAAATCGAATAAACTAGCATACACAAACCTCTTTCGAAAACATTTGATTCATTGCATAATAATCAAAAAATATTTGCAGTGTTGAGGAATCCTCTAGGGTAGGCTTCCATCCCGATGGAACCTGTACAACCAATGCCAATTCCAGATCAAGAACTGCAGACTAAGAAAAGCAAGCAACAATCTATGTACTAAGAACATACCTGAACAGTACCAATTTCATCTGAACTTTCATCATATGATGTCCCCATAAAATCAAACGATAAACAACTGAGGGAAAGCATAAGAGAAAGTTCCTGCAACTTGCTCCCAACTGATTTTTTCACAACAAAGCACAATAAATAAATTCAAAACATGACATCACTTTAGAACTTCGAAAATAAATGAATGTATACAATTATTGTTATAACAAAAATATTATATACCATCAGATTTTAACTGGAACAGAGAAGTTAATGAAATCTGGAATATCTGAAAAAGTGAGTGATCCCTAAAAGAGCTTGCTATCCTACGTTGACGAGTAGCAGGTAATCCAGGATTGTGCTGAAAATACATAATATAAGAAATAAAAGTAACAACAACAAAATCAATAAAGAAGTTCTAAACAAATATAATATTTAGTTCGTCACCGCATCAGCAAAATAAATAATACAATTTCAATGTCTTGCAATAGAAAATACAAATATCCGATAAGCTATGAATTAACACACACCAACAATAATTCGATACTTCCAAAGTAATAAAACAAGAAAATAAAAACATTAAAAAAATCAGTGTTTCTGCAATATAGTAGTTCAGTTTTTCTGCAGTAACTTGGTTCAGTCTCATTATTTCTCTCAGAGGAATCATGTCTGCTCTATATGCATTAACCCTTGGGATGCCAAAAAAGTCAAGGATAGGGGTTAGAATGAGGATCAACTGCAGGTACTGATTGGTTCTAACCATATAACTATGATGCTAAGATTGCCAACTCATGGTTTTGATAGCCCATGTTGATGAGTCTACCAGATAGGAGATGCTCAAATAGTTCCTAATACACACATAATAGATGCTCAAATCTCAAAAAGTACTAAAATGTGAAACTACAGAAATATTCGTTACTAATACCTGAAATATATTTATACCTTACAGACACAAACGTTATTAACTTTGGGCGAAGCAAACAATAAAAAAATAAAAACAATAAAAAAGCATAAAAAATAAAAGTGCGGTGTTAAAAAGTGTGAAACAGAGGCTTTAAGGGCTGGAAGAATAACACAAATCTATAGCAAGTGCACTGCTTTTCATAATAAGCAAGATCTTACTTCTTGTTGATATATAAGCATTGACTCTGACCTGATTTATCTCAGAAACTAGCTGATTCAATATCTTCAAACCTATACCATAATGATGTTGCGCCTGCTAAAAGTATTCATTGGTCAGATTAAAATTCAAGACAATTAGATGTGCAATACAAAAGAGATGTAAATAATTAATAATTAGAGTAAAAACAAGATGTAACGATCAAGGCCTCAAATACCACAAGTCAGTAATAAAGAAACTGGTCAACGTCTCGAAAACTCAATATGGAGGATTGCAGTGGTTAATAGAACTTGATTCCATCAACCAAAAACTTTTGGGTTATCCAATCCTACAACTAATTTCTAAAATATTTTCATACTCAATAAAAATTAAAAAAATATGTATATATATTTGAAAATAATAATATAAATAAGGTTAAAAATTATTATAAATTTGCTTGTGAGTAGGACAACCAGTAAGGGATACGATGTTTCATTCACAATTAGACTATTAAACTTCATTATTAAGACTCAATAATTTACAGGACAACACTTTTGTAATAGAACACATATCAAAGATGAGAAGGCGAAGACACAAGGACAAAATATCCACATAAAGGAAACACAGTACGTGTAGCAATCACCAAAATAAAGTTAAGTATATGCTGGTACAATCACTAAGTACCTATATCTGCTCAGTATCATAAATTCATGTAAAGAATTTTAATTTTATGGAATTCTATGCCTGGCTATTTTATGATCATCTCTCTGCCCTCTAGTTCTCTGTTTTCATTTTGCATTTCATGCTCTTGCAGTCTTATTCTCATCAGGTTTAGGCAGTGGTTCGCTAATCCTCTCTGACATTGGCAACAGAAGTTTTGTGTTGTTGAAAAGCAACCATGACAGAAGGTCCAGGTGGAAATCCATTAGACTGACATGGAATTTGCAGCTTGTGACAAAAATCAAAAAGGAATTTGCAAACTGACAACAAATCTATGGAGACAATGCGTCTAAAGAACAGGTTTAACTTGTTGATGCCAAAGAAGGAAGTTTATATCATCTAATTTCTTTATAATCTGGTACAATAAGGAACCGGTATACTTGCCCGAGAAGCAGCTGGAGCATCATTAGTTGCTGGATAAGATGAAGTTTGCTTTTAGTTGCTGGATAAGATGAAGTTGGCATCAAAGCTTGACACCAAGGATGCAAGTGCAACAAATCTACTTGCAGTGGTTGACCAAAATATGGATAACTGGCCACAATTAGGCTTCAGAAGATTTTGATACCATAAAGAATTCAGAAAAGAGAAATTTTGTAATTTGTAAATTGTGTTGCATTATTAATGATTACAACACCAAAATGTTTATACAATCAGATAGTTTGAGTGTCCGAGCAAGTTAATTGATATCTCTAGCTGTTGTACAACAGACTCCAGTTGTCCTAACAGAATGCTGGCTAGCTTGAGCTGCAAACTATTCAGTTACAATATAACCATTCTATAACAGATTACAGCTGTCCTAACAGAATAACAGCTCGCTATCTATCTTTTACATGATGCTGACTCAATGTTGAGTCAACATCACAAATTAGCATGCCAAACACCAACTATACCATCAAAATCCAATTGAAAAGAGAAAGAAGGAGAAACTAAGACGAGCTAAGGCCAAGCCCATCAATATATTGCTTGTTTGGGTACCAAGATGGATTATCATCCAATCTTGTCAAATTGAAGAGCTTCTTTGAAGATACGGTTTCAACTATTGGTATCTATGATCCAAATCTATCAGGTCGTAGTTATCATGATATTAGTGTTCCACTCTTCAACATGGGTAGGAATATACAATTTGAAAATCATTAAGAGCATTATAATGTCAAATGTATGGATTATCCAGAAGCAATACTGGATAATAAAGAGCATTAAGGCATACAGGACAGTATTATATATTCATTTGGTAATTTGGTTTAGAGCATTAATTTATGATTTTCCACTTTCCCTTCAAAATTGGTAAAGGGAAAGTGTGGCATTATGTTTTATATTAAAGGTGATTGATTGGTCAGGATATAATTGTGGGGTACATCAAAATTGATTATTTTTCTACCTATGTATGTTAAGAAATCCCTTACTGCAATCACAGAGTTAATCTCAAATCCTAACACAATCACACACGCCTTGTAGCAGCAATAACCCAATATAAAAAATACATCTATATTATTTCACTAATCTTCAAAAAGTACAAAAGCACCACAGTAACCCCCAAAAGGAGAACTCTCCTTTTTACACTGGCAATACCCAGTAACAAATTTTCCTAGTAACCAAAATTTATCTCCGCATTCAGCAGAAGACCTATTTATTCTATCCTCACTCACTAACGGAAATAACAACCAACCAGTGACACCTACCAATTACAGTTTGAACCCTTTTCTGTTTTTTTTGTTTCTCTTCTAACATACACCTATACAGATCTTTCCCATTCTCTATTGTCTCTATTAGTTCTAACAGTATCATTTTGATTCCAAACTATAGACAAATTCTATGCTAAGTTGGCCTACATTTATTAATTAATCTTGTTTTATTTATGAAGAGAACATAAAAGTTATTGGCTACTAATACTTTTAATGTGATTCGGAAGTTAGTTTCCTTATCTATACTACCCTTTTTTGTACATAAGTATTTTATGTAGGATCTTACTATCCAATTAACAGTCCACAAGTTACAAGTTTGCACGTCTCTTCCAATCTTAGGTAGAATGTTGATGTTAACAACCTTGAGAAAAAGGGATGTTCTATGGTGTAAAATGCATGGCAAGATATGAAGCAAAGAAGCTTGATCAATTTCTTGGTAAACTCTCCTACTAGGACAATGATTGTCAAGTCCACTAATGAATCTAAATCCTTTAAAGCTGTGAGTTAATTTGATTTTCTTAGTGGAGAATATTGGAGATGAAACAGTTGTCAAGTTACAAGTGATAATGAACAGAATTTTATATTTTAGCAGATAGGATAGATACAAGAAGATAAAAGACCAAATCTTAGTGCAACCCAATACATATATTTTATTAATAAGGACATTAGGAAGCTTCCTTTGTTTTAAAAAAAAATAAGAAGGAATCTCTCTTGTTAGCTTCGTTTAAAGCCATTTAAGCACCTTGAGTTTCTTAAGGCATCTTCCAAACAAGACAAATTGGTAAGGCATGGCATAATTCATTTTGATACTCTTAGGAACCAAGCATTAGAAAGTGGAAAAAAAAAAGGAAGAAAGATTTTTATTGAATAGGATGAAAAGAACAAGAAATATGACAACACTTTCTCCACCAAAGGTTTCCTTGTCAAAGGATTTCTCCTTTCACAAAAAGCTAATTCATTCAACAAAATCAACATCCTTCCTCTTTCCCCTTACATCCTCCTAATTAAGACAAAATCTAAGAAAAAACATGATGTTAATGTGTAAGCATTAATGCATAAGCATGTTCGGATCCGTATTCTTCTTCCTTGGAGATGAGTCAAGGCAGAAGTAACAATTTGTAGCTTCTGCATAATTTTATATTTATGCGATTTTACTGCTTTACACATATTGGATGCCGATACAAACAAACGGGAATTAAATGGACTTGCATATATTAATTTTAACATTAAGGAAATGGAATATATTAAAACAACATTGCTATTACATATAGAAACATGATATGTCACCTGACTCAAGAAGTCCATTGCTTCCTTAACAACCTCTCTGAATTTGTCATCATCAAGCCAGCCAAACTTTGTAATACGACAAAAGAGTTGGATCAAAGATCCTAGAACAAAGGGCTCCAGTTCTGGTCCTTTGCTTGCCAGATAATTTATGAGGTAGTTTCCTTCATAAAAATAGCAATTTGATCAATTTGGGTAAAAGAGAAAAGGAAATGATGCAACCACAAAGGGAAAATTGATTTCAAGATAAAATAAAATACAGAACCCAAATTTCCCAAAAAACAACTGGAAAAAGAAGTAAGAGAACAGTCAAGTTATTCATAAAATAAGTCGATACCAATTTTGGAAGAGAGACTTCAGTACATGCAAAATTAAGTCTACAAGTATTAAAGAATGTAACTCAATGCTGAAACGTCACTCAGTACATTTTGTTTGGGAAACAGACAAATAACAGTTTTTTTTTTCCACACACCCAAGCCAAATATATAGAGCCCCTAATATACTCCTAGTCATGATAATCTCCAAGCAAGAATATTACGAATGTCAATCCGGAGTTGTAAAGGAAGGCTTTGCTCAGTCACTTGCTTCAACAAGCTCGAACTTGCCAACATCAATGCATACGGAGAGGATGCATTATCCAGAACAAATTGACACTGTGAAATGTAGTCACTGTTTAAGGAAAAGCATTTCAGGGTGCTTTCTGCATGTGCTCTCTCTACAGAATCCTGCGAGTTATAGAGCCTCTCGCACATTGCTTCCAGCTGGGCTAATGTCTCCATTCTTCACTGTGTACGAAGTGTATCCAACAATTCAGATGAAGAAGTCAATTCTTCTCCTTTTTCCACGTATAACCAAAATATATCTACAAGATTTCATGTGAATTCAAGTATATATTTAGAGGTAGAAACAAAAAATAAATAAAAATACAATCATCAAACAACACCAAAGTTGATCAAATTGGATATAGTAACACTAAAATATTAAATGTTTACAGGTGTACAAGATAATGTTTTCAAATCTGAAACTGTTTGAATTACAAGTATACTCTAAAATACAAAGACAGCTCTGCATAAAAGAACCACAGCAGAATTCGCCAGCAAATCCAGGTACAATAGCATTTGTCCAAGGAAAATGAGCAGTGCAGTCCTGACAAAAAAAGAAGTCAATTATTTCAAAAATGCATTCATATATAGAATCTTTCAATCAAATAACACAGCTTTTTTTATCCACATAATAGAAAAAACAGAAACTAAACAACTAGAATCCTCTTAATCATTCCTTGGTCAAGAAATTGTTCCAATTCTGAGCAAAATCTTATTAAATCCTTAAGAGCAACATCATTAAAATATGCAAACATAACATGTACCAATGATTGTAAGGATGGATGCATATTAATTACACAGTTTTTCCAATAAATGAAATCAAGCTAGACTTCAACTCCTTCAACAAGAAGAAAAAAGACTCACAACAACATGCAACTCATACTCAATGAAAGAAATTGTGATATCCTCACCCTCCTTATTCTCGTTAATATTGTATAAAGTACTAGCAATAATGTTCCTTCACGAACAATTGGTTTTGGTAAGAATGAGCAATTGCCAAGTTTTGAACACAGTATCTCACTAGGTTATCAATAGTGGCAAATAACATACTATAACAGATTTAGATCACTACATCATACACATCTTATATCAATCCCTTCATTCTTCTCCTCTACCTCACACAACCAGTCTCTCCAGGCTATCTCTTCTATTTCTCCAGTGACCCACACCATTTCCGATGACCTGCTCTGTCTACCACTCCTACAGATTCTTTCTTCATTTTTTTGCTCTGTTTCTTATTTTTCTTTCTGAGCTATATTTGTCTTTCTCCTTCCACATTTATTTTCTGTTTACCTCTTGCTCTTTCACCCACTATCTATTTTTATCTTCTTTAATCACTAACAATTTTCATTTTTTTTCCTTACTGTCCTGATGCTGAACAGCAGCAGCTACCTATATGTCTTTTTGTATATAGGTACTATAAGTCTTTATTATTAATTATGAATAGTTTAAGAATTGAATATTCTTCTATTTTTAACACTTGTATTAATTATTCGTAACAAATAAACTAGTAAGAAAGAAAGGAGTGAAACAAATGGAAGAGATAAGAAATGATAAAAAAAATTATTTCAATAATGGCTAACACAATACATATAATACAGCACACCAACTGTAAAGCACACAATATTTGTTAATCTGCAGATTGACACTCCACTGAAAGTGACCCACACAGTGCATATATAAGTTTCCATAGAAAACAAATTGATGTGATAGGTTATATTCAAAACAAACCCTTTTAGCACCTCTTTTATTACTATAATAAACCAAACACAGCCATCTAAGTTGCAATTTGCGATGAAAATGGCATAGATAGTCGTAACCATTTGCTAGTCTTTGAAGTTAATGGTAGCAAGCCTCTTAGTGTTTCGTAAATTGAACTTTTTAATGGTAATTTTGCATGGTAACTTGATGTAAATTAGCCATTTATTTTATTTTTTTCTATATTTTACTTTTTCTACTTTCTTACACCTCTCGGTTTGGAAGCATTAAAAGCATCTTTAGCCTATAATTAACTCAGACCCACTACCTCAACACTAAACAGACCAGTGGCAAAAAAATTCTGATCCCCTACAATTAACAGATGACGCTATTTCTACACTTAACAGACAAACACAAACTGCTTGAGTCCTAAGTCAGTCTTCATAATGCTCTAATAATATCAATATACACAAAACACAGTCCACCATAAGCACGTCCCTTGCCCTTCCTTGATTCCATGGACAATCACTTCTCATCAAGTCACAAAATAGGTCGACATATGGTTACTACAAAATGAGTTCTTCTGTAAGTTGAAAGTCTAAAATAATTCAAACAATATGCTAGAGAACACAGTAATCATCCAGACTAAGAAAGCCACAGAAAATAAAAGTTTTATCAAACACAGAAACATTAAAAAAATAATAATAATAATAATAATAATAATAAAATAAAATACTATAATCACCACAACAAATTTGACAGCACCAAGCACATGTAAAAGCAAGTTTAGGACTACAGCAAAAGACAAATTTAGATACAATGAAAACAAGTGTATATTCAACTAGGTAAAGTGTTTGTATAATCGATCATCTATTACAGTGATTAACACATATCAAAATCACATATAAAACAAATCAAGATATAAAAACCTAATAATCCATGGATAAACACAAACAAAAACACCGATAGTATTAGAAAAAACAGTAAAAGAACTTTCATAGATTGTTGAGGATGTTCATACAAAGAATAGCAATGGCGATTCCAAGAACAATTTTGACAATATTGAGTTCAAAAGCAACTTTTAAGCGCGGCCGTGAGTGTGGTGTGGAAGGGATAAGAGAGGAGAACGAGTTTCAGAGTTTTCAGAGAGAGGAAAACCAATACCGTTTTACTTGTGTTAAAAACTTTTTTATAAGACATCAAACCCACACTCTTGTTTTTTATTTTAACTTTTCCCATTTTTTCTTCCTCTAGGTGGACCCAATATAGCGGAATTTAATGAGACTTAACAGGACACAGAGAAGAAAAATCAAATATTTTCAAAACATTTTCTTCATTTTTAAAAAGGCAAACATGGAAATAAATATTTTTTATGAAAATATATTATATATTTTGGTTCCAAAAGAATTATAATCTCACATTAAATTGAATTTTTATGAAAATAGAATAATATTTTATTATAATTACACATTTTCGTATATAATATTTTTTGCTGTTGGTTATGGCTAGGTAATTTGCCATCATGATTACTAGGGTGAGGCATTAATCTGTTTTATGCCTTGAATGCTTCATTTTCCTTCTGTAAGACTTATAGTTTCATAATGTAAACACATGGCCTTAAGGCTTCTTCTATTGACAAAATTTGGTCAATGTGTCCCTAAATCCTATATAATGAATTGGTTTTCATATTTGTTTGTTCTTGATTCAACTAGTTTGGGTAAAGAGATTTTTAATTGTGTTATTGTTTAGTTTGAAGGGTGAATTTATAAAAGAAAATAAAAGTGAAAAGGAATTTTTTTAATATTAATCGAAAGAGAACAAAAAAGTGTAAAGCAATAAAGTAAAGAATTGTAATTAATATTATTGTTTTAACTAATTAAAAAAATTATTAATAAAATAAATTTATGAATAATCAAAATATTTTTTATATAATTTTAATAAAAATAAATACAAATTAAATTCTGAGATGTAATTTAATTTGAAGTAATTATTTAATTAAATGAATAAAAAAAATAAAAGTTAAAATTAATTTATATATAAATTGGAAGTAAATTTATGATTTTATAGATATATTTATATTTTATAATTGATTAGTAATATTAAATTTTATATATTTTAAAAATAGTGTAATTATTTTCATATGTTTTTATACAACAAATCGAAAGTATAATGTTAAATATAAGATAATTAATTTTATTTTTAAAATAATATTACAAATTAATACAAAATTTAAATTATTTAGATAAATAATATAATTTAGTATTGAATATTTATGTATTATTTTTTATAATAATAAAATCTAATTAAAAGTCATTAAACATTAGTGCAAATATTTTCTTATCTTATTTTTATGACAATTTAATTTATATTTTTTAAATTATATACCAATATATTTAATTTGGATGATTGTTATGTTGATTTTAAGTTAGGTATATTCTTTTAAAATAAAATCAATATTTTAAGTTTATATTTATTTTTTATTTTTAAAAAATCAATTTTGTTGAGGGTCTTGGGCAAAGATTTACAAAACTTTAAGATTGTAAGTTTTATTTTCATTTTTTTATTATTTTAAAGAGAATTGTAAATTTTAATAAAATATAATATTTATATATGTTTCTCTAGATTTTATATATAAAAGGTATAAATATTTTATTAAATGTATTTTTATAATAATGTTTTTATTAATACAAATAAATATAATAAATAAGATAGTTACACATACATTATTATCTAAATTAAAAATTAAATAATTACCGATTTTATTTGTTAAGGCATGTAAATTAAAAAATATATTTTCATAATAATACTATTTGAGTAGGAAGAATTATAAAACAATTGTAAATCAAAGTATAAAAGTACAAAAATCTTAAACAGTGAAAACGTAGTGTTATATATATATATATATATAATTATTATTCTAATTCAACCTTTATAATTTCAATTTAATGTATAACTCTTATTTGAAACAACGGTTCTGATCAAATTGTTTTTTTTTATTATTTTCTCTATTTCACATTAATATCATAGGATTATAGTATTTACATTTTTTTTCTTAATTTCTTCGATTATATTTTTAATATATACAAAATGAATTATAACTAAAAGAATAAAAATAATTAATTATTGTTGTTTAATATTAGTTATATAACTTTAAAATGTTTAACTAAAATTATTTTAAAAATATTTAATTATATTTTTAGTTCTATTATTTAATTGTTTTGTATATGTTGATCAAATGAAAGTGTCAACTAAATCCTTAAAAAAAAAAAATACAATAATATAGCTTTTTTTGTGATCCAATGAATCAGGCCTCTTACTTTTTAAAATACAATAATATCATCCTTTTACCAACTAAAACAAAATTATTATATTTATAATTTATCACTATTCATTAGTTATAAATTTTTAATAATTTTATTGTTAATTGAGTGATAAGTGATCATTATTACATTTTTAAAAATTAAATTTTTTTGATATTTTGCAACATATTAATTGAATAATATAGATCAATAATAAAGTTAAAAAGGTAATTAAAATTGTTTTCATGTATTTTAATGTACAAAATTTTTAAAATTGAGAAAAGAAAATTCATTTTCTCTCTTATACAAATAGAAATGAAGAAAAAAATAAAAAAATCAAATTGATTATTAGTAATATGCAACACCATTATATTTTTTTAAAATTAATATATTTTTTTTATTATTTATTACTATAATAAGAAATAATTTTATTTTTTATATTAAAATAATAAATTTATTTTATATTCTACTTATTTTTACTATTTCCATCTAATTAAAACAACTCCACCTTTTACTTTTTTTCATATTTTTTACTCCCTTAAATTTATTATTCAATTCAAACAATCATAAATCTTAAAATAAATAAAATTTAAAAATTAATAAAATATTAATATTTATTTATAAAATAATAAAAAAGGTTAAGTATGATACATTAATTTAAATTAACGGACCAAATTTTTTTATAATTTTATTTCATCAACAAACTCATTTAAGTCGTCTATGACTTATCAATTTGTGAGTAAAGTCGTATTTGTTCTAAAAAAAGTTTAAATATTAATTTAAAATATTATTATTTTTTTAGGTTGTTAAATTATATAAATGTAACATAATATTTTAATTTAAATATAAATTATTAATTATAATTAAGTATTTTTATACATAAATATATAATATTTCAATTTATTTATTAAAAATTTCAATATAAATAAATATTAAAAAATATTTATATAAATTAAAGTTATACTTAAAAAATTATATGTAAATAAAATTACCAGATTAACTCATTAATTCTTCAATCCATCTTTTAATAGATGAGATAAAATTTATATTCCATCTTATTTATAAAAATAATAAAACTTAACGGTATATTTGTAAATAAAATAAAGTTTGAGAAGAAATAGTTAAAATTAATAAGTATATTGGCAAATTCATTCTACACTGTTTGATCTGGCCGAGGTAGACAGACACACTTAGGCTGTAGTTTGCTTCAATCACGTAACTCCCTTGCTGTGTTTCACTCTCAGTCCCACGCGAAACTCTCTTTTCTCCTTAACCTTCAATCCTTCTTTGCTTCTCATATACCCAATTCTCCTTCCCCTACTTCCCCGCTTTCATTCTACTCAAATTCACTTTATTTCTCACCATTCTTGTGTTCCCTATGAAATCAAAATCGCAATCTCAGCCACCATTTTTGGTGCGTTAATCGGAGCCAATTCAGTAGACATGGAAAATTCCCAAGATCAACAACCACTCCCTCCAGGTGTTCCTTCGTGGCCAAACTATGCCGATGCCGCTCCTTCACCTCAATACCCCTTTCCTCCCAACGCCCCGTACGACCTTCAACAAGGAACCCTTTCACACCATGGGTTCGCCACCGGTCACGCCTTAACCTCAGAGGTCATTCCCGATGTTAAACCAATCGAACAACATGGAGAAAATAACTCTTCCGATTCTAACCTTGCTCGGAACGCTAGAGTGGACGGTGCCACAGTTAGTGTTTCCGCCGCTTCGAACTACTATGGAGCGCAGTTCAATGGCTCGAATGACATTGATATTGCTGCACAGGATGCAGTGCTGCGCGAACAAGTATGTTTGATATCTGCTGCGCGAGGTTTTGCTTTGCTGTTTCGGGTTTTTTGTGATCCTTTGAGAAAATTGTGGTGAAATGCGGGTGTAATTGTTGTTTGTTGAGCTTGTGGACAGTGTTTTAAGGCCTGGCTCTCATGTCTTCGCGTTTTTTTATTTGATTGTTGTTCGTTTGACTGTTTTGGTTGTTTTGGGTTTGCTTTTATCGACAGGAAATTGCGATGCAAAATGTCGTGAGGAGTCAAAGGTGTGTTGATTTTGTTTCCCTTTTGCTCAATTTTGTGGAATGATTTCTTGAAATGTTAGTGGTTTGAGATAGTGGGATTGTTGGTTAGAGGTTTGTGTTGTGTCATTTTAGAGAGGGAAGAACTGCAGCTGCACCTAACAAGGATAATTTGGATGTTTTCTCAGAGCGGCGTGACCCCAATGCTTTGAAGGTGTGTGATATAAACGTCATTGGAGTTAATTTCATTTCTTTGAGGATTAGGAGAGTTACACACAGCTTTTCTATGTTTTGTTTTTATTTTTTAAAAAACAGGAGCATCTATTGAAAATGGCCACAGAGCATAGGGCTGAAATGGCTGTGAAGCGTGGGAAAGCTGCACGTGCGGAAGAAGGTCTGTACCTTACTTTACCAAGTGTTGGTAATTCTGTACCATTTTGCTTCCTTTTTCTCAATTTCAATGATAATGTGGCATTGGTGCTTGATGGTATTGGTGGACTGATATTATTTTATACTTTTATCTTCATTTATGACTTCATTTCCTTGTAAATTGCTCCCTCTTCTTTTGCCATTTGGACTTCATTGTCATGGTATTTTTTTCGCATTCAATTAGCTCTTTCATTTAATGAACATCTTAAGTCTTCATCAAAATGAAGAATAAATCATGTGTTTATCGCCTTCATACAAATATGAGAACCTGAGTTGTTGTAACGGATTTTGACAAAAAGAAATGAATCACTGTCTTATTTATGTATAATATTAGCCTGTACTCTCTTAGACAGCGTACATGATAAGATTATCCAAACGTAGAGTGGTATTCTTACCTCTGTGAAGTTTTTTTTCAATGAATCTTTACGTAAGAGAGAACATCGAGTAGGAGGAGATGAAAGATGGGTAGCAAATGGACAGCATCTGTCAACTGGGAGAGAGTGTAAATTATGAAATAATAAATCCAGATCTAAAATATTGGTTTTTAATAATAAAGGAGATACTGTGAAGAAACCTGGGGCTGGACATCCGAAAGAAGAGATGAAAATGGAGATAGGGATGTTGAAATGAGTTCTTTGAACTCAATACAACAGAAAAGAAAAACTCCCAAGGTTGATCATACCACTTCAATAACATGTTGGATTTATAAGGTTTTAGGAAGGAAAAGAGGAAAAACAAAAAAGACAGTTTATGTGTACCTTCATGGAATTTGGACCGGCCTTGTTCCTTAATTCAGTTACTTCCTCAACATCCAAAGGAAAAGCTAGAACACTTTGAATGGATTAACCACAGGAAATCTTCAGGCAACCTCTTAGATATTATCTTACAACTTTTCCCTAACCTATGGTGTATTTGGGACAGTAAACAACTTACTTAAGTGCTTATTGAATAATTGCTTATCATGTAAGCACTTATTTATAAGTTGTTTCAATAATTGAAGAGGAAGTAGGATAAATTGTTTCCATACAAGTTGTAAGTTTTTTTCTTAAGCTATCCTGGAGAGCTTTTCAAGATAAGCTGAAATTTCTTGTGAACATATCGTAGCTATTTTTCATAAACTCTTCCAAATACTTACAGTGCCTATGTCATAAGATAAGCATAAATAAATTCTAAATAAGCTCTTCCAAACACATCACCAATACTTATACTTTCATCTATAATGTCTTTTAATGGTAATAAATTTTTCTGATTACTTTGGGATTATATGCATTCTGTATAGGTAACACAGAAATAGGCAATGGATATGGTGTACCTGGTGGAGGTGCCTATTATGATGCTCCAAAACTTAATACTACTGCAGGTACATATGATTACAAAGGTTTTTTACTCATGCTGTAGCACTCTTATAGAACTGCAATAAGTAAGTCATTGAGTATACCTTAACTTTGTTGCTTCTGGAACTGTGAAGCAGGTAGCAATGCTTCCAGTCAGCCTGATCATATACTTGATAGATGTTCAGAACCAAAACCTGCAGCTAAAGAATTGCCTGAGTTCCTCAAGCAGAGGCTGAGAGCTAGGGGTATTCTTGAAGAAGATTCATGTGCTTCAGATCTTGTAAGTATATTGATCTTAGAGTATATTTGTTATCATCATTCCTTTCTTCCCCTCCTTCACCTGTTTATTTTTTCTTTTTCTATTATTTTCTTCTTTGGAAGTGGGGTGGCAATCTATTTTTGAGGCGGCCTCATTCCACCACTTTGTGCAACAAATTTCATTTGGGTTTGAAATGTGTTAATCTAGCATTTAAAACTATTATGCTTCACTTTTAACTCAGAACACTATTTTAATTTCTCATGTTCTTAGGTGTTTTACGGTATATTATTTTCAATCTGTTCAAATACCTTACAAATTACATGTTTGAGTTTCAGAAAGCCACTGCAGCTGAAGTTACGGAAAATCAAAAGTTGCCACTCGGATGGGTGTGTATCACTATTACTTGTTATAAAGTTTGCCTTAGAATTTGGGTGGAAAATTTATTTGCGTACGCCTTTGGATATTTAAATCTCCTAATCAGTCTTGAACTTTCTTAAAACAAATCCTAGCTTTGACAAAAAAAAAAAATAGAATTCAGATTTTGGTGTCATAGCTACTGCATATGTAGTCATCACCACAATCCTGTGTATATCATTTTGAAAAACAAAAATGGAAGGTAAATAAAATCTTATTGACTGAAAGTTTTGGTATGTGAATTATGGAAGAATGAGGAACCTTAGGCTTGACAAACAAGAAACAACAAATCAGATGTTGAGTTTTGCTCTGTACCCTGCTAATGAAATGATTTTTGTTGAAAAATAGGTGTTGATGAGTATGTTTGAAGGTACATAACATAATTAATTATATCTTATTGCCCATTATAAGTTCGGATAATGAGAAAATTTATATCTTAATTTTATCAATACCTGACTACTTCTAGCACATGTAAATCACTACTTTTCCATGTAGGTCGAGGCAAAAGATCCTAGAAGTGGGGCATGTTATTATTATAATGAAAGTACAGGGAAGAGTCAATGGGAAAAACCTCAAGAATCATACTTAACTGAGCAATCACCATCATCTTCACATCTTCCAGAATATTGGGTGGAGTCATTGGATGAAACAACAGGTCCAGCCCATATAAAATATCACGTGTTTGCATCTGGTCTTTACATGAGTTTTATTTATAATATTTTAAGGAGACTTCTAATGAGTTCATCAATAGTGCTGGTTTAGAATTAGAGAAAGAATGGCTACAATACAGTTAATCCTATGTTAGTTCCCTAGGAATCTGAAGTTGGGAAAATATGTTTTTCATGTTTTGTTTACCTTTTAAAACATTTCCAAGAAACAATGTTTCTCAAAATTGGTTTTTGGCAAAGTTTCCAACACATAAAATCCCATGGTAAAGTTGGGAATCTAATTTTCCTAAGTTAAAATAAAAGTTTTACTGAAAAAAAAAATCATTTTACTCTTATTAAATCATTTGATGTAGTAATGAATTAAAAATTATAGTAAAAATAACACATTACTCTTTTATGTCTAGGGAACTCATAAATATTCCTAGTAATAAAATCAAACAAAATTTAGCCATTCCTAAGTGTTGAATATAGGGAAAAACTGTATAGGGTTAACTTCCCTTGTGTATTTACCACACATAGGGCAGTGTATTTATAATAAAGAAAGGTACTCCTCAAAAGAGTAACAGAATACAAATAGGGTAAATAAAAGATATTATTTGATATTGTGATTAACAATATCTAACAATATCTCAACAATATCAAATAATATCAACTAATATCTAATCATATCTAACACTCCCCCTCAAGCTGGAGCATACAAATCGTATGTGCCTAGCTTGGTACAAAGATAATCCATCCTAGGTCCCCGTAAAGACTTAGTGAAAATATCTCGCTAATTGATCACATGAGTTAACGAACTCAGTCTTGATGTCTCCGGACAAAATCTTTTCTCGAATAAAATGGCAAGTCAATCTCAATGTGTTTAGTCCTCTCATGAAAGACAGGATTAGAGCTTATATGGAGAGCAGCCTGATTGTCACACACTAGTGTCATTTGAGTGACATCTCCAAATTGTAGCTCTTTAAGCAATTGCTTGAGCCAAATAAGTTCACAGGTAGCCGAGGCCATAGCTCTATACTCGCTTCGCACCGGATCTTGCCACAACACTTTGTTTCTTACTTTTCCATGAGATCAAGTTACCACCAATGGAAACACAATACCCGGATGTAGATCTTCTATCGAGGGAGATCCTGCCCAATCGACATCCGAATAGCAGACAACTCTTGTATGATTATGGGAGTCATACACCAAACCTTTTCCAGGAGACTTTTTGATGTACTTCAATATACTGGATGACCGCATTCCAATGATCTTGACAAGGAGAATTGAGGAATTGACTCACCACACCGATCGCAAAGGAAATGTCGTGGCGAGTAACCGTAAGATAATTTAATTTTCCAACTAATCTTCTATACTCGTTCAGGATCCGACATTGGCTCCCCCGATTTGGCAAGAGTTTGGTATTAGGATCCATGGGTGTGTCAACAGGCTTTGAATTCATCAACCCAGCTTCCTCCAAAATATCCAATGCATACTTTCTTTGAGATATAACAATGCCATCGGTAGATTGTGCTACCTCAATACCCAAGAAATATCCGAGTTTGCCAAGATCTTTGGTTTGAAAATGGTGGCAAAGGTGTTGTTTCATCCGAGAGATGCCATGATGGTCACTACCTGTAAGAACAATGTCATCGACATACACTATCAAATAGATACATCCAAGCATTCGAGGGATCGGTAAAAGACCGAGTGGTCTCGCCTCACTTCTAGTCATGCCAAATTGTTGAACAACGTCGCTAAATTTGCCAAATCAGGCCCTAGGAGACCGTTTTAGGCCATATAAAGATTTGCGAAGACGACATACCAATCCAGAAGACTCCCCCGAGCAACAAATCCGGAGGTTGCTCCATATAAATCTCTTCTTGCAAATCGCCATTCAAGAAAGCATTTTTGACATCCAGTTGATAAAGAGGCCATTGTTGAATAGCGGCCATGGCAATGAATAAACGAACGAAGCCATCTTTGCCACTCGGAGAGAAAGTATCACCATAATCCAACCCAAAAATTTGGGTATAGCCTTTGGCTACAAGGCGAGCTTTGAGGCGATCAATAGTACCATCAGGACCAACCTTGATAGCGAAGACCCACCTGCAACCAACAACAGATTTTCCGGATGGTAATGGGACAAGCGTCCGGGTTCCACTAGTCCGAAGAGCACCGAGTTCATCTAGCATGGCCCGACGCCAACCGGGGTGGGCTAAGGCTTCGGAGACAGATTTAGGAATAGACATAGAAGAAATAGACGAGAGACATGTATAAAATGGTGAAGAAATTCGATGATAACTAATAGCAAGTATAATGTGGAGAAGGATTACGAGTAGAACGCGTACCTTTACGAAGGGCAATAGGAAGGTCGACTCGTGGACTGAACCGGAGGAGGCAGAGTATTTGGCACCGGGAGTGAGTCATGTGGCGTCTGTTGTGGGCGAGGTCTCGCGACTATAAACCCGAAGGGGTGGTGGAGGAGGAGGGGCTAATGGTGGATGGTCCTCAACATAAGGATCAATGAGAACAGGAATGGGAACTGTAGCGAGATGGAGACTCAGCAGGTAGGGAAGGGTCCTTAAAGTAAAAGGAAAACTCATTGAAGGTGACATCGGCAGACACAAAATAGCGATTAAGAGAAGGAGAAAAACACTTGTATCCTTTTTGGGATCGAGTAAATCCTAAGAAAACACATTTGTGTGATCGAGGAGATAACTTATCATGACCAGGATCAAAATTGTGGACAAAACAGGTAGACCCAAAAACCTTCAGAGGTAAAGGATGGAGAGTGTCATGAGGAAATAAAATAAAATGGGGAATTTTGTTATCTAAAACCGAAGAGGGCATACGATTAATAAGATAACAGGCAGTAAGAACAACATCACCCCAAAAATGTTGAGGAACCGCACCATGAAATTAAAGAGTACGGGTTGTTTCAATAAGGTGTCTATTCTTGCGCTCAGCCACCCCATTTTGTTGAGGGGTATAAGCACAGGAAGTTTGATGAAGAATGCCATGAGAAGCCATAAATTGTTTAAACGAGTTTGAAAGATATTCACGGCCATTATCACTTCGAAAGGTTTGAATAGAGACACCAAATTGATTTTTAATTTCATGATAAAAGTTTTGGAATATAGAAAACACCTCAGAACGATTTTTCATTAAAAATAACCAAGTACAACGAGAGAAATCATCAATGAAAGTAACAAAATATTGAAAACCTAAATTAGACTTAACACGACTGGGTCCCCAAATGTCAGAGTGAACTAAGGCAAAGGGGGATGAAGCACGCTGGGAAACACTACGAGAAAAGGAAGTACGACTATGTTTGCCTAATTGACAGGACTCACACACCAAACTCGGACAACCGGGATAAGCCGGGAACAAGTTGCCGTAATTTGCGCAGACCGGGGTGACCAAGCCGAGCATGAAGGAGAGAAGGAGACTCCATAACCGTGCCAACATGTGGAGAAGGTTGAAGATAATAAAGTCCATGTGACTCACATCCGGTGCCAATCACTTTTTGCGAGCTCCGGTCCCGTAAGGAAACGAAGTTTTGGTAAAAGAGATAACACAATCAAGAGATCGAGTTAGACGACTAATGGATAATAAGTTAAAGGGGGACCCGGTACATACAAAACATTATCAATGGACAACGAGGGAAAAAGAGTAACCGTTCCAACACCATGAGCTAAAGTTGTAGACCCATTAGCCATTGTAACGGAGGGTAAATTATGAGAAGAAGTGAAAGAGGAAAATAAGGATTTGTTACCGAGTGATGTGATCGGTGGCGCCCGAGTCAAGAACCCAAGAGCCAATAGAAGAAGAGTGAGTCGACCAGCAAAAGATGTACCTGTGTGGGCAACGAAGTAGTGGAACCTGGAGGGCTTTCGATCCTCATACCATTGAAGAAAATCATTGAAGATAGCGGATTTGTCCGAAGGTACAGACGAAGGAGGATCCACAGCAGAGGATTGTGCGGAAGAATCAGTCTGAGCAACTGCAGCAGATCGGCGACGATAACCATGTAAAGCATAACATTTGTCAATTTTGTGGCCTAGTTTGCCACAATGGTCACACTTGACACGCCCTTTGCCTGGCTTGTGAGAGCGATTACGATCATCATGGTGAGAGGCCAAGGCAGATGAATCATTAAAAACATATTGCTCAGACCCACCGGAGCTGACAGAGGTAACTTCAGAATTGGAAGTGGCAGCGGAAGATGCCATGGAGGAAGAGAGAGAAAAACCCTAAAACACCAAAGAGGTCCGATTGGAGCAGCGAGGACAGATCCAGAGAGAGGAGAAGGAGGCGACGCCGGCGCAAAGAGCGGCGGCCTGAACGGCGGCGAGACGCGCCGCCACGCGTGGCGGAACGGGAGAAGGTGGCGCGGCTTCGGGAGGCGCGTGAGGGAGCGTGGCTGCTCCGATGACCGCGAAACTTCCACGGTGGAGGTCGCACGGAGGAGGCGAGCAAAACCCTGTGCTCGGCGGTCCGAACCGCTACTCGCGGCGGCGGACGGCGGTGGCGACAGCGGCGGCGGCGGTGATGGAGGCGGCGACAGCTGCAGGTTCGATGGCGGAGCCGAAAAAATCCCAAGAGACCTTAAGCTCTTGATACCATGTTGAATATAGGGAAAAACTGTATAGGGTTAACTTCCCTTGTGTATTTACCACACATAGGGCGATGTATTTATAATAAAGAAAGGTACTCCTCAAAAGAGTAACAGAATACAAATAGGGTAAATAAAAGATATTATTTGATATTGTGATTAACAATATCTAACAATATCTCAACAATATCAAATAATATCAACTAATATCTAATCATATCTAACACTAAGAATGAATACTCTCAAGATTCATGATTCTTGGATATGAAAAAAATTCTCTAATATTGAACACCCTCCTAGTCTTCTATGCCTATCTCTGTTAAATTCTGGTTGAATTCTATCTCTAATATCAAATGCCCTCCTAGTTTTCTTTGCCTATCTCTGTTAAGAATCAAAATTCTCAAGATTCATGATTCTTGGATATGAAAAAATTCTCTAATATCGAACACCCTCCTAGTCTTCTATGCCTATCTCTGTTAAATTCTGCTTGAATTCTATCTCCAATATCAAATGTCCTCCTAGTTTTCTTTGCCTATCTCTGTTAACTTCGGTTTGAATTCTATCTAGCCATCACCAACTGACAATCACCCCCTTGGATAATAAAAACTAGTGTAACCAAATGTACTTACCAGAAAGTACCCTTCCAATGGAACACATTCACCTTGTTCTTAAGGTGAATTGTAGCAGGAGAACCTGCTATGGCAAGGAACTTGGGAAATCATACCACAGTAGCTAGCTATTATAGTTGGAGAGATCAAGGCCTTATCAAGTTATAAACCCCACACTAGAATCCCTTATTCCAATACTTCAAATGTGGGATGGAAGCCCCATATCATACCACATTAATGCTTTGACTAGTCTCAATGGAACACTAGAATGCCGGCATCAATACCTGTGCTGCTTATTTGTGGCTGAGAGATGGAAAACTTTACGACCAATTGATAAGAACCTTGGGAGAATCACACAAGAGTTATGTTTGGAGTCTCACATTGATCAGAATGAACTACTTGAGATTGTATGGTTTTTGGTTCTGTGAAAGTAGGATAGTGGACAAAGAAGGAGATTGAGAGAATCTGTTTAGAGGGATCTCATGGTACATAATATCTCTGAGAATCTGGTCTTTAATTGAGCCAAATAGCATTATGTGATCTATCTATGTAGCTGACCAAACCTAGTGGGAAAGGCCTTTGTTGTTGTTTCTAGAAAACAGAAAGTAAGAATATTAAGTCTTTTAGTGCTCAAATTGTGTAATCAATCTAGAGTGTTTGAAATCTGATAAATAGGTAGATGACAACTACACTTACATTATGGAGAAAAACAATAGATTTATACTAGATGTTCTAATATTTGACTTTTTATTTGCTTTGCCCTTTTGCATGTGTTTGTTTTGTCAATTTCTGAATCTATTTGATTTTTTATTCATAGTCGTTTGGTGTAAACATTATGAATTTTTATAGTGGCCGTGTATTTATGCTACCAGGTTCAGTATATACTTATGTTTCTTGATTGAGAAATAAAATGTCTTATGAGCATCTTTTTGTTGTGCCAGTTTACCCATAGACTTGATTGTAGTTGTATGAGTGATTTTTTGTATCTTTTTCGCCACTGTTTTAAGAATTTTATAAGTTATGTTATCAATTATTTCTTTGTATTACAGGTCATAAGTATTATTACAATACAAAAACTCATGTATCTCAATGGGAGCGTCCTAAATTGGCTCAGGAAGTAGTTTCAAATCACTCAGGCATGTCAGTTGGTGGTGGGTATGATCAATCATCTAATTTGACACGGTGCATGGGATGTGGAGGTTGGGGTGTTGGCCTAGTTCGACAATGGGGTTACTGCAATCACTGCACAAGGTAGAGGTGTGGTTACTGTTAATGATTACTGAGGTCTTATAAATAATTGCTTATTTTTGGAGAATGATTACACTCAAGTGATTGTTTCTTCAGAAATAATCCCAGCCAAACATGCTAATGTTGGAGAATTCTTACATTGATTTGGCTGGTAGTTTATACTAAAGTTACATTCATTGGATGTTGTATGTTGAACAAGAATTGAAACAGGGTATACTTGATTGATGATTATAGTCCTGTAATGACAGGGTATCTCATTCACTTTAACACACTACATGGAGAAGAAGTAAAGTTTCATGAAAACGAAAATCAGTTTACCAGATTTTAGAGAGTGACATGCTTTAGATTTTTATATACTAATTCTTTGTAATGGGGTTAGACATACCCAAACCTGTTTCACTGTTGTAGCTGAAATTGTTCAAAGGCTTAATCAATTGCTTATTTCTTTGTAATGGGGTTACTCATCTTTCTTTACAACACCATTTGTCACAGAAAGATACTTGTCTTGCTTACTTGTAATTTGTTGGTTCATCTGGATGATAGGTTGAATCGGAACTGGATGTCACTGGAAATATACTAGTCTTGCTCACTTGTAATTTGTTGGTGCATCTGGATCATAGGTTGAATAATGTCACTGGAAATACGCTTTAATTGTAAATGAAATCCACAAAATACAACAACCAGAACAATAGATCCTACTCACTAGGTGAAAAATGAAATCCACCAAAATAATGTTGATTTTTTTCTTCGTGCATGACTATATACATCATCTGTTTGCTTTTTTTATTTCTAAATTAGCTGAAAACGTTTATCTCTAATATTTTTTTTTTCGTTTTATTATAAAAAATGAACAAGTGCAGAGTTCTGAATCTTCCTCAATGTCAATATTTGTCCTCAAGTTTGAATAATCAGCAAAGCAGTACTCCACATCCCAGTGAAATTTCAGATAATAATGCTACCAAACCGAGGTATGGTTTTGTACGAAGATCTGCAGTGCTATTAATATTTAACAAAAAATTATTGCTGTGCAGTTGATGTTATCTAGCCAATTTTACTGCTGCACATCCTTGGTGCAGGAAGGCCTCTATAATAATATAAATTTCAACTTCCACTATCCATCACTTTGATTTTCTCTTTTTCGACACTATGGTTTCATGAAAAATCCATAATATGCTTAGCTTAAAAGCTTCTACAGAAAATATACTTTCTTTTAGGTTCTGTTCCATATTGTGATAATACTGCTTAGAGTTAAACATTGGAAGGTGCATTTTGTGGAAATGATTGATATAATTAATGGGAAGTGAACTTTTGAAAAGAAACAGTTTTATCTGAAAACAATAAAACTACAGTGATAGAACTCTAGTGTAAATGCAGAATAATAGAAAAGGAAAGGAAACCTATCAAGTATGCAGAGCCTACTCTCCCCTGTCAGCTCTGTCACCCTATATATTCCCCAGAAGGCTCAAGTACCCTCTTTCAGAGCCTACTTATATTTGCATCCCTAATGATTTTTTATTCTCTTTTTCTCCAATAGTCTGCTCCAACCTGTCCAGTTTGCTCTAGTTACGCATAACAGATTCATTCTCCCCGTTTACCATAATGCCCTAATTCCTTCTCTCCCTCCCACGATAGACTTTAACAGGACGCCCATGGATTTGAGGCCTATTAGATAGCAGTTTTGGAATTTGGACATAGTATTCATTGTACTTTTTAATGAAACTGGATTATTCAGACAATCAAGACAATCTTTGTCGTCAGTATTAGGCTACAGTTACATCTATCTTAGACAACAATCAAATGCCCATTAGAAACTAGCATGTTAGATTTGATATTATTGGCCTCAGCTTTGAATTTCATGGAAGATTTATTGAAGAGTTCACTTGATAGGCTACTGATATATTTCAGGGAATAAAAATACTAAACTGCGTTAATAATATTGTTTATAAATTCTTCTCTGTCCTCTTTTCATTAATCTTTGAAATTTATAAACAAGTACAAGAGCCAATCATTGGCTAGGCTACCTGCACAATCATGAAACAAAAAGGAATCTAACAACATACATAAAATTTGTAAAATAAACTATTAGGGTATAAGGGGAAGGAGACGACGTTAGTAAGATAGTTAGCATATTAATGAGTTAGTTAGTTGTATAAGATGTTGTTTAGATATAAATAAGGTGTGAAGGATAGGAGAAGGGGGTAGATTTTTTTTGTAAATTGAGCATTAGCTCTTTGTAAAAGGAGAAATCTTTTGTGAAGGGGAAACCCTTGGAGGAGAGTCTTCTCCTATTTCTTGGTTTTTTCATTCTATTCAATAAAGAAAGTTTCTTTTCTTTTTCTATGTAATTCTTGGTTCCGAACAATTGGTCCGACCTATTCGATCCGAAAATGGGAAATCATGAAAGGAAGAATTGCTGCCTTAGAAAAATGGGCTAGCAAGCATGGGAAGATCATCTCAGAAATACAAGATAATTTTCAAGAAATCAAAGACTTGTTGAAACACTTAAAGGAAAAAGAAAGAAACCCGGAGAAAGGTGAAAATTCTATAAATGGGGGAAGAAGAAGAGAAAGGACTGTGATTAGTGAGAAATCTGATTCGGATTATGGGGAAGATATGCAGCGTCACTGGATGAAGAGGGTGGAGTTGCCAACTTTTGAAGCAAGTGATCCAATTGGTTGGATTGTTAGGGCTGAAAAATTCTGAGGTAGATGAAATGGATTCTTTTGATAAACAACAATATGCATTCATGAGCATGGAGGGTGTGGCAATGCGTTGGTTCTATTATTGGTACCAAGATAACTTAGATTTAGATTGGGGATCTTTTTCAACAGTTTTGATAAAAAGATTCAAAGATATCTATGACAGCCACATCTTTGAAAGATTGACTACCATGAAGCAAGAAGAGCAAACTGAGATTAAAACATGCAACAAAATAATGGAGACTTCCACAATAGTGTATGAAGAGGGTGATCCACATCTGGTTGATCAAGAAAAAAATAGCATGGAGGGAAGCAGGTCAAAATGCATTGCAGCAGAGATTAGTTCTTGGACAAGAAAGATGGAACTACCCATATTTGCTGGAAGCATAGAAGGGGAATTTGATTCCAAGAGTGGCAGTTTTGAGAGTGATGATGATCCTTTTCTATTCTTGAAATCATAAAATAGAGGTAAAGAAGACTCCGTAATCAAGTATCACACCCTTGATGGTGGAGAAGAAACCAAAAATGAAGAGAATTTAGCAAGAGAAGTAAAGATTATGTCATCAATAAAGACTGGGAAGATGATGGATTTCCATATTAAGAATCAGGAATCATTGGTTGGAACAACAACACAATTAGAATTTTGGGAATTTTAATTTGCTTGGTGATCCTTTAACATTAAATTTCATTACTTCTATGGATCATAACTTGCAAATGGAGTCAATACAGAAGGAAGGTTCAAAGGCTGTTATACAAAATCCACCCTCATTTCCACAACCACCCAAATCACCTGACCTGAATTTGAATGCAGTAGCCACTGGTTCTCATTCCTATACCAAAAAGAGACATCACATGCAAACAGGAAGGGTAAATGAAGATCATGGTAATGAGGATGAGCAATGGGATCAAGTTTCTACTATACAACCTTGAGGACAAGGTTGATTTTTAGGCAGGGTGTATTGTTAGGGTATAAGGGGAAGGAGAAGTTAGTAAGATAGTTAGCATATTAATGAGTTAGTTAGTTGCATAAGGTGTTGTTTAGATATAAATAGGATGTGAAGGATAGGAGAAGGGGATAGATATTTTTTGTAAATTGAGCATTAGCTCTTTGTAAAAGGAGAAATCCTTTGTGGAGGGGAAACCCTTGGAGGAGAGTCTTCTCCCATTTCTTACTCTTTTCATTCTATTCGATAAAGAAACTTTCTTTTCTTTTTCTGTTTAATTCTTGGTTCCTAACATAAACATCTATTGGCAGTTTTAACAATATGCCATCTATTGGCATCCTTGTGGATAATGAATTCTGATGACTAATATAATCACACAGTCCTGTAAGTTATTGGGCCCCTTGGTAGTCTTCTTGGGTCAAGAGTTGTGGGACGGGTTGCAATCATCACATCTTGGAGTTATCTCACAGTTTTGCCTTGAAATCTATACGTTAGCCTTCACTGGAGCCATAAAGGATTGTATTGATTCCAATTTCTCTCTCCAGGACCAGTTCGAAACCTCCATTTCACAAGGGAGGTAGAAAAGGGGGTAAAAAACGTGATTTTGCAGAGGATGACGAGTTGGATCCCATGGACCCTAGCTCCTATTCTGATGCTCCTCGTGGTGGCTGGTATGTGTGTTGCGTGTTATATATATATATATATATATATATATATATATATATATATATATATATATAATAAATCTTGATGAAGTGATTAGTATAAATGTTTATTACTTTCAGGGTCGTGGGTCTGAAAGGTGTGCAGCCACGAGCAGCTGACACAACAGCAACAGTATGTACATTATTGCTTCTCATTTTTCTTTTATTTTCAGAAGTACTTATGTTCCAATCTTTTCCTTAGTTGCTTTTCTTATTGATCCCTTTGATGTCTATATTTTTTCAATGCATTTTGAACCAAAAGAAATACTAACCTGGTATATCCATGGATGCTTTAATACTCAGAAGAATTTTGTCACTAAATGAAGTTATCCACGATGTCTTGTGTGTAAACAATAAAAAAGTACGTGAATTGTGTAATGAAAGATTACGGACTAGGCCCTAGTGTTGCTAATATTAAATGCCACTGGGTAGCAGTGATGCCTGTTATGCAAAAACAGAGAAACACGGGGGAATGTCTACTATAACAATATTTTTGGTTTCAGTTTCCTGACATTCCTCAACTGAACATGATTTAAAATTTTTCTCGAATCATTTCAGGGTCCTCTCTTTCAACAACGACCATATCCATCACCTGGAGCTGTTCTTCGGAAGAATGCTGAAATTGCTTCTCAGAAGAAGAAACCAAATTCAAATTTTACTCCCATATCCAAAAGGGGTGATGGAAGTGATGGCCTTGGTGATGCAGACTAGGATCATCTTTTCACAATAATGAGCTCATTTGTCTTTCTCTCTCTGCCAAGTGGATGGAATTTATCAGATACATTTTTACTCTATTATCCATGAGTTAGATAAGGATGCAATGCATTGGCAAAACCATCTGGGCTGTTGTGCAATAATATTGTGACTTCATGCAAATACTGCGGACAATTTGCATCACTTTAATGCCATAACCAAACGACTGAACGGAAGCAATATTTGAAGCATTCTGACAGATGATGATGATGATGAAATTGCACTCTGCATGGTAGCCATTCATGAGCAGAAACGTCAGAATCATGATTTTTGACAATTTGAAAATTCTAGTACCTCAAAGGTTGGGCGAGAAAGGAAAATCTGAACCTTCAGCATTGTCTGTGCTCTTTCGTTTTTTCAACTTAGTCATGTTATGCTAGAAATATAAATATTTTCTTTTTATGATGGTTGACGGCGATGTATACAATCCAGATCTTTTTCACTTTGTTGAAAGACCTGTGTATGTACCCTATTTTCTCAGATTGACGTGTTTTATTTATAAAAATTGGGGAATAACCGCATTTTCACGAGTTTCTGCGATCTTGACGGATGGTTAATGCATGGGAATTTCTTTTTTATACAAATTTGTGAACATCTTCACTTCCGGTAAATTAAGGCAATTAGCTTTCTGGAAATATTTATTTTCCCAGTAAAGCATATTTTGAAATAGTATTAAAACTATTTTGAAATATTTAATGATAAATTTTATTATGTTACATTACCAAGTGAATAATTTAAAATGTTGAGTTTATTTCAAATTATACTTTCTGGAGTCAAAGAAATGCATGCTGAAATTTTCGTTTTAGAATTTATTCTTTTCAAAATGTTGATTTCATACCTTTTTTCAGATGTTTTTCGGAACGTATGTTTTACATATTAAGGATAGTATACTGTAAGGATTTTGAAAGAATTGTTTGTCATATGCATGTAAAGAAAGAAGGTACTTGAAATAATGAATTCTTGACCTTTCAAGCCACGGAGCAACCCGGTGGAATAGGCCATTTTTCACAAGTCTAATAATTCCATTTCATTTTCTTTTATAATCTATCTTCTGTAGCTTAAGCTAAATTTTGGAGAATTTTTCAGTAATCAATATTTTAATGATACAAGAGAAGCAGTTTTAATCATTGTGATTTTGTAGGCAATATCGTATTTTTCAATAACATTAAAATAGATAAATAAATAAAATAATAAACATCTATATTCGGCACTTCTTAGAAGCACTTAGTCGTGTGAGAAAAATTATAGTTTACATGGCAGCATAGCTATCCATTGGATCTTTGGATGAACATATCTTACCTAGCTTGGCCTACATCTTTAGCTGGCTTACTGAACCATACAGAATGAATTTAAAAGCCACGAGAACCAAAAGAGAAATTGTTACACAACTTTTTTTCTTCCTTTCATTTGCTTTTCCATCTAACGTTACATAACAGCTATGCATGTAATCAAGGCCTGCCACTTGTAGACTTTGACCTGAAAACGCATAGACTGGGTTTTTCACCCTTTTTTTAAGGGGTACATTTGTTCTTGGATATTTTTAATCAACTATTTACACTCTTAATAACAACTTGTATTCACTCATGTGAAGCTAGCCTTTGCATAGCTCATCTTTGTAGCACTCTAGGTTTATCTGGCCAAATGATACAGCTCTGGTTATACTAGTAATAAAAGTACTAAAAACGTTGAAGGTATCCAATCTACAGTCCCAACACAACCTGCAGAAGCTGCAAAAACAGAATATCAGTCCACAGGAATCAATATTTCATGGTAACATAAAATGTTTTAGGGTTCAATGATTCGGCTAGTTCAAACCATAGAGGAACAGAAACTAGTTATGCATATAGTTATAATATTATATAATATATTGAATAATAAACTTAACACAAGATATCAAAATCAAGTCAAATAAAACTTTAAATCCGATAAAGGACCATATTTTACATAGCCGGTAACGTAAAATCAATGATAAAAGATAAAAAGCCTCGTGTATGAACCTTTGTGACTAACATTGGTTCTTTATTTGGTTGGAAGAATATTTTTTTACTGAATAAAAATATTTAAAGATTGCAAAGAAAAAGAAATGAAAGAAAACAATTAGTTCTCTATGAACTAGTTCCAGCCAGCCAGTTATGAAATAAGCCACTGGTTTTTAATTGAAGCAGCAATTCTGGTCCTATTTTCATAACCATGCTAATTTATAATGAGTTACCACGTACTCTAAAGAACTTAGACGATCATTCTGTTCATTGCAAGTATAGATAACGCACAATGAAACGCGCAAGTAAAAATGCTCAGGTAATCAAGAAGGAAATAATCAAACATAAGGAAAAACAAGTGAGCCAGAGCTTAATAACATTTTTTTTCTAATTAGAATTTTTAGAGTTTTTGCGTATATAAGTATTTTTAATATATGAAATATATGATGTGATATGTATATATAAAGTATGAACATAACAAAATATCAAATATTAATAATATCTCAATCATATCTATCTAAATAAAAAATAATAATAAAAATCAAGAAAAAAGAGAGTAAATAAAATGAAAAAGAAAAAAAAAAAAACAAAGTTGTAGACTCTATACATTGTATGACCCTAGCATGACAGTGTGCTTAAATGCAAAACAGTGAATGAACTCCTTCAGGACATGCAGTGTAGGCGTTAGTTTGAGCCCATACACAATGTGTAGTTTCCTCCTTTCCTACTTCCCTTCAAAGCTCAACTTCATCGAGCTAATTATTTCTAGTTCCTTTATAAACTGAATAAACTCAATAAAATTTAATACCAAGATATGACAAATAGTATTAAAACATGAGCAGACAAAAGTTTATGTAAAAGAAGTTGTCTCTAATTTAGAGTTAATATGTTAGCTCAGGCAAATAATTATCATTAATAATACTCACATAAAGACGGTGATGGCCCATAAAAATGTGCGCTGGGACGTTCAGCAGATGGTTCACTCTTAGGAGGGGGCTCAACGTGCGCAAATACTATGTTTGGTAAGGGACTCGAAACAGGAACCGAAGAATGAAAACCATGTGCTGAGGATCCAACCCGTGGTGAGGGAACAGGATAGCGTGGGGCATTAGTTGGAGCAACTGCAGGTGTTAGATGAAGTTGTTTTTTATTATTCCGGCCAGATCTCTTTCTATACCCAAATTGACATTTCGGAGGTTGAGCATAAGAACTTCTCCCTGGGGCAGGAAAACTTCTTGTAGGGGCAGGAGAACCAAATTCAGGTGAAGCAGCATCTTCCCCAGTTGTAGGTGCAGGTGCAGGTGTAGGTGTAGGTGAAGTTTCAGGAAATACATGTGCATTATGGTGGTGACTATGGTGGTGATGGTGATGGTGGTGGTGATGATGGTGATGGTGGTGAGGATGAGGTAATGGGGCAGGGGAAGGGGACCAAGCAGAGCCACTGCCACCACTGCCGTGAAGGGAGTGTTGCAAGATGGATGAAAGTCGAACCTGCTTAACCCTACCAAACTGAGTGTTATTCAACCCAAGGTTCCATGAATGATGTCCCATTATGGTTTGTGCCAGTTGCTTTAGCCGCTCCTTTGATGGTGCAATACCAACTGCAAGTAGGACAGATGATTGAATTATGGTAGGAGCAGCTACTGTAGAACCTTCAGAATTTGATAAGATGACATACAAGTTCTGCATACCAACAAGAAAATCCAATCAGCATTGGCTTTGTGAGTCGCATGTCATTGGAAATCTTCCAAGTACTAAGGACAAGTAAATGTATATGCAAGGAATTCCTCCTAGGAAACTTTTCTCGCCGTGAAGTAAAGACTATACACACAAGAAAGCTTGCTTATTATTCATGCTATATGTTATTCTTTTTGCTCACAGAGTCCAATCTTAAACATGGTTCACTTGTAATAACTATCCGACAACAGAATCCATAATGCCATATAGAGGCAATCGCACAGAACCCATAATTAACAGATTGGACATAACATCAGAACTGAAGTAAGCACATAAAATAATTACAATCAAGAGCCATACACAAAAACAGTAAGGATAGAGATAATAATGACAAACCTCATAAGGAGCCAAATGTAGCCCAGACTTTAGCTGACTTGTCAGCTCATCAAAATTTGATTGTATTTCGTAAATGGAGAAATTCAAAGTAAAGTTGAATAGTGTTTGCACTGTTTGCAGAGGAAACACACTTTGTTGTGGAATGATAGTGATCCCTCCCTTAAATTTCAGCACCTCAAAAACAGAGGGTACACCAAACAACGATGTAGTGAGCTGGAGATTCGATTGGCGTATAACCAAGTATTTAAATGATGCTCTTATCAAACTAATGGCAGCTGCAGACATTTCTGAATATTTACCGTCAGGATCAACTGCAAATACCACTTTTGTCATGTTTGACTGCGGTAAGTGATCCACAGACAAGATGACCACCTGGTTTTAAAATATAAGAATGGCGTCTATATCAAATAATATTAACATTAATAAGTTCTTTTACCACAAAAATTATTAATGAAGTTCATAAAAGGAAACCAGTAAGCGATGTACTTTGGTTGAGGGAACCCCTATCTCTTGAAAAATGTCATCAGAAAGCTGAAAGACGTGGTCTTCCAGCAAAGAAACTGGCTTCTGCACATAAAAGCTTGCAACAATATCATGATCTGAAAAATTAAAACAATGTCATTAAATAAAAGATTAGATAATCATGTTTATATGAGCAATTACATTACATCCTTAATCAAATAAATGATATAATAATATGGTAACATAAGAGAGTTAGAATCTTACAAATATATAATTACAAGGACATTTTCATACATCAAAAAATTGAAAATAACATGCAATGGTTCATCGTAAAACGTTGCATCACATACACATTTTGAATAGCCGACACATGACTCTCAGTCAAACTGAGTACTACTTTCATCAGCATGTCCAGAAGACACAGGAAAATAAAGCATCATATAGGACCAATACCAAACTGAAAGAGATAAACTGACAATACTTTAGAGGTGAACATTATTATAATTTGCTAGACAAATGAAAACTGAATACCGCTTTGGCCTGCTCAATCTTGAATTTATCCTAACTTGAAATATGTAATAACTTCATCAATTTGATCAAAGTCAAGAGATAATGACTAGAATTTATATTATGTTGGAACTTTCCAACATAATGTGAATAAAAATTATTGATCCAAAAGTTGAGTAGGAAACAATCATAAAATTGTAAGAAGCCATAAAAAGATAGATTAAAATAAAACAAGATGAGATGTCTCCAGTTGCTAATAATGCCATGATGGTTAAATTAAAATAATTTTATCTATGGCTTTAAACCCAATGTTTGAAATCTCAAACGACGCTAAAGAAAGATCGAGTATAGTGGTATAACCGTTATTTTGAAATATTGTATAGTTTATATAATGTATATTATATACGTGTCAATTGTAAAAAATGATAAAATTAATCAAAATTAACAACATTTATAATATAATTATCAATAACAATATTTTAAACAAAATATACAAGTAAACATCAATGAAAGTCAAAGGCAAGTTTTTATATACGAATTATCACACACCATCTTCTATATAGAAGTTTCTTTATAATTTTCACTATCAGTAGATCTTTAGATTTCAAATTTGGAATGCAAATTCCAAAATAGTCCTCCAAAAAACCCTAATGTCTCTGTTCTAAGATATATTTTGTAATCAACACATGATGTTGCCATAGTGCCCATTACATGTTGAAAAAAATCTCCTTCTCAAACATAATTAATGAGAATCAAAGTGCAAGATACACACAATATCACAAATGAAAATTACAAAATGCATGAATTTATGTGGTTCAACACCCCTTGCCTACGCTCTCAACAATATTTCATTATATCACAACACATTAGAAGTTTTCTAAACAAACTTGAAAAAAACCCTCCAATTACAAGACCACTCTCTCTCTCTTAGGGTGGTGACCCCCTCTCTTATGTTTGGGTAGGTCATATTTCTTCACGAGTTCCCTCTCTTTCTATAGTAAAGATTCATGACTTCCTTCATCAATAAAACTAATTGAACATTGATTGTTTCACCTTTCCACTAACTTTCACAATGGTAGCCAATGCCCCAAGATTAAAAAAACATGCAAACGCTTGGTTTTGCAGGACAGATATCAGCCTGCTATATTAAACCTCTCTACTACAACAACCCCTGTAACAGGCAATGGCGCTCTGCAGGGTTATAGTAATAACGCAATTGAAAACCATGCTTAAACCTCTTAATCAAAATTTAAAACTATTGTTCTTAGCCACTTGTAATGATCACAAAATCGATATCCAGAACAAAAACAAGATCTCTCATTTTTCAATTCAAACAGAACATGAGAGAACACATTTCCAGCAGCTGACTTGTTCCTTGCTATTTTTTTAAAACAGAATTTCCAAAAGAATAAAATAAAGTAAAATAGTCAAATGACATGCATATACCTTCTCTTTTTCTTATAGTTATCTCTCTTCAAAAACAATCTTTTTTAGATAATTCAGACACTAAATGGGAGTACCCTTTCATTCTATTTGATCCCCATTGTTATTACATGCATTTCTCTAATCATATTTGTAGGAGTTACATATAAAAAACATATATACCATTAACAGTTACTAATCATCGAGCCATTATTACTAGTAAAGATTTTATTTAAAAAGAATTCTAATATTTAATCACTTCATTTTTAGTTTGTCATTAATACCAGTACACGTGAAGACAAAAACAAATTTATTGTAGCAAATTATTTACTTTAAATATTCTAACAACTAAACTCAAGGTCAGCAAGAAAATAAATTTATTGTAGCAGAGATGAGAATATTGTGTCGGAAATTGTGGACATTCCATGCAAAAAGGTATGAGGCAGAAAAGGTATATTATTAAAGTAAATATATTTGGAACTACATATATTCCAATGCTAACTGCCAATATTGCATCATCCAAAAATATTGCTATTTACCTCTAGTTAATTTAATTTTCTTTGCCCCCACCTCCCGCCTTTATTTTTTTATCTGCTAATATTTAACCAACTAGAGTGTGTTTTTGTTTTTTAAAACAATTTTGTAAATCAAATTTCAAAATCTAATTTTTAGATAGTAAAGAGTAATGGGAGAAGATATGGTAATGAAAGAAAGAGTATGAAAAATATAAAATTCAAAGTAAAAAATGCTAAAATAACCTGAAAATGTTATATATATATATTGAAAATTGAAGAGGAGGCACAACATTTGAAAATAATTTTTAAAACTACTCTTATCAAATAAGTTTTTTTCCCTTCTGAAACAGACAACAATTTTCAAGAACAGAAAACAAACAGACACTCGTATTGTCACTTTCTCATATCCAATTTAACCTCCTATTATAGTTCTTCAAGTAATCACTTACAACACCTCCATTCACTCTTGCTCTAACAGGTAAAGTTTTATGCAAACCAAGTATTCTCTTTACGGGAAAAGATATGTTCATTGCAAACATACCCAATGGAGAAAATTTTAACCTATCAACTATGGATATAGACACATTGCGTCACAAAGAAATATCTCCTTAACCAGCATAAAAGCTTCAAAATTCTTATAGATATAACTTCCCAGAAGAAAATTATCACTGCAATATTTCTGCTCAACCACAATTCACAACCTCATATATGATTGTACCATTGATAAAATTTCAATATCTGTATTATTAAATTAAAATTGTAATTAGTTCCAAATGTTTCGAATAATAAAAAACATCAAAACAGGATGCTACAAACAAATTTCCCCCCCTTTCACCACAAATATCTCATCATTTTACTTATCGCACAATCGTAAGAAATAGAGAAAATAAAAAACCGCAACGGACCGTTCTATGCTACGACCCGAAATATTATTTTTCAACAATTTTTAAAACAAACCTAATGAGTTAAAATCCAACATTTTCGCTCACATTGTTATTTTTTCTACAAAAAATGATAAACGCCAATTATAGAAACAGATCCACTAATCATCATCATCACAAGGATCCTTTTCTTCATAAAAAAAATTCCTAAAATAAAAATTAAAAAACTACTAAATAAAGAAAGATAACCTCCAGAGAGAGCACCGAAAATTTGTTTGACAAGAAGTTCAAAACCCACCTCTGTACTTGGAATTTAAATGCAGATCCTTGGGATCTGTGAAGTGAACGAATGGAGGTAACCAGAAGAGCACGGAGAGGAAAACTGCGACTGAGAAAAGCAAAACAATAAGGCATCTGAGTCCAACGGAAAAGGCGCAGACCGCCGCCGCATTCCGCTGGGGACCCTCGGCGTCAACAGTGGAGGGAAGAGAGTGATGTTCTTCTCCGGACTTTCCCATCGCCGGCGAAATGGGTCAGGGCCCATCGTCGGTTTGGGTCGGGTTTGGCGTATCCATTTAACAGTAAGAGTGAGAGAAGGTGAGGGAAAATGAGTTTGAGTTTGAGTGTAATGTTTATTTTATTTTATATAAATAATAAACAAAGTTAAATTATATAAAAAAATTAATTAAAAAAAATCGTATTTAGGGTTTGATGTGAAGTGAAGAAAGAAGAGAGAGAAGTGAAGTGTGTTGTAAAAGTACGACGACTTTTCCAAAGTGGTGACGGTGTTTTTTTTTTTTTTTTTTTTAATTTAAAAAATAAATATTTTTGTTTTCAAAATTTGAAAAAGGAGTTGGTAAGCCATGTTGTCAATCAATTATGTGTTACCCCATCATTAAACCTTTTGTTGGTTTTGGGATGAAAATAAAAAATAATAGAAAAAATAAAATTAATATTTAATTGTTGTATAGAGAGAGTCAAAGTTTGTGTATTGATAATTAAGAGATTATAAAATTTTATAATTTGTATATTTATGATGTTGATTATTAAATATATTTATTTAAATATTTATAGTTATAATATCTATATTTTTTAATTTTTATTTATTATTATTTATTAATAATATGTTATCTAATTTTTCAAAATTATTATCAAGATCTATTATTATATAGAATATAAATACGTTACAAAATAATAAAAACATCTTTTAAATTTTAATAATTTAAAATTAATTATAAATAGATAAAAAAAAATATGACTATGACTTTTAATATTATTTATATTTTTCTTAAATAAAAAAAATCAAAATGAACCTTTCTTAATCTCAAATAAACCACGTAAATTTAGAGTAATATAAAATGGATAATATATTTATTTTAAGAATTTTGTTAATAGTTTTGGTTTTTAGTAGAAAACGTTTTGTAGTATTTTATCTATAATTATATATATATATATATATATATATATATATAGTTTTTTAATATATTTTTAGATAAATATATGATTTACATATTATATATTTTCTCTATTTCTTTTAATTATATATTTCCTTTTATCATTTTATCTAACTATAAAATAATAAATAAAATAATAAAATATATTTTTTATTCTTTTAGTTACGATTTTTTTCTTTAAATTTTGTCATATATATATATATATATATATATATATATTTCATAAACAAATATTTATATTTTAAAATTAATATATACATACATACATATATATATATATATATATATATATTAAATTTGATCAAATTAATAATTAAAAATTTAAAATTTCTCGTTTTGTAATATGTAATGACATTTAAGGAAAGTTTGTGTTGCATAAATCATTAAAATGAAACTCTAATTTTAATTGAAAAACTAGACCACTTATTGTACCTAGTCATTTTTAAACTAATAAAATTAAAATTTATACTTTAACTCCCATTAAATAGGATAAAAATGCTCCCAAGACAAATTCAATAATCTTACTTTATATCTCTATTTATTTATCTATCTATCTATCTATATATATATATATATATATATATATATATATATATATATATATATATATATATATATATATATATATATATATATATATATATATATATATATATATATATATATTTAAAGTATAATAGTATTTGGATGAGACTTTATAAGTAAAAACTATAAATATATTATTATTATTTTTATTATTGTTATATTTATATTATATATTTGCATGGATTAATTATTAAGTTAGTGTTATTAGTATTTTAAAAAAATAAAAAATATAAATATTAACAAATAATTAGAATTATACAATAATAATGTATTTATAATTGACATTATTTCACACCCAAATTATTCAAATATATTTTACTATATTTTAATAATTAATTTTATGTCATTATAAATACATGTTACTAAATATAGTAAAATATATACAAATTGTTATTTAAAGTAATTATTTTTAATCTTTAAGATATGATAAATATCAATTATTTTTAACATTAAAGATAACATAATATCAATTTCTAAAATTCACTACAACCATATTAGAAAATCTAGTATTTCAAAGTAGTAATATAAGATTTTTTTGTTTAAAGAAGTTTGTCTATTAATAACCTATTATTTCTCATTGATACTTTGTTCATCTTTTAAACTTTACCTACTTTATCATTATAAAATTAATTTACTTACAAAAAAAATTATTCCTAATCGAAAGCACCAATAGGTTTAATAAAGATAAAAATAATAATTTAATCCTCAAATTAATATTAAGATAAGATAAATTAATGATCGAGACTAAATATATATTTTTTAGAGGAATTAATAAAGTTAAAGAAATTAGGAGAAACCAAATATAAAATTAGTAAATTTATTGAGAACTAAAACATTATTTAAGTACAATAAAATAAAATCATATAGACAAATACATAAACAATGATAAAGTGTTAACAAACCTAAAATAATAAAACTTAACAGAAGAGAACAAATAATAAGAAAATATTTATGAAATACCAAAACAACATTTTGTAAGTTATTAACAGAATATTATTTAAACCTATATTATAATATAACTATTTTTTGAAACTTATTATTATTTGTTACATTTATAGTATTACACTGATATAATTGAAATTATTATTTTATCATAGATTTCAATTGATAACTAATATTTTTCATTTAAATTATACTATATAATATCATCAACATTAAATTTTCCATGATTGTGGAATAATGTATTATTATATATATTAAATGACACTATATTGTATTATATTATATATTATACTATAACAATGTATTATTATAATAGTATAATCAAATTTATATCAAATATTTTCTATTTGATAGAAAAAAAAACTTTAATAATTAATATTAAATTCAAACAATTATGCAGAAATAACCATTTATACAAAATAGTTCAGAACTTCAGAATGCAAATCCAGAGTGGTAGACTCAGTCTCAAACCATTTTCACCCCAAGCAAGAAGCATGAGTCCATAAGATTTTTCAATCAACAGGAGCAGATTAATAAACAAAGGAAAACTTGTACTCACACTAAGTCATTCAAATGGCCACCCAGAATACCCTCCATGATGGTTATTCTCTGGGATAGTTGGTGCTGGTGTGCTGCTTCCAGTTCCTTCATCATTGCTGCTGGAATGAGAAGAACGAAAAGGCCACAAAAAGGAAAATGGATTTCTCCTTCCTTGGCTCTCCCTACCACTACTACTACTTACCCTTCCACTCCTACTTCTACCATTTGTGCCACGGTTACTACTCAATCCTTGTGGTGGCAGTTCTTGGCGGCAAACAGGGCAGGAGTTATGTTGGACCAACCATGGAACTATACAATCTGAGTGATATAAATGGTTGCATGGCATTTTTCTAGCTTCAGACCCCAGCTCAAATTTATCTTTGCACACAGGACAATGTGAATCTGATCGAAGATGCCTCTGTGTGATCTTGATGGTAGGCATGGCATCGATTGAGGAACTTGATGCTGGTGGTGGACCTTGCCTGTTATTAGCTGAAAGCTGTTCAAACAGTTCTTCTAGTCCAGGACCAATAAAATAATCACCTGTGTTACCTCGTGTCAGACCTATCCCAGGAGCCCCGTTAAACAGAGATTCAAAGCCACCGTGTCCTGACAATCTGAAAGGTATTTGGCCACCAAAGATCAACAGAGGAGCAAACCCTGCACTTTGTTCAGGATTTGAATCTGTTCGCGTCCTGATGTCCCGGCTTCGACCCCTATCTGCCATTTGATGCCTCATGAAGGCAGAGAAGGTTTCCATGAGTCCAAGCCTCTGATCTCGTTCTTCATTGTTGTCCATTCCAAACAAGTCAAAGGGATTAACATGCACCATATCATTAAGTTCATGAACAAATCCCTCATTGCAGCTAGGACAAACTACATCCCGTCGCCCCAGTCGAACTGGCCTCCTGCAACTATAACACCAATGTGTGTTCCTATTATTTGACATCCTTTTGCTTACTTCCTTAAAGTCTCAAACAACTATTCACAAGGCTACTTCCCCACAATGCACTATCTTCAACTGTCACAATAGCATGATCACTCATATACTGCAAAATAAATTTGATAACAGTCAAGGAACATTGGATATCACTCCGATGATAAACAAAACACCACCATCCACAACAAAAGCCCTTATCTAGCACTAGGTGAGATTGGCTAATTAATCACACAATCTCATTAAGTTGGTTAAAACTTTGACACCAAACACCATTTGAACTAAATTTTTGCTGCTCTCCACAACATACACTATTCTAATTGTCAGTATGAAGCAGTGTATTAATCAATTGCAAGCATTAATATCAGAAGTATATATCAAATTAATAAATGTTTTGTAAACAATCTAAAATGCCATGGGGATAGACATAAGAGAACATACATGTAATGGATTCACACATTTCACCTCAAACTTTCTACAATGTTTATTTCCATGATGATAAATCATCATCAATCTCCCACTTAAGAATCCCCGAATTTAAGAAGGTTTACACACCATGCTTCCAGCCCCTGAATAAAGTTACTAATTTTGGCAAATCCAACTAAAAAGCAAGGAAAATGGGCACAAGCACAAGCAACACTTTTTATCAGATTCAAAAGTGCAAAATTGGCATTTTAATTGAACTTACAAAAGGAAAAGAAATTTGAAGCATGTGCAGTCATTAAACTAAACACAACCTGAGACGAAAAGGAATACACATGCTAAAAGTAAAACAGCACACCACAAGAGGATTCTATTGTAAAAAAACTAAGCATAACTCAAAAACTACGATTATGTAAAATTACATTCAATTTTTTTTCCCACTTGTCCTGATCTTAACCGTGTCTATTCAATTATTTCACACTCCAAGAATAAAAAAATAAAAAAATAACCCGAATTTGGTCGAAAGGCGAATCTTGTTATGCAATCTTCAAATGTTGAAAAACAAGTGAAGAAAGTGAGATCTTTGGAATGTTGGGAAGAAACGGGGACGAGAATGAAAGAGAGAGAAAATAAAAATGGCAAGGCTTAAGAAGAAAACGACGGCGTACCAGAGTGGAAGATGGATCGAAAAGGTGGTGTTGGTTGGAATGATGCAAAGGGCATTGGGGAGTGAGAGAGTGAGAGTGAGAGTGAGAGGGAGTGAAACCCTAACCAGTGGATGATGGCATGGGACAGGAAAGAGGATTATTGAGGAAGAACCGACATCTCCAGCTTAGCTGGCACCGCATGCTTCATTTCCTCGACACTTCTACTGCCACTGTTCTCCTGTGTTCCTGTCTGGTAATACTTTGTTTTAGGTCTAAAAAAATGCTTTAGATGCTAAATATATTCTTAATTATTTTATAGAGAAATCAGATTGAGTATTTAACAAATTTTTAAAAAAATTTAAATCTTCTGAAAAAATAATTATTTGATTCAAATTATTAAAAAATTCTGATATATTTTTTTAATTATAAAACAAAACCATATCATATCAATATAGGAACTTAACGAATATTATTACAAAAGGTGTTTATTTATATATAAAAATTATTATTATTATTATTATTAGAAATATGCTATTAATTTTTTATTTTTTTATTAAGTATATTTATTTTTCATTAATTATGTATTATATTTTTTTATTTTCATTCACTTTTAAATATATATAAATTATAATAATTATTTCTTACAAATTATGACCTATTTATTTTTTCTCTAAAATAATTATTTCATATTAGATATTATTAGATGCGGTTGTAATATTTTACGAATATAATTTTCCTATTCAACATTTCATGCTGACATATATGCTAATAAATAATTTTAAATCTGAAAATCAAAATCAGTTTTTTTAAAAAAATTGAGAGATTAAAAATATATTAACTACAACTTAATATTTATTTGCAATAATTTAAATTAATCTGTTCAAATTCTAAAAATGTTAAAAGATGTGAAATATTGACCTTGACACTTTATTTGGATTATGGAAGGGATAATGAATAGGTAAAAGTTAATGAAAAAATAAGAGTATTTAAATTAGAAAAAAATAAATGAGTGAAAATTTTATAAATAGTTTGATTAATTTAAAAGAATAAAAAATATATAATGGTTTAAGATTTATTCAATTATTAAAATATCCTTAATTAAATATTAGCACATAATTAAATATGGATAAACATTTAAATATGGATAATTTGGCATACTAATTGAAATAAATAAATAAATAATGAAGCTATGCAACCGATTATATAGTTTTCATGTAAGCATTAATGTTATGTTTAAATATTTTACTTATATTTTTACAAAGCTTTTTTATTAATTAAGAGTATGTGTTTAATAGAAAAATTGTTTAAACACATGACTCATATAAATTAATAAATTAATTGTCTTAATAATTGCTGAATATTCAATTTGAGACTTTTGACTAGTTAAGGTCAATCTTTAATAATACGAGATTCGTAAATAAATCCATAATTCCTGGTAAATTAAGGTGACTATTAAATTATAAACAAAACATTGATAATTTCTTATCCTTAACTAAAATAAATTATTGAATAATAAATTAATTATCATACAATTTAAATTATATGAGATTCAATTCCCTTTAATAAGGTCTCAACTCAAATATCATGCATTGAATATAATCACTGAACAAAATAATTCCTTAAATACAAATAGTTAAAAAAAAAAAAAAACTCTGACTTGCCCTTTAAAGGCAATACAAATATAAAATCAATTATAAAGTAACATAAACATAAACATATGAAAACTAATAAAATATTTTGTAGGAAATAAAGTAATAAGCAATCTACAAGATAAAAAGAAAAGTATTTTTTAAATTATGTATTTTTTCTTCATTTTGGTACCCTTCAAACTTTAATGTTTGTTTGTTCTTATATTAGTTTTTTTTTTTTTGGTTTTTTATGTAGTATCAAATCCATTTATCTTATTATGTCAATATATATATATATATATATATATATATATATATATATATATATATTTCTAAACTTTTTAATTTATTTTCCTCTTTTGTTGGTAGATTTTTATATTAATTCCTATCATTTAGATAACACATGGTGCTTTTATCATTTTTTTAGTCATGTAATCATTAAATAGGTAACCCTAATGTTAGGGATAAAAATGAAAAGAAATTAATAGAGGCTTATCTAGTCAAAATAAATTTATTAGATCATAATAATAAAAAAAAATACAATTTTACATGAGCAAAAATATATTCAAGTTTAATGTGTATCATGTTACAAGAATTTTGAATCATTTGACATTCCAAGTCCTTTGAATTAATTATTTTATTAATTTTTTTTTCTTTGAAAGGCTATGTGAAGCATCTACCCCAAATATTTTTCTTTTAATGGAAGATGCAAGTTTCATTTCTCTCTTAATAAATACCCCTTTCTTTAAAATCATAAAACACATTAAAAAAAATCTTAAAATACAATTATTCTTTGAAAGATAGTATCACACGATAATGTCACATGAACTCTTTGTACATGGTGTTGAGAGTAGAAAACTCAAACGTAATCCTCTGATGACACTGATTCAGAGTTCTTACTGTCTCTGAGTCTTGCCAATAAGAGCATAGTCGGTGAATCCTCATCAAATTTCCTTTGTAAACCATTGAAAAACCCTAAAGAGACACCAAATGCTGCTTCAAAACCCATGGAAACCACTAATCATAAAGTGATTGTGCATATGCAATACCAGTTTTCTTGCAAGTTTTGCAACAAGAAATTTCCCAAGCCCTCAAGCTCTTGGAGGACACCAAAATGCTCATAGGCATGAAACAGTGCTCTTAAGGATGGAATAAGATATGAGAACTTTTGGACATTGCACTCACATGTTTCCACATCATTGTCCCTTTGGTGGCTTACTACCCCTTTATTATGGGGCTAAGATGTACCCCATGACTCATATGTTGACCATGTCATGCCCTCATTTTGGCATGACCAAGCCTTGGGGAAATCAATATCCTAGGAGCCAATGATTTTCATTCTCATATCAAATTTATCCCTCAATCTTTAATTTCAGGTTAAAATGTGAACATGCATTTACAATTGTGGTAGAATACTATGATCTCTTGATATCTATGTAACAACAACTAGTGTGATCACATGTTGTTTATATAGTTTAATTTCAATATCATTAGAACCTGCATCAATCAATTCAGAACTTTCTCTGATCCAACAATCTTAAACACTCCAAAATATTTTTTGCACCTTAGCTGTTCAGTCACTAAAGGAGAAAGAAAAAAAAAAGAATCAAAATAATTGAAAATTTTCAACCACCCAATTTAAAACCAGTCTGTGCAAGATAATTCTAAATCATCATCTTATTTGTTCAATGAATGAATGCAAGTACATGCCATTTATGACAACAAGTCTCAATGAGCATTCAAAATGAAGGTATGATAATTTAATAAATTCTCTCTGCAGTAGACACAGGACGCAAGAAAACGATGATAACTGTGATGTTATCTTTGCTGCCACGTTCCACTGCTTCAGTCGCCAACCTCTTAGAACACATTCCTGGCTCTTTAACAGTGTCTTTTATTATATTTATGACCTCTGTACTGCTTATCACATCCCACAGGCCATCGCTAGCCATGACCTGCATCAAAAACTTCATTATTAGTTTAATTGTGAAGGCAGAAATTGTTTCAAAACATTATCATAAAGTGCATCTTCCTTTTTAAGATACTTCAAACCCTTTTGTTAATCATCGACCAACTTATTCAAGATACTTCAAACAGAACTTATCTAAGGATGTTATGTACATCATGAACTTCATGCAAATACATGTCCTTACCAGAAACTCATCCTCTGAGCACAAGGTACTCTCAGTTATCTCAGGTTCTGCAGTTACAGCAGGCTTCAGATCATCATCACCAATAGAACGAGTAACCTGTGGGAAAAACAAGTTGACTTTCTTGTATCAACATATAGAGAAACCTCAAATGGCCATTAATATCATTGTTAGTTATTTTGTTAACAGAAGATTATTATGTGCCAGGATTTAAAACAGGGAAATCAGAAAGCAAAAAGGACATACATTATTGAGCTAACTGGGTGCAATTAAAGGGCATATGGAAGAACTAATATGACCAGACGTTTCCAACTATATGATATGCACCATAGCAGTCAATTTGAACGAACCTGAAGTGCAGGAAGACCGACCCTCCAAGTATCAACTTGCCAATGGACATGGCCCCCCTCACGAATAACACGTTCTCTCTCTTGAAGACAGCTTGCAACGTGATCCTATTAATGTTAAGCTTTGATTAATCTAAATGGAAATACATAAAGGAATAAATTAGATAATTTTTTATAGAAACAAAGGTGGGTTTATTCATTAAGCATTTATCATGAGAGCTTAAGCTATAAATTTGACCATGAAACCTATTGGAATAAGCACAAAATATGAGCTTTACCGAGAAAGTTAATGAATTGAGTTGAAAAGATTATAGGAGTCATAAATTAAATTCAAACACCCTCTAGGCACTAGCTATAATAACAGTAATATTTGGCTCACCTTACTTAGAGAAATTGGATTACCAGCACGACATATGATTGCCCTGCAATCACCAGCGTTAGCAACAAATAGCTTGTTTCTGACTATAAGAGCAGCAATTGCTGTACACCCAGGATGCCAATCCTTCTGGATACATCTGTTGGATTTGCGATAAGAATCAAGCTCTTTTCTGAAGGCAGCATCTGTACTAATGAATGTTTCCACTAGTGCTTTAGCAGGACTGCGTAGACATATTAAAAGCAATAGTGTCAAAACAATATGACAAATGGGGATGGAAAACAGGTCATCTAGAATGAAATAAACCTGCCCATAAAATCTGAAGTCTTCAAAACAGCTGGTACAGCTCTAGAAGAAAACTCAGCAGCTGCTGCGCCTGCATAAATAACAATCATGCTTCTTAAGCACTAATATTTCCATGAATGGTCATCAATATCATCTTTGTGTGCAATCAGGCTTCATAAATGATGAATGATCATCAAGATCATCTTCATGTGCAATCATATTTATCAAAGGGCATTACCAAAAATATCCATCAGAAAGAGATTCGTATAATTGTTAGAATACTATTTAAATTCTTCTTGAATTACTACAACTTTTCAACATATTCAACAAGCACAAGCATGGCATAAAGAGTGCTTCATCATAAATGAGATAGATAATAAATCATTTTCAAGCTATAGTAGTAATTAGAATCACTTTTTCTTAAATTAAAATCAAACAAAATGTAGATATTTGATAAATCACTCATACAATATACACACCCCTATGGCCATCAAAGATACCAAAAGCATAGACATTCTTTTTATCACAAATATGGGGTAGAATGAAATGCGCATCCTCCATAGTCTCCCTTCTCCCACAGGTAGCATAAGATCCCCAAGACAGTATTGGGTGGTATACTGAAGGCTTGTCATAAATCTCACACCTAGTTATCAAACCAGAATCATTTGCAGTAGATGCTGTCCTGGCCAAAAGTTCACCACAAGTGGACCAGCTAAAACTCTCTTCATAATCCTGAAGGCTATCAGTCTTGTCCACTGGTTGATCAACATGCAAGTTAAAAGGTCTGATATAAATATCTTCTGCCTTCTTTAACTTGCAGTGCTCCATAATCAAATCAAGTTCCTCAACAACGTCATCAAAAGCAGGTCTGTTACTAGGATTTGCATCCCAGCATTTGCTTATCATTGATAATAATCTTGATGGTATACCCAAGTCCTCAGTAGCAAGGACTGGCCGTAATCCATCAGAAACAACAGCTGCTGTTAATTGCTGCTCAGTATAGTTCATCTCAAGCACTGTGTGAGCCTGTCATCAGTAAACATTGACATATATCATATCATGCACTTAAAGAAGAACAATTAATATTAGACAAGTAATTTTTCCCAAAGGTTCAAATATCGAAACAAGCAAACCTTCAACAAAACAATTACTAATACAAAAAGTCCATTTTAACTGCTATTTTGCTGCAGAGATAACTCTCTTGACAATTACATGATATCAGTCATTTTTCACATGACATATCCCAAACTTGATAGTTGCTTACTTAATAATAATTAGAATACATTTATATGACAAAGCCTTAACTGGTCTTTCCCTCCTGTTAGAAAATAGTTCTTAGGAATATATGAGCTTATTAGGTTATTTGCAGTTGTATTTCATGTGACATAAAACTCAAATGCTTACATATCTCAAACTAAAGGAAAGTGTGGTAATGGTTTAAAAGTTACATAGAATAACTAGAATTATTATTTACATGAGAAGTCATACTTTTACTTTCCTTCCTGTTAGATAATAGTTATTATTTTATTTAAGTGCTGATTAGGTTATTTTATACCTCATATTTTATGTGACATAAACCTCAATTAGTAGGAAAGCTCAAACGCAATAAAATTGTTTTAAGAGTAATTACAAGTATCATTTATGTAAAAAGCCCTACTTCTGCTTTCTTATTTGTTAGATAACAGTTATTAAGTTACCTACGTGCTTAATTGGTTATTTTGTATTATTGGGCTGGGTCTATCTTTCTTGTACTAATCTTTTACTTTCAGTACAATAAACACTGGATGAAGAAAAACATTGAGATAGTCATTACTCATTCCTATTTTCTAACATTTATTTTAATCTTCTAATGAATGATCCAGGTGACAATTCAGCATAGATGACGTTGCTTGGGGCAAATGGTCATGCTATTTCACGATCTAAATCACAATTTTAACAAATGTTTGGAGCAAAGCGGTGTTGCTAGGTCCAAGGCCAAATCAGAATATTGTGTCATGGCCCAAGCTAGATGTAAAATGCTGTGAATAAAAGCAGACTCACAAAAGGATTAGAACTATCAAAATAAAAACAGACTCACAAAAGGAGATATCAATAGATATGAAATATTGTTGAAGCGTAGGAGAAAACCAGAAACAACCTTTCTCTGACCTATGATAACCTAAACAGATACATTTGATGGACAGTGTTGAGAGTTTGTCAAAACCTAGAGTTAAATTATAAACAGAACACATGGAAGCAAAGACGTGAGGGGAACTGTATGAAGTGGTATATGAGACAAAGTGAGGAATATCGCATCCAGAGCCTAATAGAGGCTCATAACCCAGAAGTCCCAAGACCACAGCCTAGCTCTAATATAATACCATCTTAGAATGTGAGTTTAGGCCTGACTCGACCCAATAAAATTGGTTTGTAAAGTGAAAATTGCCCCTTCTTTTATACTCTTTCCAGGCTCTATCTCTAGCCAATGTGGAGCTTTGGCTTTTCCCAATACTCCACCACGTCCATCACTATTGAGCTTGGTATGTGAAAACCATGGTGAGTGACCCTTTTTAATGGATATAATAGGCTTTAATACCATGTGAAAATAAAGAACACAAAAACATTTGACTGAATATTTTGTGTCTAAATACATCATATGAGTTTACACAGTGTTAAATATTGTTTAGATATTATTTGATATTGTTAAATATTGGTAACCACAATATCAAACAATATCTTCTGTTTATTCTGTTACTTTCAGTTACTCATCTAGTTGTATCTTTCTACTATAAATAGACCACCCTATGTGTGATTTATACACAAGGGAAATTAATTCCAAACCCTATTTTTCTCTATATTCAACATGGTATCTAGAGCTTAATGTTATCTTGAATTTTTTTTCCGTCTTTTGTCCACTGTTGGAGCCGCCCCACCGCTGCTGGTAAACTGATCCTCCACATCAGAAAAGAATTATCTTTGTCACTGAATTTTATTTGGTAGTGTGAAAGTGCATGTTTAGGAAAGTTCTGACAAGGAAAAACTTGATATTTAAGTGTGTCCATTAGTGACCCACCTCTCTTTCCTGGGAACTTACCTGGTGTACTAGTTCACGTTGCTGTCACCGCTGCCGCTGGAGCAGTCACCGGATCCGTCGCTGCCGGAGAATTCGTCGGCATTTCATTTTTTTTTTTACCAGTGACATATGATTTTGCTTGTCTCGGTCAGGTGACCACCATCCCATTGAGATCATCACTATCGGAGTTGGCCATCCCATTGTCTCCTGCGCCATTTAGTCTTGGCGAACTTATTTTTAGTATTCTCATTTTAGATTTGTGCTTCGTGGGTTAATTGGATTACTTTGGATTGTTTTAGGGTTTGTTCTCCCGCTCTTCATGACTTCTTCCACTTCTTCCACTATTTTCAATTTTGTTAACGATTCTTTTGTGTTGACATCCCATCGTGATGACCGGGCTCGTCCTCGCAAACAGGAAAAAGGGCGTCCTAAGTGTGAATATTGTGGCAAGCTAGGTCACAAGATTAACAAGTGTTATACATTACATGGTCGTCCTCCTCAATCTACTGTAGTTGTTCAGACCAATCTTTCCCCATCTTTATCTGCAGGGGATCTTCCTTCTTCTGTTGCATCCGACATGCCTGCTATGTTCAACAAATTTCTCGAATGGTATAAGGATCAACAGTCTTCTAGTTCCACTATATCTGTCACACATACAAATACATATTTTGCTGGTGTGACCCAATCATTTTCTCCTGGTCCTTGGGGTTTTGATTCGAGAGCCACTGATCATATTACTGGTAACAAATCTTTGTTCTCTTCTTTATCCTTTCCTAATCATTTACCTTCTGTTACACTGGCTGATGGCTCGAGAGTATCATCTCATGGTGTTGGAACGGTTAAACTTTTTCCTTCTTTAACCATTGATAATGTTCTTTATGTCCCTGGGTCTCCTTTTAACTTCGTTGTCCATCGATCGTCTAACTCGTTCTCTTGATCGTGTTGTTACTTTTACCAACAATTCCGTGTGTTTACAAGACCGGAGTTCGAAACAGGTGATTGGCACAGGATGTGAGTCTCATGGTCTTTATTATCTCCGTCCCTCTACACATGTTAGTACAGTTATGGAGTCTCCTCTCTTCTTCATGCTCGGTTAGGTCATCCAAGTCTTGCCAAGTTACGTAAACTTGTCCTCGCCTTGTCCAACTTATCTAGTTTGGCGTGTGAGTCATGTCAATTAGGCAAGCATAGTCGTACTTCCTTTCCTCGTAGTTTCACACGTGGTGCTTCGTCCCCTTTTGCCGTGGTTCACTCGACATTTGGGGACCTAGCCGCGTTAAGTCTACTTTAGGTTTTCAATACTTTGTTACTTTCATTGATGATTATTCCGAGATGCACTTGGTTATTTTTGATGAAAAATCGTTCTGAATTATTTCATATCTTTCAAACTTTTTTCAATGAAATTCAAACTCAGTTCGGTGTTTCTATTAGAGTTTTGCGTAGTGATAATGGTCGTGAATATCTTTCTCATTCTTTTAAACAATTCATGGCTTCTCACGATATTTTGCATCAAACTTCATGTGCTTATACACCTCAACAAAATGGTGTAGCTGAACGTAAAAATAGGCATCTTATTGAAACAACTCGCACACTTTTAATTCATGGAGATGTTCCTCAACATTTTTGGGGTGATGCTCTTCTTACTGCATGTTATCTCATTAATCGCATGCCTTCTTCGGTTTTAGATAATAAAATACCTCATTCCATTTTATTCCCTCATGAACCACTTCATCCTTTACCTCCGAAAGTTTTCGAGTCTACATGTTTTGTTCATAATTTCAGTTCCGGTCTTGACAAGCTTTCTCCTAGATCACATAAATGTGTTTTCTTAGGGTTTACAAGATAACAAAAAGGATACAAATGTTTTTCTCCTTCTCTTAACCGTTATTTTGTGTCAAAAGATGTCACCTTTGATGAGTTGTCTCTTTATTTTAAAAGTCAAACTTCACCTCTCGTCTCCATCCAATCTTGTCAACACTCCTAATACATTTAATGTTCCCGTTGTTTGTAACCCTCTAACCGTGTCTTCTTCACCATTAGTTCTCGCTCACGCATCGCCTTCTTCTCCACCGCCTCTTCGATTTATAGTTCTCGAAACCAATCACAACCACCACCATATGACTCTACTCAAGTGCCAACTACTCGTCTCCTCCGGATCCGACACATGAATCCGACCTTCCCATTGCCCTCCGAAAAGATATTTGTTCTACACGTAATCCCTCTCCCCATTATATTGCTTTGAGTTATCATCGACTGTCATTACCTTTTTATACATGTCTTTCCTCTATTTCTTCTGTGACCATTCCAAAAACTGTTCATGAAGCTTTAGCCCATCCTGGTTGGCGTCAGGCCATGTTAAATGAACTAAGTGCTCTTCATAATAGTGGAACTTGGGAATTGGTCCCGTTACCGTCTGGGAAATCTGTTGTTGGTTGCAGGTGGGTGTTTGCTATCAAAGTTGGACCTGATGGTACTATTGATCGCCTCAAAGCTCATCTTGTGGCCAAAGGTTATACTCAAACTTTTGGGTTGGATTATGGAGATACCTTTTCCCCTGTGGCAAAGATGGCTTCTGTTCGTTTGTTTATCGTCATGGCTGCTCTTTAACAATGGCCTCTTTATCAAATGGATGTTAAAAATGCTTTCCTCAATGGTGATTTGCAAGAAGAAATATATATGGAGCAACCTCCTGGGTTTGTTGCTCAGGGGGAGTCTTCTGGGATGGTATGTCGTCTTCACAAATCCCTATATGGCCTAAAACAGTCTCCTAGGGCTTGGTTTGGAAAGTTTAGCAAGGTTGTTCAACAATTTGGTATGACTCGGTGTAAATCAGATCATTCTGTCTTTTATCGACACTCGAGTGCTGGATGTGTTTACTTGATAGTATATGTTGATGACATCGTTCTTACAGGTAGTGACAACCATGGCATCTCTCAGTTGAAACAACATCTCTGTCACCATTTTCAGACTAAAGATCTTGGCAAACTTAGATATTTCTTAGGTATTGAGGTGGCACAGTCCAATGATGGTATTGTTATATCTCGGAGGATGTATGCCATAGATATTTTGGAGGAAACTGGGTTGATGAGTTCAAAGTCTCGTTGATACACCCATGGATCCCAATACTAAACTTCTACCAAATCGGGGGAGCCTATATCTGATCCTGAGCAAGTATAGAAGATTGGTTGGAAAATTGAATTATCTTACGGTTACTCGTCCCGACATTTCCTTTGAAGTCAGTGTGGTAAGTCAATTTCTTAATTCACCAAGTGAAGATCATTGGAATGCGATCATTCGTATCTTGAAGTATATTAAAGGATCTCCTGGAAAAGGATTGTTATATGATTCTAATAACCATACAAGAGTTGTTTGCTACTCGGATGCCGATTGGACAGGATCTCCTTCGGATAGAAGATCTACATCCGGATATTGTGTCTCCATTGGTGGTAACTTGATCTCATGGAAAAGTAAGAAACAAAGTGTTGTGGCAAGATCTAGTGTAGAAGCGAGAATATAGAGCTATGGCCTCAGCTTCCCGTGAACTTGTTTGGCTCAAGCAATTGCTTAGAGAGTTACAATTTGGAGATGTCACTCAAATGACACTTGTGTGTGACAATCAGGCTGCTCTTCATATTAGTTCTAATCCTGTCTTTCATGAGAGGACCAAACACATTGAGACTGACTGTCATTTTATTCGAGAAAAGATTATGTCTGGAGATATCAAGACTGAGTTTGTTAACTCAAGTGATCAGTTAGCAGATATTTTTACTAAATCTTTACGGGGTCCTAGAATTGATTATATTTGTAACAAGCTTGGCACATACGATTTGTATGCTCCAGCTTGAGGGGGAGTGTTAGATATTGTTTAGATATTATTTGATATTGTTAGATATTGGTAACCACAATATCAAACAATATCTTCTATTTATTCTGTTACTTTCAGTTACTCTTTTAGTTGTATCTCTCTACTATAAATAGACCACCCTATGTGTGATTTATACACAAGGGAAATTAATTCCAAACCCTATTTTTCTCTATATTCAACACATAGAATCATCACATTTATTATGCATAAATAGAGGATAATTCCTCTAAGTTAACGTTTACATGATTGTAATAATGATCGAAATATATTATTCTCAACAAAAGCCCTAAATTCATTCATTTTGGCACTTTTTATCCTTGTTTATTTGTTCCTTTGCAAAGAAAAAGTTCCAAACCTCTCCTTGACTCTTCCACTTCTGGTTCAGCACTCCACACTTCTCCACACCTTAGCTTAGTGTTCTTCTGCTTTTAGGTTCCACACTTGATTTGTTTGCTTGTTAGTTTGACTCATGTTTTGGTTTGGATGCTGCACTCCTTGGGTTCAATTTGCTAATCTCTGCAGGTTTCACTTCTTCCGCTTTACCTATTCATGTCTTTAAATGGTTAAGGAGCAGCTAGGGAGGCTAATGGAGGTTCGAGTTCTATGAGTGTTGGAAGCAGCTCTAATGGTGCGGTTGGTGATTGTTCTACATTTGGAATTGTTGACTTAGTTTGTGGCTGTTAGTTATTTAAGGTTATTTTTCCTTATTTCTCTGATTTGTGGCTAAAATTTAGCATTTAAGGTGGGATCTGTGTTACGCTTCAACCTTTTTCTTGTTACACTAACCCCTCCAATCCTATAGGTAGGATATCAATCTTGACTAGTTTAACAAAAAATTATAAAAATATAATTCTCGCTAATTATATTATGTACTCCTCATTAATGAGCGAGAGTTCCATTGACGATGGTCACTGAGATTAAACAACATTCAAAACAATAAAGGAAATAAAAAAGATCATGTTTAGAAACAAATATAACGTCCACACTTCATCTCATTATAGAATCAATAATACTCTAAAGACAAGCAAAAACTTCAAACTACACATAAGATAGATAGACTGACCTGAGCTTCTGTGCGAAGATCTGTATATGGCACAACACCGGTAAGAAGTTCACTGCAGCATGTCCAATAAAAGTTGTGAAATCACAAGGCAAAATTTAGATTGAAGAGTTTGATTATACAAGCTTCGTTAAAACCCATGAGAAAAAATCAAGCGAGAAAACAGAGAGAAACGGTTTGTAATGGTTGATTGAATGACAGATACCAAATGAGATCATTTTCTTGCCAATGGCTTCCCCTTCAATAAACAGCCACTGCTCAGTTCTGAAATCAGAAACTTTGAATGAAAACCTCTTCTACACATCTACTATTTACCTAGGTACGTGCCCTTGACAACTTCAATCAGTTAAACAACTTAACAGACTAACTACTTCTTTAATTATTCCAATTGTTTTACCTCACTTTTCTTGTTTTCCTTTTTCTTCCTCTAAATGTACATGGAGTTTACTTTTCATTCTTCTGGTTCCACCAAAATCATATACTATCACAACAACAAACCACCAACTTATGTGATAAAACAACGACCAGTGTATATGGTAAGTACCAGTTGAAACAAATAGTTAAGCAATCACAATTTTCCAAATGAAGATATGTCATGTATATTTTCCTGGATACATGAGTATCTCTATTTGAGAAAGTAAGAAACAAGAGAAATGGATGATAGTTCATCCACAAATTTGCTTGACTGTTCACTTCTTTACAAACAAAATACAGAGAAAAGAAATGTTGGTAGATTGCAAATGAAACTTTAAATGCCTTTTCAAACTTGGAACTTGAAATTGAATCCAAATTAATCCACTGAAAAACCAAAAATAGCACACTATCAAGAGAAAATTGTTGCAGCTGGTTCCTCATATGGTATATAACTAACAGCATCAGGTATACGACGACAATACTTTCATTCCAGCAAACTTTTCTTACAGAATCAAAACAAACATGAATGCCTGAAAACAAATCTCATCTTCTTACTTGATTGATATACCAAAACTGTATACATCTGACTTTTCTGTATGTAACTCCTTTCTTAATATTTCTGGTGCCATGTAAATAAGTGTTCCAACCATATTCTTTTTGTGGAAACCACCGGTAGGCTTTCCAGAGGACTTCCAATTCTCAATAGAAACTCCCTTAAGATCATTCTTGTACTCTGCCAAACCAAAATCTGTGAGGTGTGGACACAGATTTTTGTCAAGCTGCACCACAGATTCACAAGATTGGTATGGTGATATATACATGGAGTACAATTATATCAAATATTAAAGACAGTTCCAAACAACCAAAAGATCAAAAGATTCGGGGGACATTTACAAGAATATTTGCCGGTTTCACATCTCTATGCACAATCCCGAGGTTATGCAGATATTGCAAAGCCTTTGCTGGAGAAAGGAAGTTGAAGGAAAGGGGAAAAACTTGTCAAACACTTCATTTTCTTTTCTTTTGGATAAAACTGTCGATCACTTTATACTTAATTTCCCAAATTTCCCTACATAATTGAAGTGGGTAAAATGAATGGATACAAAATTGAAGGAAAAGAATCAGTAGTTGATTTCTGGAATAAATAATTTCAACTTGGAAATAATCTTTCAATACCAAGATAACCAATCAAAATTGCTAAAAGAACATTGAAAATTATTTTACAAATTTATTGGATACAAAATTGAAGGAAAAGAATCAGTAGTTGATTTCTGGAATAAATAATTTCAACTTGGAAATAATCTTTCAATACCAAGATAACCAATCAAAATTGCTAAAAGAACATTGAAAATTATTTTACAAATTTATTATAATCTTATTCTGCATATGTCTCATAGCCAGTCCCAACCCCAGAAGATAAATGAGAAGAGTTGTTTTAAGCCCTCAATTACTAAAGTAAAACTTGTGAAACCTCACACAACACAACCAATTAATATATCCCTGTATAATATTACGCACAGCAGTTTAAGATTGTTGAAACATAGAAAACGTATGCAAATGAATAAGATAGTCTGTGAAAATGTTCAAGTCCTTCTATATGTAAATGAACTTTGGTTTATTGTCCAAGAAAGCCAATTACTTGTTTTACGATAAAAGATGTACTTATTTAAGCATATCATAATGTTTATACTCTGAAATTCTGTCATATGTTCCAAATTATATACACCTCAATTTGACAAACAAGTGAAACAACAGCTACAGTTTCTTTTGCACTATGCGATAGAAAAAGTATACCCAGGCCAAGTAATTATCACTCAATATTCATAGCAACTCTATACAAGACAAAATCACTATTATACCTAACCGCATTGCCATCATAAGTGCATTATTGAGAGTTGGTATCCACTCTTCTACATGTAACTTCTGAGCAAGATTCTGAGATTCATATAACTTGAAGAAAAACATGTAATTGGGCGGTTTTGCATGAGCTGCAATCAGTGTCGCTATTCCCGGGTGATCTAACTTGCTACATCATTTAAATAAAAAAAAAAAAAAACAGTAAACCTCAAACTCACAAGGCTTACATTAATTACCCTTCAGCATGTAAAAATGTTAAGGAAAACTGTAAATCTCATTAAAAATGAGAAAATAAAGATTTATACTACACTAAAGGAGAGAAAATTGGGAGGAGAAAGTGAGATAGAGAGAGAGAGACCACATCAATTGCAATTCTTTATGAAACTTATTAATGTCTTCTGAAGTTGACAAGATGGGTTTCTTCACAGCAACCCTCATGTCATCCAAAGTCCCTTCATAAACAACACTCTCAGCCCCTACGTTTACCATCACCAACCAAAGTTACAATATCAATAATCCCATTCCACAAAAACACAACCTCAAATCATAACTACCAACAAAGATACTTAAATAAATATTAAAAATTGGGAACAATTTTTTTTTTTTAAATTAGAGAAGGGTTTGGGTTGGGTTTACCTCGAGCAATAGGCGATAGGAGAGTGTAAGAAGCGGGAAGGAGATGAAGGGGAATAGAGGGGCTGGTGCAGCAACCCCTGATGCATGTGTTAGGCTCCAGAATCTCTATTCCCATTGCTCTTGTGTGGTTGGAGAAGAAGAATAAGAAGATGATGATGAAAATAAAAATTTAGCGCACAAGAGCATGGTACGGTATATCATGTATTCATATTTCAGCGATGGAAATTTCGTGTTTGTTGGATGTTATGTTACTCGAGTTTCGATCGTTTCATGGGTACGTCTCTGGCAGCTACAGTGCACCAAAATGGACCCGCGCCTCGTTTGGTCCAGCCCGCAACATATGGTGTAGAACATAGATTATGTTTGTGTTTTTTTTTTTCGAGAATAACATAGATCGTGTCTTAAAAATCGAGTGAACATTCTTTTTCTTTAATTTTGCAGGTGATAGTAGTGTGCACATTATAAATATCACTTTAATTACATGTAAGTTGAAAAAAATAAAATAGATAAATAAAGAAAGTAAAAAAAATACAATTAAAAATATTTAGTGAAAAAGATTATCATAATAAAACAACTCTGAGGTTTAGTTTTTTTTTCCTCGGAGTTAATTAATATAAAATTAATATCAAATAATATCAGTGAAATAAAGAAACATCTCTATAAAATCTATAATTGTATTATATTATAAAATTTATATACATTATTACTTTATTTTTATCACTAATAAATAAGTTAAGTGCAGTTAGATAATAAAATAGTGCAATTAGATAATAAAATAGTGCAGTTAAGATTATTTTTTTTATGTTATGAACTTATAATTATTTTTATGATACGTTAATACTAAAAAGAGAAAAGATAATATAAAAAAATAATTAATGTGGTATGATTTTGATGAAAGAGACTACAATGGTGGATAAAGAATATTTAAGGTTAAAAGAAAAAGTATGATATATGTTTAATATAAAAAACGTGTCAGCAGCACATATTGTTCATGGTGTATATTTTCACCCATCTTTTATCATTTTTTTTATCATTTAATATATTATTTATTTAAAATATCTTTTTTATATATTCGTCTTGTAAACATTCTTCCCAATTTCTATTGTATATAAAGGAAAAAATAAAATTAATTAAAAATTATAATATTTTCTCTAATATTTCAATCAAGCATTTATTTTTAAATTTTTATCCCATATAATTTAATAAATTTAAATAATAAGGAATAATATTTTTTTCTTTATTCATTTAATTACAAATTATTTTAAGTTTCTTATTTATTAAATTTCTTTTATAGCCTAATTATTTTTAACCATTAATAATTTTCAGCAAGATGTCAAGATAGGTTTACTACAGTAGGTCAATACAAAAATTGAAAATAGATACCTTAAAGAAACAAATTTGTGTCCAAATTTTAGTATGATTCTATTAAGTCGTTTCTTGCATGGATTTAAACCAGATTAACTTGAAAATTTATAAATGGATCTATTTTATAAATAATATTATTTTATTAATATATATTATAAATTAATTTAATAAAAAAGTTATATTTTTAAAAATAAATATAAAAATAATTTTTTAATATTTACTTTATATAAATTTTAATATTTTTAAAAAGAACTATTATTTTAAATTAATAAATTATAAAAAACTTGAAAGATGATAATAAAAAATAATTTTTTAATTTTTGTTTTATGACCATAATATATTATTTTATAATTTACACATTAAATTATTATACTTAAAATAAATTTATTTATATTTATATAATTTTTTTAATATCTATTTTGTATTTTTATTTAACTATTTTTTAATTAATTGAGTTAATATACATATGTTAATATTTTATTTTAAATTAATTTATTTTTAAATAAAAATTATGATTTATTTTAAAATATAAATTAAATTGAGTCATTAATATTTTTACATTGAGTTAATTTTAGGAATATAATATATTTAAACATAAAATATATATATATTACAAATTAATTTATTAAAATAAAATATAATAAAAAATACAAATATTACTCCTACTCCTGTGTGGATCATATTTATTTATAAAATTTTATAATTATAAAAATTGAATATTATTGGTTCAATATTATACTATATATACCATAAAATAAAATTTGACATGTAACGTATGATTACAAATATAATGTTATTCTTTAATTTTTTGAAATATCATTTCATCGAAAAATATGAGTTAAAAAAAATAGTTAACTTAAAAATCTTTAAATCGTTTGAAATAATATATATTTAATAATTTCCTTACTGTTTATTATGATTTATAGTATTTATGATTGAAATTTTATAATTAAAAAATATTAATTATGAAAAAAAGAGATTATTTTATCTTAAAAATAAACATGAATGTATATCCAACTCAAAATATACAAGACACGTCAACAACTCTAAACATCATCAACCGACATGCAATCACCGGTAAAACAATAATAAAAACATTTTAAAAAATTAATAAATTACTCACCATCTTATTTATAAATAATTATATATAATTTAATTTTTTAATTGGATTGAATAAAATATATTTATTATAATAACTTATAATCTAAGTAGGATTACTCATTTTTATTTTCATTCATCCATAAAACATATAATATTTTATTCTATTTTATTTTTAACTGATTCTTTTTCTTTTTATCTTATACTTATTATTCTTTCATTTTTACTATTTGTTTATATATTCTATAGGTTTTTAAGAAAAAATAATAATGATTTTTTTTTATTTTTTCTCCATAATAATTAATAATAATATGATTTTGACATATTTTAATCTTTTACTCTAAGATAATATTTAATTATATATATGTTTATTCATTAAAATGTGTGAATGATTATTTTTATTTTGTTTTTATTATAATCATACGAGTAAATGAATCTTTTTATATTTTTTTATTAGGATGTTTTTTAATTTGTATTTTAAAATATAAATAATTATAAGTAAAGAAAATTATAAAAGAAAAAAAAATTAATGAATTAGTAAAATAGTACTAATAATTAAGCAGAGGAATCTGAATACATAAATTAATAAGATAAAGAATAATTAATGTTTTTTATCTTATACTTAAGGCTACATATTAACCAGATCTTTATTATAATAACCAGTGAATATATATGGTATATTTTTTATTAAATTAGAATAATAAATATTAATTTTAAAATATAAATATTATTATATTTTTTAAAAATATATTTGAGAGAAGAATAAAAAGAACATATAATAAAATGGGTGAAAAAAATATAATTAAAATAGTAGAAAGTGAAAATATAAAATAAATAATGATGAAAAAACTGTAAAAAATTTATTTATATATTATTATGGATAATAATCTTATTTAATATAATTTTGAAAATTACTTTCTTATAATATAGATAGAAAAAAGTATAAATAATTTGTTTTATTCACGTGATGTGTAAGGAATATTTTGTATAATATACGATACGAAAAATAACAGATATATTGGATAATAGATAGATTTGGGTAGAGAAAAAAGATAATGTAATAGATAATATGTGTAAAAAAAAAAAAAAAAGAAAAAAAAAAAAAAAAAAGAAGAAGAAGAAGAAAGAAAGAGAGAATTGTTTTTAGTTTGGATAATTTTGGTTTTAAACGCACACAGGAACCCTAGTAATGGAGGTGTTGGCGTGTGACTTTCTATCTGTCCTTTTCAGAATTGAGTAGTTGTCCCTATATATTCTCCTCTGTCTCCTTCTAAAATTTCTCTTTCTCTCCATATTGCCGGAGAGAGAATCGGAGAGAGGTGGAGAAGAACCCAAGAGCCTCCCTTTTCCTATCTCTCTTACATGTCTGGCAACAGACACAAATCTTTCACCCCTTCATCCTTCTGACCCGTATCACTGGGAAACACGCAGAAAGGTTGAAGCTTTCACAAGCCGCTGTTTTCTTTAGCTGTTTGAGTTAGAGGGTTGTTATTCTCGCCATGGCTTCCTCCTTTATCTCAAACGGGGACGTTTCTGGGTTCAAAGATAAGGAGTCAATGGTTGACCCTTTCTTGGTTGAGGCGCTTCAGAATCCTCGTCATCGTGTCACCCGTAAGTGCTCTCTCTCTCTTTCTCTCTCTCAATTATTAATTTAGTAGACCTTTTTTTATGCGTTTATGAATTTCTTAATTTGTTAGTTTACTGCTCTGGTTAATGGGTACGCATCAAAATTATACTTTGTAGTGGGTTTGGGTTATTTTCTTCTTTAATTTGGATTATAATTTTATTTTTCTAATTTATTGTTAGGGTTATGGGTTGGTTTTGTTGTGTCAGATCTGGATGATTGAGGTTCACATAGAAGTTTAGAATCGGAATGTGGTGTTCAATTATGTGGAGTTGCTATGGAAATGAGAAATTTGGGATCCAGGGCTGTTGTGTTGTACCCATTAATGTTACTGAAAAGAATTGGTTTTTGATAGAGCATGATGATAATTCCATCCCCATGTAATAGATCCTACCAAGTAGTATAAGGCTTCGTTGTTGATGTAATATGATTCTAAGCTTATTCCAGATATTTTCATAATCCAAAGGAGATGATGTTTGTCGGTCAAGAATGTTGCCTCCAAGTAAATTTTGATGGATACATTTGGGATGCTGATAATAGAGGCAGCTTAAATTCTGAAGTTATAGAATTTGATTTTATTGTAGGGCTGTAGCATGTATAATTTGTGTTTTTATCACGATGGACCAATTAATAGTAGCACACTTCTCCAATCAAAGAGTTAAGATCTTATCCAGAAATAGGATCTAGGTGCGACGATAGTGGAATAGGTTGTAATCATCCTGCTTTCAATGATTTTGACTGCATAGTGTTATACAAGGGCCACAATTTTTAAAAATAAAGTATCTTTTTCTTTTCATTGGTGTCTGTGAAATTTGTTGTCATATTGTGTCAAAAGGAACTGAGATTGAGTTGTTTCCCTGAATCCCTGTTAATGTATGCATGTAACTGGGTAACCTATTTTGGTTGGATTAGGATAAAGGAGCATTATAGAAAATTAGGGGTGGTTTCTTTGATCATGTCGTTTCCACCATTCTTTTTGTTAAGACTATAATTTCCCGTACTAATATATTTGTTATGCTATCTTCTGGGTTGTTTGTTTTAAGTTTTCCTCCAATAAGTTCTTATATATCTTGACATTTTTCTTTTTCATTATCTATTACATTGTTTCACTACCATAGTTTTGCGAATGGAGTTGGATATCCAGAGGTTCCTGAATAATGCAGATCAGCAGCATTTAGAATTTCAACATTTCCCTTCTTCATATCTTAGACTGGCTGCACACCGTGTTGCTCAACACTATGGTATGCAAACAATGGTTCAAGATAATGGCTTAGATGGTCAGGGAACCAGAATTATGGTTAGAAAGACAGTGGAAAGCAGGTATCCTTTGGTATGCTTGTCTGAAATACCTGCTAAACAGTTGGGAAATGATAAACCTGAGCAGATAAAAATTGCCATAAGGCCTAGGCCAAATAGAAGCAGTTTAAATGAAGCCAATGAAGTTGGAAAGAAAAACAATCCTCTTAGAAGTGTGGAAGAGCGGAAGGAGGAATATGATCGGGCACGAGCACGCATTTTTAGTAGCTCCAGAAGTTTTGATTCAGATGATACTCTGTCCCAGGCTTCTACAGATGAGAAAAATTCTCTTATAAGCAAAGACGAGAATGAAACTAGCAAGACCCCTGTGGTTGATTCAGAAAAATGCACTACTGGTAGGGATATTAATTCTACTCGAGTTGCCATCTTCAGAGATAGGGAAAAGGATCGTAGTGATCCAGATTATGATCGTAACTATGGAAGGTTTGTTCTATCACTGTTTTGTGTTATTTGTTTGAGAATTTTGTTAGCAATGAATGTAGAGGTTGCAAACATATAAACCTGTTTTGCTTTATGTGTCTGTGTCAACAGTTTGACAACCAGACCAATTTTGTTTAACATATTATCGTCATGATTGATAGTTTGCGCTATTAGAGCAATTTTGCATTACAGTTGGCCCCCATATGACCTAATATACTGTTGTGCCCTTAAAATGATGAAAATTGGTGCACTTTGCAGCTTGCCTGCTTTTTGCCCCCTTGTCTCACAATAACTTTAGATTATTTTCATATTTTTAACCCCGTTCTCTCCTTTTAAGTTTCCACACAAACTACCGACACCCAGTGCTTGGCAGCAGTGCTACAGGCAAGCTGGGCATACCCACTTCTTTGTTTTGCACAAACTCTGATCTTTTGGTTGTATGTACATTCTCTACTCTTGTGAGTTATTGCAGAAGTTATGTGTGTAGAAGAATGGTCCATGCCTTTCCTCTATTCTGTTGCTCACCCTTCTCTTTGTTTTTCTTTTTGCATTTTCGTGTCCAAAGTCCACTTTCTATTCAACTACTTACCCTTATGTTCTATGCGTTCAGTTCTGATTGTTTTTTATTGTTTTGAATCAGTTATTGCATCATCCAATTTGGTGCTTTGCTTACACATATTTAATTTCCCGCCTTTATTGTTATAGGCTCGTGTGTTCAGATTGTGACTTTTATAAATAGATCTTTGACTTTGCATAATTTTATATTTTGAGCATTTGTACGTTAACTCTTAGGAATACATTCATCATGCTACCCTTTGTTCTTCATATAGTGGTTTGAGTTTTGCCACTCTGGTTGCACAGTACTTGTAGATTGTTAAATAATTGTGTAGAGAGTGTGTGGGATATAGGATACCATTTTAGTGGAGCTTAAGAAAATTAAAATGAAAGATCACAAGAGATTAGCCTAAATTATGTCTGTAAAAGGTCTGGGGTTCTCGTTTTATTTTGCATTGCTAAAATTCTGTAAAATGAAAGTAAAATGCTTTCTTTTTGTGAGAGAGGAATAGTAGTGATGTTGTGGCATTTTTCATGGCATAAATCAGATTCACTGATTGCAGTCTACGCTTGAACTTACACTTTTGAAGTTTATAGATGTTCTTGTCCTGATACAGGGCAGATTTGTTTTTGTTGAGTTTTAACTTTTGTTGTGAAGTTTGTTTATGAAATTGTATCACATTCCTAATGCAGGTATGCTAGGAGTATTCCACCTTCTTCCCTTAACTTGATGCCTTTTAATTTGCAACATGTTCAAGCTCCATTCGCGCAGTACGACACTGGTTTTAATCAGTTGAGTCAGATGTCACAAAATCAAGCTTCGCTTGGCTATGGACCTCCTTCAAGTCCTATGATGAATCCTTTTGGTGTCACGGGATTGAATCATGCATCTAGCGATGTTGCTTACCTGCAGTGGCCAAGTGCTTCAATGATGTATGCACATTCATACGACCAATTTAGACATGCTATTTTCCAGGTAATCTACAGTTAATTTTATTTTGCTGTTGAATGTGAAGATTGGTTTTCAGTTCACATTTTTTGCTGCATTGCAGGCTCCATTTGGTCATCAACGCCCATTAAGCTTTGATTATTCACAGAATTACTAGATGAAGTTTAGGGGGCAGAAATTATTTTAGCTGTTAAGGGTTCCGCAGTTAGATACAATTTTTCTGTACTGTTATAGACCCATGTTTTGATGGTGGTAGTGAGTTTTTTGTATTTGGTACTCTTCTCTAGTCACAACTTTTATACTACTTGTAATGATGTACTGTTTTTCAAATATATCAAGAGTTATATTTTGTTACACTGTCTTATGTTACATCCGTCGCTTAAATATGCTTCAGTTGGAATGTATATGCCATTGATATTATTATTCATGTTATTATTATTACTCAAGGATAAATATGCTGAGAATAGGTTAAAGTATGAGTCGATAGTTTAAAGCTGATTGATAAAATACTATTTTTATAATATAATAATTATATAATAAATTTGTTATTAATAACATTTTTTATTCTATTATTTAAATAACATAAAATAATTATTATGTAAAATTAATATAATTTATATAACAAAAATAAAACAAATCATATCTTTTATAAAAAAATAATTTTTAAAAGTATAAAAATAACTTTAATCTTTTTTCTCAAAAGCGAATAGATTAAAATATTTAATTACTTTTTTATTTTATATTAATTTAATTAGAAATTATTTTTTTAAACTAGTAAATCAATTTTCTGATTTCGTCAATTTGATTTTTAAAATAATGATTATTATTTATCTTAAAATTTGATTTTTATTATTCTTTATAATATTTTTATGTTTATAAATTTATAAGTAAAAGTTAATTATATTAATTGTTAGATTTAACAATTAAAATAATTAAGTAAATTTAAAATTGAATATTTACCTGAAAAATATAATTCTTTTTTAATTTATTATTTTTAATATTTTGGTTTTGATAAAAAGATAATTAGCTACTTAATACATAATTTATTTTAAATATTATTAAAATAAAAAAAATGATACGGTGGATATTTGTAAGTTTATCTAAACAGAACAACTTTTTACGAGAATTACTGAAAACACAAGCGATAAAGTATTTGCTGTCCGCGTTAGTTGTATAATTAATTTTATTTTATTTTTCTTTTCACTTTTCAAAAATATTTATTTTATTTGTTTTTAATATTTTTATTATTTTTTAAATATATAAATCATAATAATTTTTTACTATTATAATACTTCTATTTTCTCTCTCCGTATAAAAAGATTTTTTATATACAATTATAAATTAGTGAAAACAAAATCGTTATCTCACTCTATATTAGCAATATCATAAAAAATATTATTTTATTTTTATCCATTCATTAAATATATCTTTTTTTCTCTCAATCTTTTTATTTAAATATATAAATTATAATAATTATTTAAAAAAATACAAAATAAATCCCCTTCCAGTTATTAATAAGAAGTGAGTAATTTTTATTAAAATGTCTTTTCTAAAAACAAGTTATTTTGTACAAACAGGTAAGACTTGATAAGCCCCCTCCACCTGATGAATGCTATGAATGCAAAATTTGTTTACTTGTGGATGCAAATTCAAATATAGTCCATTTTTTTTTTACACTTATTGTTATCTTCATCAAATCAAATTCCCTCATTTTTTATTTTTTTTCTTTATATTGTTTCTATGTTTACCTTAATGGTTTGAAATATATCAATTCATTATTCAATTCTCTGAAAAAAGTGTTAAGAAAAACTTCATTACCATTCATCTCAAATTTAATTGTGATTTTCAGAACTATTTTCTATAATCGATATATAATACAATAAACATAATATTACTCTCATTCTTCTTCAAAACATATTCATAAAGATACTATACAAACTCATTTTTCTTAAAGGTAGATGTCTATCCCATGCCCATAAATGTTTAAAATTTAGAGTTAATAATAACAAGCATTAGACCGTTAATTAGTCATGCTATTCAAAAGATAAACCAATAACAAGATTATACTATTATTTATATTTATTCTATTCATTTTGCTTGTGTCTTTTTCTCTCAGATAAAATGGGCATATAACTAAAAACAAAATTTTAAGCCTTTTTTTTCTTCTAATTCACTTGAAAAACATATGGAAAAAATTGTTCTGTCATTTTCAAAGACAATAATAACATTGTATTTGTGTACATATTATAGTACCTACAAATTCCCATGATACTTTCTTTAGTCAATAATAAAAGACATGCAAAGCCATATAATTATTAATGGAAACTTATCTATAACTATGGTTAACAACAGAATACAAATTCAAACATGTTATGTAATGAATCAGGCAATACATTACTTACAAGTCTTTCATTTAACATAACCATTTAGTGCTGAAGCCAGATGCCAGAAAACATTTTTTCTATACAAAGACTAAATCACAAGAAGCATGACATGATGAAAACATCAGATATGGAAACTATGAAAATTTAGATACAGAACTCAAGAAGAAAAAAAAGACTCATTTCACATACAGTTAGTTAACATGTTATTGAAAACTGAAGGAAGAAGATGGTCTTCAAACACATAAAATAAATTATAAGAGTCAAAACATAGTCTTTGCAAGTTCTTTGTCAATACTATTCCATTTGATTTAGTGAGTCAGTCACAATGTCATACGGAAACTAAGTCATGCAGAAAGTCCACATACATTGAGCTTGTTCAGTTATATTATGTTTTCTGATAATAGCACTGTGTTTTACCAAATCTCAGTCTGTGTCAACAAATGCATGTTACTGTCATTCACAAAGTTACAAAACATGATTGCTACCAGAAGTGTCAATAGATTGCTACCATCAAAGTAAATAATTACAAAATAAATTGCCTTTGTCTCTAGAAGGACATCATGGCAGAATCTACAGTTAATTCAAAATTCTTATCATTACGAGACACTGGTTTATGCAACATAAGCATGACCAATTAATGCCACTCCTAACACAAAGTTACCTACTTAGACACTAGCCAAGGTTTCAAAATTGCAGTTTCGTTAAGATCGTTGACGTTGCAGAGAAATGCGGCCACAATTGGGGTTGCATAGAGTTCAGAAACCTTGGCATTGAGCCTGAAATTGCGATCACAGAGAGTTTTTAAAATCCTTGACCCTAACCAAACGTAAATACTCAATCAAACATTAGTTTCACTAGGTGGAAACTACATAGTTCAAACAAAGATAACTATAACCAACATTAAAACCATCTTAGCAAAAACAGTTAATTTCAGCGACAACTTCAAGGGTTTTGAAGTTAACTACAATTGTAACTCCATTAACCACATTTGTCAGCAATTTTTTCACAATATAAAAAACCGAGAATAAATCACAACCGCACCCACAATTTAAAACATTGCTTATAACCATTGATCACATTCAATCATCTCCAGCTGGAAACAAAGTAAGAACCTTTCTCCCTCCTGATTCCACGTCCTCAGCATAACCCGTCACCGGAGCCCCCATCCGCGACAGAATGGGGAGCTCAAAGTGCGCATTCCGCGGCGAGCCGAAATGGCGGTGGCCGCCGGCCACCGCCATGTGCTGGTGGGGGTGGCGGTGCTGCTGCAACGCCGGTACAAAGGGCAGGTAATGGTCAGAGGTCGGGCGCCCGGCAGGGTGTAGAAAGTGCGGCGGCACGGGGGAGCTGGCGAAGATATGGTCGGTGGCGGAGTCGGCGGCGGCGCCTCCGGCCAATCCCTGCATGCGCTTCAAGTAGAGGCGGTATTTCTGGAGGTGGCTGGCGACGTTTTCGCGGGTCAAGCCGTCGACGCTCATGAGCTGCATTATGGTCTTGGGAACGGCGTTCTTGATCCCCAAGTGGGCCACGGCGTCCACGAAGCGTTTGTGGAGCTGTGGGGTCCACACCAGTCGCGGCCGCTTCTGGGTCCTCGCTGGTTCCTCCTCCGTGCCGGACGGTGGTTGATGTGAAAATTGTTGCTCTTGAACTTGCTGTGAAGAATATTGTTGGTGGTGAGAAGGGTTTGTTATATCAAAGGCTATGGCAAGGTGAGGACTTATTAGGGTTTGGGATAAAGGCATGAGTTCCTCTGGAGAAGGTAACTCCTCTTCCCAACTTGAGAACCAATTTGAGTCCTCCTCTCTCATTTTTGTTTCCTCCAAATCCTACCACAAATCAATCACTCTGGTTTTATCTGCTTTAAAAACTGGGTTTTGTTGTGTTGTGTTTTGATTTTGGATTTTTTTTTTCAAATTTTTGAATGTGGTTTTGAATTTTGATGGTGAAAGAAGAGGGTGAGGATGGAGCATAGGAAGAGGGAGTGGAGAGAGGTTCGAGGTGGATCTTGTTTTCTTCTTTTCAGCTTTTGGTTTTGTGTACTGAAAAAATGGTGCTTTTATTTCCCTTATGCTCTTGTTGTGCGATTTATGGGATTTAATTGTTTTTTTTTTCCGGGATTTGTGGGTCTTGTAATGAGAGAGTGTGGTGCTGTTTGCTGAGATTTCGAGATTTTTTGCTCCAAAAACATGACAAACCTGGTTTCACATTCCACGTGGGGCTGAGAGTTACCATAATACCCTTTTATAATTTTTATGCCTGTTATCTTATGATTATTTTCCAGATTTTTTTTTACATTTTAAAGTACAATAGTCGTTGATTATAATTATAGTTTTTTTTATTAAATATACATTTAATTTTATAATCTACACTTATTGTTGTTATTTAAAGTGTATCTCTTCAGAAGAATTAAATCTTTATTTTCTTAAAATACACCGATTTTAATGAATAAATAATTTTAATTATTGTATCTTTTTAAAAAATACTATATCAAAGTATGTATAATAAAATATAGGGAAATATAAGGAAATGTATTATAATAAATAATATGTATAGTTAAAAATTATTAATAAATAAAAAAGTAACACTTTAACAATTTTCTATTATGTTAAATTTTATCATAATAATACATACTTAGACTTAGAAAATTAATTAATTAACGATTAAATACAAATAATTTACAACCATTATCATCATTATTTTAAAATTTTATCTTTACGATTCAAAATTTAAAGAAAAGTTTATAAATTTTGAAATAATAATGGTATTTATAATATGGTTTTATGAGGTTGAATCTAAATAATTATAATTAATAACGTCAGTCCTGATCTTAAATTTATTATAATGAAGTCTTATATTATAATATTCTTTAAAAATATTTTGTAAATTACCAGTATGTTTTATATTATTATTATTATACAAATAAAAAAATTGTATTAATATGTTTATAAATTTTGTATTAAAAATATTTATGGTTAATCCATTATAAATAGATTTTTAATGGGTTGACTAATTTTGGGACAATTATAATTGAATAGAGACTATTATGCGATTCAAACTTATAAAAAGACGAATTCACACACAAAATATATATATATATATATATATTATTCTTAACTTTATTGTGATTTATTTATTGTTTAATGATGAGGAAATATCTTGAACGCTGATTAGGAATCTATTACAATGATGACAATTGAGTTTAGTTAGATTCCCATTAATTATTGAGCAGAACAAACAAATGAGAGTGACCTACATGTGTAAGGTTGAATTATTTCAATAAGGACTAATCATAATCTAGGCATATACCAAGATATAAAGGTACAAGGAATCAAATAAACAAATTTAATAAAAAATAATAATAAACTTCTTTGACATGTCAAAAATGTATTGAGGATTTTATTTTACATAACTATTTAAATGTCTAACCTTGCATAAACAATCAATTAATAAAGGATAAATATAAATAAGTTTCACAAAAATATTTACTGTTAATTATACGTGTAAAACTGGAAAAATAGATGTTATCCTAAATATAAATTAATAAATGAAGTTTCACACAAAAAAAAATTTGTTTTATGTTCATTTTGTTTTATAAATGATTACGAAGAAAATTACTGGTAAAATTACCTGTGTTATTTCTAGTTGATTAAATTTTAAGTTTTAGTCCCAAATTTTAAAACTTTTTTTTTATTTATATATTATTTTAATCTTTTTTTAGTCTTTAAAACTTTTGATAAGAAGGGTTTTTAAAGAAAATAAAAATAATAAAATGAGAAAAAAAATGATATGGACAGAGATTGTAATATAATTATTAAAATGATTTAAAAATTATTAAAAAAAATTGAACAAAAGTTAAGTAGCATCTTTTGTTTGGAGTTGGAACAGAAAAGCAGAAGAGAAGCACTTGAAGTACGTTTTGGCTCCAAAATCACTTTATAGCAGAATCACACAGGAAGGGATAAAGGTTGTGTATGTATTGATTGCTATTATTAGCTAAAATAGAGTGAAAAATTATTGTGACAAGCAATGAAAAGGTCACTTTCTTTCTAGGCACTTATTTATACACTCATTCAAATTTGACAAGAAGGGTAACCCCATGTTTCATTTCCAGGGACATTATCATGGACCTCCTACCTGTTTCACTTTTCTCACATTAATAATACCCATGTAAGACAAATTCTCAAATAGCCTTTTTATTTTATAATACTATTTGGTTTAATGTTTGCAGCCTTAATCATTCTAACATAAAAATATAATTTATTTAAAATAATTTTAATTTAAATAAAATCATAGATTAATTTCACTAGATCCAAAACCAAACATATAATTAAAATATATCACTCATTTCATTGTTATTAATAGAGTATAAATAAACAAATAAAAACATAAATTAAAAAATACAAATAAATAAAAATACAAGAAAATAAATATTGTTTAATAAAAAAATTCGAATGTATAACTTGGAAAAAAGATATTTAGTTTATATCCAAATGGATATGATTTTTCGTTAGACCTGAGTATTGGACAGGCGCTTAAACCTTGGATAAATTTCTTCCGACAAAAATAATTGAAGTACCCAAATACAAAATTCATGAATCTTTCAAATTTCTTTAAAGTTTAACAATGAGATTACATTACAAACAATAATTTTCCTTGAACACCATCTCACCACAAAAAATTGTCCATTCATCTAACAAACCACCATTCATCTAACAAACCATGAATTCATTAATGCACACGCTACATGCGATATGTCTAGGACCTATTGACTATACAGCAATATAAGGGGCAGCGCCAGTGGCAATTTCAGATTTCACCTGTTCCAAGAGGTTGCCTAGAGGTATCTCCAGAGGCCCAAGCTTGATAATCTTTCACGAGCTGCTTAAGAAAAATATATAACAGACAAATCAAATTCATAATTGTTCAGTATATAAAATGTTAACAAGATTACATGTACTAATCAGTTCATTATTAAACCATAAACTATTGCTATTGCTACTTCAATGAACAAGCCAGTCTCATTATTTGTACCTTTGTTTACAAAGAACCAAACGAACTAGGTTCTTTAAATGTTGAAAACATAATTTAGGTATATAAAACACTAACACCACAAATGATTAGAATATGCTACGACTAATGTATGATATGATAGGATTCTAATAGCACCACTTTGAAGACAATTCGAAAAATATGAACACAGTTTTGAGAAAGTAATGCCGATGATAGACCATGTATTTCTTCTGGAGAGTATGGCAACAGAAGAGTCTGTTAGACTTGTGGGATCAGCTGGCAATTAGTTATGTTTATTATTAGAAACATGACGTCAGTTAGAGGGAATATCAGCTGGTTGGAATATCATAAAAGAAGGGAATAATAGGAAAAGGGGGAATTATATTTATAGAGCCATAGGGTGGACAGAGAATTTTCCGAGGAGCCATAGGTTGTGAAAATTGTATAAAATTCTGTGCTTGTGTTTTTGTTCGAACATTTTGTAATGATAATGCTCATTAATATCCCTGTCACTCTTTTAAGATATTTATGACTTCCCACAATATTCTTCATCAAAACTTGTGTATATATACCTCGAAGTTGTTGAGTTATATTGAAACAACTTGAACCTTTTTACTTCATGGTCAACTTCCTCAACAATTTTGGTGTAATTCCTTGACAACCAAATCCCTCATTCTATTTTATACCATCAACCCCTCCATCTCTTGCCCCCTCAAGTCTTCAAATCTACATGTTTTTTCTTATATTTATCCTAGTCTTGATAAATTGTCATCTTGATCTCACAAATGTTACATGTTTTGTTCGTATACTTATCCTAGTCTTGAAAAATTGTCAGCTTGACCTCACAAATGAGTCTCTTTAGGCTTCTCTTGGTCTATAAAAGGGTAAAGTGTTTCCCACTCTCATTATCGCTATTTGATCACAACTGATATCACTTTCTTTGAGTCTTCTCTTTACTTTGCATCTATTTCTCTCCCTTTAGAGCCTAGCCTAGTCTAGTCCCCACCACCACCTCTATGTTCTTTGATACCACAATCATGCCTTCATTGGTAACAATTTATTCTCTTGAAAAAGCAAAAAGCAGAGTATGAAGTTATGGCCTTTATCACCTATGAGCTCAATTGGATAAAATATTTTCTTACAAAATTAAGATTTGGGGAGGTCACACAAATGACTCTCATTTATAAGAACCAAACTACCCTTCATATTACTTCAAATCCAGTATTTCACAAGAGTACCAAACATATTAAGTAGATTATGACTTCATCGGTGAAAAATTTGTATATAAAGATATTACTATTCAATTTGTTAACTCCAATGATCAGTTAATAAATGTCTTTCACTAAACCATTGTGGGGCCCTAGAATCGATATATTTGTAACAAACTTGGTGCATATGATATATATGCACCAGCTTGAGGGGATGTCCTAGATGTAATTAGATATATGGGTTTAGGCCCATCTCATTGTATTATGATATCTATATGTATGTTCCTTGTGAATATACACACAGTGATTTCATCTATGACTCTACCATATATCTGAAAAATTCCAAATCAGGCGTTTCAACTGGAAACTCTTTGGAGTGTTCCAATTTTTAGATCATTTTGCAACATGGGAATAACAAAGAAACACTTACAAAAAGGGATAACCACTCTGCTCTTCTGTGAAACTGCTGTGCCTGTTGGCTTAGTGTTTAATGGATGAGGTCACAAGGACAAAGGAGGTAGAGAAGGATGTCGTGCTTGTTTTAGAAAACAAGACCTTTAACCTAATGATGCATTGTGCAAAATACACATCATCACTAGTTAATTTCTAGCCATTAAAACAAGTAACAACAGAACAAAGGCACAGGCCCAAGAACTGACCCAACACGCAACCGGTTGCTAAAATGAACTCTATTATGCAGGACCTTTAGACGAGCTTTGGACCTTTGAAGGGGTGTATCAAGAAGGAAAGTTATTTAAAGAATAAGTCAGATTGACAAAAATATTTGTGCAAAATTACTGCAAAACAGTGTTATAGATGGTTTGCAACTGGTCTGCATGAAACTTTTACCCAGATGTACGGATCGTGTGTTGCTTCCTCACAATCAGCTCCACGTCTGTTCTTTAAACAGTTTGGCTGCTGTTTCTTTATGGAAATTCTCATTCGGAAAATCTGGTGAACGATGGGTGTGTCAACCATAGGCCTCTTGACCAGTTCATGATTTTGTTTCGGAGGCAACATTTCTGTACCAACGTGCAAGTACAACCTCCTACACCTTGGTGCATTTGATTGGACCTTCAGTATGATATTTTTAAAGAGGCTTCGGCAGCACAAAATTTGATTTGGGATAAAGATTAGGCATTTCAAGTTTGGGATCTATCTGTCAAGGATTGGGAAACTTAATTTGATTTTTTTTTGTGTGTGTTTTCCCTTATGTTAAGGCGGATCCTTATCCTCCCATTTCCTTGTAATTTTTTCTTCAAATGAATTTCTTTTTTTAACCAAAAAAGGATAAACATATCTTAAAAATCAAATTTGCGGATAATACTAAGCTTTAACAAACCTGTGACATAAATCGGGGAAGCATAATCCTGAGTATTTGTTCAAGGACTTGAGTCCCAGCTGATTCAAATGCTTGCTTTGGTATTGCTTGGAAAGGAAAAGGAATTTCAATGCTTACCTGGATTCCACATAGCAATCCAAAGAAACTTTTAACTGGAATCCAATTCAACAAATATAGAATCACAAGAAAATGAAAAAAAAAAAAAAATAGAGTACTACCTCAATTACAGTGTCTGATGTGAGTTGCTGCTTCAAAGAGTTATTAGCATTACTATCACACGATATCCGATTAACCATTAGAGCTGCATTACCATATTAAAGTATTGAAAAGGCATTCCTGAAAGTAGCATAAACCAAAAAGCATGACACCCTACATGTTTTCATTTTGCTTTTCTCAAGAAGAGTACAAGAAAGTTGCCTACGATGCAGCTGTAAATAAGGAAGTATACACATAGTTTCGTAACTATCATAGTTACTGTTTCTAATGAATAGCCAGTAAGCTGTAATCAAAGGCAGTACTGAGCAGAATATGCATTGATCGACTTGCATACCAGTTTAGCCATTCACATTGTTGTTCCATGTTTCATCAAACAATTTGACTAGAACAACACTTTCCAAGAAATCACATACATCACAGCTCATATAAGCAAGTTAAAATCTGTCATTATTAGGCTATGTTTGGATAAACTTTCCCATAAACACTTATAAGAGCAAAGAATAAGAAGGAAAAATAAAATGACTTTTTTATAAGCTAAAATTAGTTTATACAAAAGTTAAAATCAGCTTATGAAGAAGCAAACAAGAAAATACTTATATAAATGAACTATGTATAAACTAATATTAACTTGTAGAAAAACCTATATAATTTTTTCCTTCTTATTTTTCATCCTATAGGTGATTCTAGAGAACTTTATATAAACAGGGCTGTAGCAATTAATGGTACATTCTCATACAATGTCCTCCGAATACTCTATAAAAAAGTGTTAAGTACAAAAGTAAATTTATGCAATCCATTCAACACTTTCTTCATTTAGTAAGTACGAGGTTGTTAAGCTTGAGAATATATTTACACTCGTGTAACTTTAGTAAATTTGACCCACGTAATTGATTCATAAACTCCTGATAGTGCATTAGTGCTAAATAAGATAAAATTTTCATAAATGATATATAAATCCATAATATGTTCTTAAAGTAAAAACATTTCAAAAAGTAACTAAATTTTCCAATAGTTTGAGTCCTAATATTGTCATTGTAGGGTCCGTGATCAATATAGATATAAATTGGGTTCCATGATCACAAGGGAGGCTACAACATTGCAATTTTTAAGGTCTACACAACTCCTTTGCAGCTGCAATTTCAGCAGTTTCTGCTGCGTTTACCGGAATTTGTTAATCAAAAGACAATCTTAACAACAACCACTGCAACCTAAAACTTTACACATTCCAACATCATCTAGCAAAACTCACCATCAAACTTGTCGTTCTGTGCAGCAACCACCGGTGATCCCTCGAGCTATCATCAACAGTTAAAGTAAAGAATCAAAACAATTAAACAGACGAATACAGTAGAGCACTAAATTCAGCAACACATTCAAATAAGTGTCCACCTTGCAAGACAAGAGCTTGATGCAACACCCATCAGGTTGCTCTTCCACCTTAACCAACAACACTGGACAAATCTCAAACGTGAAGAACTTGAATTTATAAACGTAACACCGAAACGTGTTGTCGTTTACTCGCTCAATCCTCTCCGCATCCAACACCGAGTACTGACTCGCCGGTAACCGCATGTACTCAACTACACACATCATAAAATTCAATAAAATTACCACTTTTTCAAAATCAAACAAAAATATTAAAAAAAAAAAAAAAAACTCTTAGCCTTCTATTTACACAATCTTTATCTTAAGTCCTTTCACCTAAAAACTACTCTTTCTAGTCTCTACACATCTATAATCTATTTGGACAAGTAAAAAATAAATTAAAATTAATCCATAAGTTAATTTGTATATAATTTCTTTGAATTCTCATTTTTAACTTACAAAACTTGTTTCATTTTCATTGATCTTCTTATTTTAAGTATTCAAGAACAAATTTGTTTAAACCTACCCATTTTTTTAATATGAACTTCTCTTTTGTCTACAAGTTAAAAATAATTATAATAATTCAGAAAAAATATATAAGAAAAACTTCTTTGTAAACTAATTTTAATATCAATTTGTCTTCATATTTTTCTCGTCTATAGTCTTTGCATTGAATTCGTTTCTACGGTTGAAAAATGTAGATACTAAAACAGAATAAGAGTAATTAAGATCATAAGAAAGAAGAAAGTATTGATAATCTAATATTGCTCTAACATTACTTAGGGGGCGTTGCAGTTGGCGAACCGAAACGGACTCCTTGCGGCGAGCGACGAAGCGAGCCTTCTGAGTCGGAGTAGCGGAAGCACGAAGCGAAGGGCGCGGGGATTTGAGCGCGCGTTGGGTGGTGGAGGGAAACGAAATCGGAATTGAACGCAGCAAGGAAGAAGAAGAAGAAGCCATCCACCAAACCGTTGAGTACAGATGGATAGATAGCGCTGGGACGCGACACTGCAAGGACCAAGAAGGAGTGAAGACGTGGTCACAAAACGTGAGCCAAGTGCGGACACGTCACTCACGTGACTACTCCGGTCTCTGTTTTGGTAATTTCGAGTGACGAAAATGGAATTTTCAATGATTGGGAAAAATATTATTTGTATAAAATAATATTAACATTTCTTTATTTTAAACAAGTGAAAACACTGAAGTATGTGTATTTATATATTTTTTAATTATTAAAATTTTTAAAATAATTATTTTTAAAATTTTAAATATATAAATATATTTTCTCCACTTTTATATTTATTATACGTTTTTTTTTCTATTCTTTATATATATATATATATATATATATATATATATATATAAAATATCATAATATTTATATTTTTATATTATTTTCTCTCTCTTGATGTATAATAAAAATAATTACAGGTGATGATATCAAAACAGTTTAAGAAAACAACAAATTTTACATATAACTAATTAAAATAAAGACGTTAAAATGTTTATTCATATTTTTTTATATAATTAATTTTTTAAATTTTATTTTATTTTTTCCTTTTACTTTTTAAACATGTTTATTTTTTATTGTATTATATATTATTATATATATATATATCATTTTTAACTATATAATTAAAATAATTATTTTTTTAATTATGATACTTTTAATTTTTTTATAATATTATATATATAATTACAGATTATAGATAATATTATATTTAGTAAGAGTGACCTTTTCTCAAATAGACTTTCATCTTCTTTACATCCTTTTTAACATGTTGTTGATGGTGCATTTAGATTGAATTTAGAACAAAATATAATTTAATTAATTAAATTTCATTAATTTGAATTTAAAGAAATAAAAATTTGAATCAAACAAACGCAATTGGAGAAGGTTCAAACCAATTGAATTTAATTTTGTACAAATATATAGTTTTTTTAAGAAAAAAATACACAATTATATATATATATATAAAATAACACCTTACTTTTTAATACTACAATTTATTTTCATGTTCTTCCATTTACAACTGATACAATATTTCGACTTTTAAGAGGTAGTATAAGACAGAGAAATGTAGTTGTACAATTCCATTAATTTAAAGAATCTGTGATTTTAAACATGAAAAAGTAGGTTAATGCAACAAGCATTTGAAAGCTATTGATTAAGGAAAAAAAATAATAGCAATTTTAATTATAAAATATTGCAATAAATAAATATAACTTGTTTTTAATTTTTGTAATCATCATCAAATCCACCTTTACTACTTGAAAAAATGCTGAATAAAAAGAGCAACCTTAACATTTAGCAAAATTGTATTTGTTTGTCTTTCAACATTAATTTGACAAGCTTTTTCAAAAACAACTTTAGAAAAAACGAAAAAAATAAAATAAAATAAAATCAACCTGTTCATAAATTAAAATTATTTTTTACCTATTTGTAAAAATAAAATTTTAAAAATTTATATCTCAAACTATTTATAAATTATAATTAATTGACAAAGTACATTTATAAAATTAAAATGATATTCTTAAACTTTTGTTAATTATTTTTCAATAAATAATCTTATATAATCCATGCATTAACAACTTAACCATAACTTTTAATCAATAAATAATCTAAAAATGGTCTACATAACTCAAACTCTCCCTGCTTTGCAAAAACAAATAATCCATGCATAAACGACTTAGCCATAACTTTACTTCATTGATTTTTCTTATAACTTCAATTTTTTTGTCTTCCATTAACTTTTTAATTATCTGTTAATTATCCTCACAAAAGGAAACAACTTTATCATACATTTGTGTCTATCTATTTATGTAGTACATTTGAGTGATTTATTGGGAACGAAACATTACATAACAAGAACTTCCATTATATAAACTACAAACTAAAGGGAATTTATTGCATTTGTTGTAGCTTAAGCTTCATGATTATAATTTCATTTTGCTATCTATGCTGATTCATAAAGTATTTATCAATTCCTTGACAGAGATATCTAGCCTTCATTTGCAGCAGGTTGTGAAATCTTGTTCTGTATATGACCAGTTTCAGGTTCAGCAGTTCCATTTTCCTCTCTGAACTTCTTGTATATGTCACCTTTATAGAACTCTCTAGTCCTTAGCACCAGGATGAGAGACACAAGTGCCCCAAACAGACTAACTGCAGTGATTATAATGAAGGCCAATTTGTAGCACTCAGTTCCATTGCAATTCAACTCCTCCCCAGGTTTCCTTGTTATTCCTAATGCTTCCATTTGCCTGGTGGCTTCCTTGTCATACAAATGCCCTGCAACCCTTACACTGAACAAGTATGACCCAATTGGACTTGCCACTGACCCAACATTATACAAAGTTGAGTAAAATTTAAGGCCAAAAAGTTCAGATATGATGGAAAAAAGTAGTGGCCAGTTTGCCCCAAAGCAGAATCCAATTATAATTGAAGCTGCATAGAGACCATTTGGGACATTGAAGGCAATTAGAAGGTGGCCAACACAAGGTATGACAAGGATTGAGGTGAATAGGAGAGGCCTAGGAACTTTAAATTTGGCTATGATAATTTCTGAGACCACACCCTGTACAATTTTACCCATATAGATCCAAATGGCCATGAGGGACACAAATGTGGTTACACTGTGGGACGAATATCCTAAGGATGTACCAATTTGGCTCAAGTTATTTACCACAGTGAGTGTACCACCAAGTCCACAAATTGTTGCTAAGAAAAGAATCACCATGTCAAGGCTAAAAAGGGCTTGAAGTATTGTATAATCTTCACCTCTACTTGGTGGCCTGAACATGCTTTTCCAACAGGAAACTTGCTTTTGTGGAGCCTGTGCAGAATTCTGTTGATTTGGAATCTGTGCTGTTATATTCAAAAGCATAGGAGGGTGTTCACTGTTGTTGTGCTCTTGTTTCCTCTTCCATATCTTTTGTTCTTCAAACATAACTACAGCAAGTGGCAGGATGAGCAACAGAAGCATCAGAATAGTAGTCACATACAGCTCACTCTGTGTAAAGGTGAAACGTTTTTGAAGTATGATCACTACCATGAGGAAACCTGCAAGGACTAAAGTGGTATTGAGGAAATTATAGAAAGCCTTGGAATCATTTGGCTGTTCAACTCCCTTGTGGTGCCTGATAACTGGTAAGAAAACAAAAGTTACAGCAGTTGGAAGCCATGCCATAAGCAAAATTAGAGACTTGGAGTCATTTCGATAGAAGGCATAGTATATCTGTGTAATGATAGCTGCACTCAAACCAAGATAGCCACTCAAAAGGCCAATTACAATGCCCCTTGTGCCAGGGAAGTTCTTTACACTGGTCACAATGACCCCAGTGTTGGTTGAACAGTGAGAATTTGCTCCAATGAAGATGTACAAGCACATGTTCCACACTTGGGGTTTGGCAATTTTTGAAGTCACTGCAAGCCAAATCATGAAGTACCCAGAAAAGTTGAGAACCCCACCAATTGTTAAGACCACCCAAGGGGGTGCTACCTCATTGATTAGGCCTGAAATGATTCCTATGTTAGACCCCAAGTCCTTGAAGAAGCTTAAGAGATTTAGGGTGGATTGGTCATACCCCAAAGCTGACTTGATTTCCCTGGAGTATAGACTAAACATGTAGCTTGCTCCTGATACTGACATGATCATGAATGAGGAAAACGCCATGAACCAACGCCCTGTAAGGACTTGGAGAGTGAAGCCTCTGGTATTCTGCAAACAGCTTCCAACATTTTCTCCACCATTCTGTTTGGAAGATGCCATCTTCTTCACTTCTCGTTTCTTTGGTGAATGGAGCAAAGAAGAAAGAGATGGTTGGATTTTGGGATAGGTTTGGTTGAATTTATAAACGAGTTTGAAGTTGCAATTTTCCAAATGTTTTGTTTAAGAAAATTCTTAGGCTAAAAAGTCCATCATCACCAAAAAAGTTCTTCCGTGCATACTCCATAATTGTGCTATCAACCAAAATGATTTCTCTTTCTTCCTCACTCAAATGGTGGGGTCAAGCTGAAAAATTCATGGTGTTAGAAAGGTATCAATATCAGTACCATATAATGTTTTTGCTAAAATGGAAAAAATAAACAAAAACACACTTCATGCTTATTACCTGTGCAACTCCAGTGTCTTAACTGTCAAAAATTGTTCAACTTGGTCCATGTTGATCGTTTTATCGTGGATAGAAGTCAACACAAACTAATTAATGTTTGACTCATTTACTAGTACAAAATTGGAATTTTGCTTATGTTATTTTGTTCAATTTACGTAAGCTATTACGTTCGGATATAATCAATCGAAGTAAATTTAAGTCAAATGAAGTAAATTTAAGTCAAATCAGGGCATACCTGATGTAATTGATATACATATAGTAAATTTCATTTTTTTTTTATATTTGGTTTGTTTTCTCTTATCACCAATCCAGATTTTAGATTTTTCAATAAACAATAATTAAAAAATACAATAATATAATATAATACAAAAGCTAAATTAGTAAAAAGACTAAACTACTTAAAAAATAAAACTAAACTAATATAAAGTCTAAACTAGTACAATAAAAAAATTATTAATTACCGAAGAATATTTACCAACGGATATGTAGTCATCAGAAAATAAGTGATTACTGATGAAAATTATCGACAGATTAAAGTAATTGTGAAATTTAGTCTTACTGACGGATATATCTATCAGAAAATAAGCAATAAATTACCGACAGATATATCATTCGATAAATTCGTCAGTAAATAAACAATAAATTATCAAAAGATATATCTGTCGATAAATAATAAATGAACAAATAATTACCGACAGAGATATATACGTCGATAAATTTGTCGATAAATGAAAAAATTATTAATAATTTTGGTAAATAGACAATTAGTTACAGACAGATATATCCGTCGGTAATTATTTATTTATTTACCGACATATTTATTGACAAATTTAAAGTATATTTTTAAAAATCAACATTAAATTAAAAAAATTAAATATTTAAAATTATATAATAATTACTCAATTTTAAATATATTCTAATAAATTAATTATTAACCTAATTAAAAATTTAAATACTTTTTTTATTTAATAATTTAATTTAATCATAATTAGATTAATTTATAATAATTTGTTAAACTAAATAATTTTAAAAATAAATATTTAAGTATTTTTAATATTGAAAAAAATATTTTAATATAAGAATTTTAATTAAATAATAGAAAAAAAGATAAAAAGAATAAATAAAAATAAAAATAAATAAAGAAAAAATTTATTTTATATCTTTATACAAAAAAATTATAAATATTATATTCTGTTATTAAATTACAAATTCATATAAAGAGACTTGCTCACAAATTTGACATCAAATTTTGAAAATCCACTCGACACACATTTTTATTGTCGAACTTGCCCTCACATTCAATATATAAATATATAGCTATATAAATATATCAAAATATATAAATATATTTGTATTTATATATTTTATATTTATATATTTACATGGATATATATTTATTTGTATATAAATATAATTTATTTGTAAATTATTATTAGAAAATCTTAATAGCTTAGTGGTTGGAGTATTAGCTTCCAACTCTAAGGTACTTGGGTTGTGTAAATTATTATTATTAGAAAATTTTACTAACTTAGTGGTTAAAGTATCGACCTCCAACTTTTGAATCCTACCGAGTGTCAATTCTCTTAATCTGATTCTAAAAATTATAATAAATAATAAAAATATAAATAGGAGGGAGACCTCTAGATAAATAGAGACAGGTTATAAATAAAAAATTAATAAATAAATAAAAATGTATTATACTTATCGACAGATATATCCGTCGAAAAATCTAATTTTTCTTGTAGTGGATAAACAAAAACATTGTTCATTACTCTCTAATTTATATAATATCATGTTTGAATAGTGGAGATGGATGTATCTTGAAATATCTGAAACATTAATTTGATTATTGTTAACATGCAATACACATAAAGATAAATGAACTTAACAAATATTGAAAGTAATTACCTTTGTCTAAGACTCAGTTATACCCGTACAAACTATGACTCTCATCCAATACATGATATAATAGTCATGTTTATTATGCTGAATTGAGAAACAAAACATAATGTTATTATAACATAATATAACATACTTTTGTCTATTACATGTACTTAGAAGCATATTTTGCAAAAATTGTTAGGACAAACCCCATTTTCCCTTTGTTTTCATATACAGTGCATCTAAATCCAATATTGGAGTCAAAACTTATCCTTCTTGGAACATTTTTTGTTTTCTTTTTATCATCATAAAACCCTAAATCCTATATACTTATATATCTTCTCTTCACATCATATCATATCATTTTCTTTCTTACTTACTCATTACTATTATATAATTAATATAAAAATAATAAAAAACGTAGAATTCAAACAATTAAACCATGATAACATAAAAATGCGAGTGCATAAACCATAAATCCACTTAAATGCATAAACGGATAATACAAACTACAACAATTCAATTTCAATAACAATCCAGCTGAGACATTTATGCAATAATGTGATTGAGATCTTAAAAAAAAAATCATGGATTCAATTTCAACATAAAAGAGGAGGACACATAGAACACTAACCTCATATGTACAAAAAAACGCTCTAAAACTCGAATTTAATTGGAGAGAAACGTCAACCACCACAAACGAAATACAATGTAGGTATTTCCATCATTCGCTATGATTAAAATATACCTTGAGAGAAGCTGGTTTGATCACTACCGACATTGTTACTCGAAAATCCTCGTGTGAGAGGGAAAAAAGAAGTCCTAAGACATTAAAATACGACTTTTACGTTAGACTTCATATAAACCAATGTAAAAGTCACTTTTTAAGTCAGTTAAAGAGTTACCCAACATAAAAAAAGAAGAAGTTTTTACATCAAATCTCTTAGGCCGATGCAAGAATAGTGCCTCTTATTTATAAAAATGTTACTATATTTTTTTAAGTCAATTATTTTTTGGTCTAATGAGAATTGAACGGCGAAAATATTTTCACTAGTGATTTTATCAAATTTATTTTAATATATTTACACTAATATTTATTTTATTCTAATATATTTACACTGAATTTTATTAGATTTAAGCAATTAAACGTGTTATGATTGGATATTTATTAGAAAGATTCTTAACATCTTCGACCCAAAATCTTTAATCCTCTTTCACATTGGATTATTTTTCTTTAAGTGAAAGTATTTTTTAAAGGATGAATACTCAATAACAATCTTACTTATACCATCATTTAATACAATGATACTTATTTACCTGAAATCTTCATAAAACCAGGTCACCAACCAATCATCAAATAAATTATCGGATTTGCTAATACTGTTAAATATTATTATATATTTTTTTAGTGTAGTTAGTACTACACAAGTCACCGTATGAAAAAAAATGACATTTAAACTTTTAATTAACGTGAATAATGCACATCTATATTCGAATCGAAATTATTCTTATGTGTTTATTTTTATAATTATTTTTGTTATGATAATATTATTAGGTATATTATAAACTATCTATAGTTAATTATTACCTCTTAAAATGTTGAATTAGGGTTATATAAACTGGGTTATTATTTTGGTAAGGTAGTCACCATAATTTAGATAGGTCTCATGAGGTGAGTGGTTATCAAGTTGTGGGCGTATTTGAATGGACGTCACAATTTCTGAATGCTTCAATAATTGCTGACTAAAACCGATGGCCACGATAGCAATGAAGTACTATCGACGTGTGAGGAACCGCCACTCTCATTTAAATTCTCACATCCGAGCAAAAAGTGTTTGGGAAAAAAGTTTAGTTAAACTATATAAATATTTTTCAAAACCCATTAATATTATTTTCTTTTAATTCTTAGGTATATATAATAAAAATAATATTTTATTATATATTTTTTTAAATTTTAAATAACTTATGAATCTGTATTAGAGTATCCATATTTTTTAAAATAAATATAAAATCTTAATATATAATAATGATAAGGTTTATTTTTTTTAAGAAAAAATATATAATATACTATATTTATATATATGTATATATTATATGTTATCATATATATATATATATATATATATATATATATATATATCATTTAAAAATTAATGTTAATAATAATTTATAAATATCTTTTTTTCTTAATTTCCTAAGACGTATTTTAATACCGTGTCATATATATTGTTTAAAAATCAATGTTAATAGTAATTTATAAATACTTTTTTTCTTAACCTATTATATTTTAATATTAAAACCGTGGCACACAAAAAACGAAGAAAATATATTAAACATAAAAATTTATCTTAATAATATATTAATTCGTATTTATTGATATTTTATGTTTTACAACGTAGATAAATATTTTGATAAGTAAATCCCGATAAACAAATTATGATGAAATTAAAAAAAATATATAAAAAATAAGTAATGTACTGATCTTTATTGGATTAAATAAAGAATATAACACAATCCAATCAAAATATATCATGTTTGATTTATCACGTGAGAGATCAAATTCGATTTAACCTAATTTTTTATTGATTTGATAATAAATTTTACATGTTTAATATGATATTTAATATAATAAAAAACAATTATTATTTTATTTATTATATTAATTAAATTTACATGATTAAATATTTTATTATTAAATTATTTAAATAATACATAATATAGTCTACTTTTAAAAAATTATTCTAAAATATATTTTAAAATTAAAAATTAAAATAGT